AGCTAGTAAAGAGATTTTTTCTGCATTTATAGCATATAACATTTGGTCAAAGTCATAATAATGTTTTTGTATTGAAATTAATAATTATGTAAGTGTATTGTAACTATCATTATTACTGAGAGAAGCATTGTTTACATACACTGCTAGCAGCAACAGCCATGTCAGCTGGTACCTAATAAGGATGCCCATTAAAAAACTGAAGTAATGCTGGAGTACATTCAACACAAAGGGAAATGGATATAAAGTTAAATGATTGAGAGTTACACATGTTGTTTCTGGTTCACTGGGAGAATATGTTACAAGTTCCCAGAAGTCTAGAATGTTCTGTTAGGGGTAACATGAAGGTTATGACCTATAAAAGTTGGGTAAAAGCACTGGCCTGACTTTACAGTACTGTTGAATGCATTTTGCAGTGACAGTCATAGAAATACTTGGTTTTAATGGGTTGTATTATTTGATATTGCTAGAATGTGTTAGTCTTCACTACATGGTTGTAGTTTCCCAAGTGAAGAGCTTACATACCTCTGTTCCAGTATGTTACAGTAGCATTTTAGTTAAAAATCATTATTTCTGTCCTTCAGTATGTATTCCTAGAGGAAACTGATTCTCATTAGCCTTGTCAATGGTTCTTTACCTCTGTAACAATAATAGTAACCTATTGAGGTATAATTGTTTTTTTTTTGTGGGGCAACTGTTTGTAAAAATGCTCTTTAGCCAAACGGAGTCCACTGTACAAGTGTAGCAGTTTACACTATGCCTAGAATTAAAGGAAGGTCCTTTCAAAACTGGCACCAGTTTTGAATGTTTTTAATAGTAGGTGATATTCAGGTCTTTTGCTATGCTTAATTACATGTTTTTTGCTTTATTTATTTTTATATCTATATATATTTTTATAAAACAGTGCAGAACTATTTTCCTGATTGAATGTAATCAACATATACATCTGTTAAAGTACAATTGTATTTTAGGGCAGTAGAATGGAATCTTTTCATAACTGTTTTTGATGAGGTAAGTTAAAATTACATTTGTCTCATCCTTTTGTTTGCAGATTCATAGTATGTGCCTTTTTGTGCATCTGTTGTGACTTGGACAACCAGTCCAGCAGGTTTTTGATATTTCACTCTCCTTATTGTCATCTGCCGTCAAAGCATAATACTAGCACGTGTTTTGGAAAATTTTTCACTTTTGACCTTTGATCTAGTATTTTAGTATGTTCTCCAGGAGGTCAGTGCCCTGCTTTTGTAAGTGGGTCACCTTGTGTCAGGAATGGGGTCAGCTATTATGGCCTATTTAAATTTGCCATCCCCAAATACTGACTGACCTGATGTATTTAATATGTTGTTTTCGCCCCTGCTTCTCCTGTTCCATTAAGCTGCTTTAAAGAACCTATTCATTAAAACTAGTTTAAAAGTGGAGCCACTGTATGTCTTAAATAAATCATTAACTCTTAGGGCTCTTTTATCTTGCAATACTGTATCTCTATCTAATGATCTTTCAATTTAATGCTGAGACATAGCTTAAAGAAGGTAGTCCAATGTTCTCATGTTGCAATTTGGTGCCTGGTAATGTTTTGTTGACATGGTGCATCTCCTGTTTACATGTCTGATACATGTGTTGTTGTATGTTTCTGTTAGTACACCAGAGGTGGAGCAAATAGATTTGGAAAAAACCCTATGCTTTTATGAAATAGATGTCTGTTGGGAGTTTGCCTTTCATATATTTGCTATGCTGTAATAACACAAGTACTTGGCTAGCTGTGCCATTTTCTGACCATGGCACTCTGTAATACGGAGTGCAAACTGTTAGTCTACTTTGCTCTCAAAATCTGTAGTATTATGTCAGAATCCTGCTACATAAATGTTGGTATTTTTATCCCTGACGCTTGCCACCTTGTAAACCTTGATAAGAGTTTGAAGCTGATGTTTCTCATGTCTAGGCTTTAAGCAGTGTAGTTATACTGGTATATCAGGGACTGATCCAGGATTATTTGAAGGGGGGTCCGCTGATACGAAGCCGACCCCCACTCTAAATCCACCACTGTATATATTGGGTAGTAAAATCTTGATTTTTCTCACCGTGTGCACGTGATATACCAGAGACAGTCTTACACCCCATTCCCAGAGATTAGATCAATCCAACTAGATTGACCTAACTCCCTGGGGGTTCACGCTAAATAGCCGTCAGCCGGGCGGCATGAAAGTTAATTACCCCCTTACAGCTTGTAGTAGGTGGGACGGACATTTAATACCCCATTCACACTACAGTTGCCAAAATGCGCATTTCTATAATTCGGATTTTTCGTAAGGAATCCGATTCGGTATTGCGTTCACACTCGCTAAGCGAATCCGAATCCCATGTTGAAAATTTCAGGTTTAACTTCCTGTTTTGAACACTCGCGCATGCGCCGCACAGGAAATCTTAAAATACCAACAAAAATTTGTGACGACAAATGCAACTCAGAAGACATTCCAGCATTCTTGAGAAGTATAAGGTGGCAAAATAAGTTTGTTTCCTCATGTTGTAGTGAGTGGTGACCTCCAAATACGTTTGGTGCAATCGCTAAAGTAATAAACAAGCGTTCATAGATATCTGCACTTATCAGCACACATGCGCAGTAAGATCTGTACAGGTGTCGATTCCGGTAAGTTATCCGGATCGCGCTTAGAGTTCCACCTCGCTTGCAGGATTTTGAAAATGCGCATTACAAAAATCCTCTTGCGTTCACACTACTGCATTTATTCGAATTGTGACCTAATTCGCAATTTATCCGGATAACTGAGCATAGTGTGAACGGGGTATAAGTTGGATTATCTGACAGTAATCTAGTGAGACTCCCCACGGGGATAGATCGATCTAAAATCTCTGGGAATGCGCCCTTACATTCCCAATACCAGCCCCTCTCAACACTTGTTATATACCTTTGCAATGTCCAAAAGCTGACAACTGTGTATTTTGCTTGTTTTTAGAACACCCCACATTCATTCTTTTTCATTGAAGGAAGAGAAAGAGAGAGAGGTTCAGGAAAAGTTATTTTCCTGAATTCCACAATTTAGACTTAAAAGCTTACTTGTCTGAACAAGTACTATAGACATAGCATATTGAAGTGAATAATTTAGAGGCAATTTAGTTGGCTTTGCTGTTATGGTCTTATCAGCCTGGTTAATGCTTGGTGTTCTTTGGAGAAGTCTTAGCTGTAGCACATGTGTTAAACCTTTGAGAGTTCTGGTTAGAAATTGGTAAATAGAATAGGTTTCTGGCTTTCTTAGCATTTCTTAAAGTAAACTGGTTAATTGCCATCAGCTTCACAGATTTAAACTTCGGTACAAACTAATATTCTGATGATCTAGGGTATTGCTATCAGCTAATGATAGGAACGGAAATGATATTGATTTTGTCTGGGGATGATATTGATTTATGATTGTAATGTAGTTGTTTATGTCACTTGTGTGAATACTCAATATTTGATATTGAATACCAGCAGAGAAGGAATTTGGTAAATACATGTATATATTATATACAACTAATATGTGTGTTGAGTGTATGAGAGAGATGGAGCTTATAATTGTGATGGTGTCACTGGTTGTATATTTATACAGGGATTTGGTTCAGCTGCATTTTTTGTGCCAGTAGCTAATAGGATTATCATACAACATACCAAGTTATTTAACAAATGCTGGTTCATGCTAATAATTTTATGATTGATAATTTTTAATGCTGTATAACCTTAAACTGATTGATGAGTTACTTAAAGTAATAACTTTTCTGTGATATTGTGATGAGTTTTACAGATACTGTATTTTTAAGTCAAAGTTTCCTAAATTACAGTATTCCTATTGAGTGGTAGTAACAAAATTAAAGATAAGACTTCTGTAGAGTTCTATTTTATGCATTAAAAGCATCAACAAATGATAAAAGAAATATAATTTTTACGATTATAAAATTATGTATCTGAAAGTATGATAATTTTTTGCCCATTAAAAAGATGAAGTAATTACTTGATTAAAAGCTACAGGGTCCAGTTTCATCAATACTGGACAGAGTTAGCCTGTGGGTTTCAATATCCATTGTATTAAATTGTTTTCCTATAGATAGTTTAATAGCAATATTTGAGGCAAAAAGTATTCAGCATTTTTGAAACATTTCTTTGTCCATGGGATATCTGTCCACACTCTTGGATAACAGTTTTACCCAGTGGATAGTGATATCCATAGGACAATGCTGTCCACCAGTTTTGATGAAACTGGCTTCCGCTTGATAGGCCAATTAAAAAAAATCTATAAAGCAACATGGTTTACCAGTGTGTTTTGAGTCAGTTAGGTGTACCACTAACAAGTATGAAGAACGCGGATAGAAGTTTAAACATTTTTATTTCAGTTTCAGCATTTGAAATGTGTATAGATTTCAGGTTTTTAGGTGAAATTGAATTTATGAAAAAAAACTTTTTGACAAATAAGCTAAAATCCCCCCCCCCCATTTTTGGAATTCCAACCTTATCTCTGTGATATATCTTCACAGGTGATTGTGTATTGTTTGCCATGTGGTTGTGTTTCAATAGATGAGAACACTTATTGTTATTTATGTATTGTTGTATTCTTGTTTTTCAGCTGTGTACACCTGCTAATACTCCTGCCACACCGCCAAATTTTCCAGAGGCACTTGCAGCGCTTTCTAAATGGTCTTGCGGTGCAGAGAAAATGACGGCAACATCACCAGTAAATTCGAACTTTGCCAATTACTATGCAAGCTCTCCTGCACAACAATCACCTCAGTCACAGCCACCTAAGGTGGAACTGGAAGCACAAAGATAAATTCTGATTTCTGATTTTCACAGAAAGCACACTTAATCACGAAAGAAATAAGTGTTGCAAACATTTGAGTGGAGAAAGGGAAAATCTTATTGTCTCTCAAGAACAGGTGAAGCGCTTGGAACATAACAATGAATGAGCAAGGTCAGACTCTTCGAAATCAAGGAGTTCTATGTTAGAATTTCTGTTATTGATGGAGGCAGGGAAAAGACTAAATAATTTCATCTATAAAACATTTGATGACAGGCAATTTAATATTGAGGAGAAGTTGAACAGCCTGAGACTTTTTAATTTAATTAATATGGTAAAGATATAATTTGTATGGGTATCTATATCATTCATGTAGATATGATGTATGTCTAGCATCATTTTGACAGTTCTTCAGTTATGTTCATATTCACATTATATTAATCCACGTTTCACAGGTTTATAGAAAAAGTGGAAAAAGTTCAAAAAATTTATTTGTATCAGTGTTTTACAGGTTTATAGAAAAAGAAACTAAAAAGGGAAAAGATATATTGACTAATTGGAGACACATGAGACAGTGTATACTAATGATCTGGTGCTTTTATTATATTAGTTGAAAAATTTGGTGTGTCTTTAGGACTACTAAAATAATTTTAAACAGTGCCTGGAGTTGGGAACACTCCATTGAAGAGCAAAAGTGAACTTTGGGTTTCACACTGATTATGACACGTTTCTTTCAGTCAGTCACAGATGCACTGGGTTATGTGCTGTATAATCTTTTGTATATATATATAAATATTCTGTTATCTCTTCTGATATGTGAGAGTTGTAGTGCACCCCGTGTCTCAGTGCATTCACTCAGGTATAGCTTGGGCAGGGAAAGAAGGGGACATAGTAGTTGTGGACTGGTCAATCTCATGATAAAATTTCATGTGAAATTTGTATTCTTATCATGTATTTAGGTCACTTAACAGTATAATGTAAAAGACCAATGGTAATTAGTGTACTTTGAATGTTAAATGATGAGGTGTGACGGTAATTTCTGTATTTTATGCATATTGTGTTAAGAAAGCGGTGGGTGAGCAAAAACTGGCAAGAAACTAATGGAGTGAATATAGATGTCTATTCTTTATAGATGTGAGGATCTCAGCAGTTTCAGGGTTTTGTTTTATTTGCTGGCACATATGGTTGTTGCTCCAGTTGGCACGCAGCCTTTAGTTTGCTGTTTGTATCAGGGAGCATGGTGTTTACATCACGGATTAGTGCACACTCAATCAAAGTCCATTTCATACAACTTTGTAAATTGCGTTGTACCTGTACATTGTGTACAAACTTGAAATACATTTTATAACAGATGGCGTTTTTTCCTGCAATATCATTGACGAATAATAGACCTTGAAATAGTTAAAGACAAGATGATATAAGAAGTGGGTGACGCAGTTCGTCTCGTGGGCTTGTGAACGTAAACTAAAGGGGGTTGCAGTGACTAATGAAACAGCCATTGCCCGATTGCTGTAGTAGTGCTGTCATCGCAATGTAGCCACTCCTTGGTTGTGCCAAATTGCGGAAACCTCCAAGTATCACTGATAGAGTCGGACATCAGTATCTGTTTTTAACCATACCTTTCACACGGTAGACTTGTGATTTGCTTTGTTATTATTGAAAAGGAACGTGTCCAACTTTTTAAAAATAAAATGAACATGCATTGGCTGGGAAGTAGCACGAAAATTCATGCGTTAGCACTCCTATTGACGGTTCTGATACGTACTTGCACAGCCGCTACATATCAGAACCGTCAATAGAAGTGCTAACGCATGAATTTTCGTGCTAGCTGGGAAGGTGAAGAGGTTTAATGGAAAATGGCTTTTGCCACGCTTAGGCTAGCACTTTTCCACCCCTGTCTCTATCACTAGGCATGTTCTGTTCAAATTTATGAGGCTCGATGAAAATTTTCTACCGTAAAACGACGTTAACCATTTTGCACTTAGACGTCTTTCTAAAGAAAACGAGTTGGATTATATTAAAACATTGAAGTCTTAGAAATATACGCGTATGGTAACAAAACTCACTTAATTCAAATAAAACTGACGTAGTGTATACAAGAGCGCTCAGTCATCTTACTTCGCACAAAAGTGATTCAGAAAATGGGCTCGATCATACGTTCTTATATGAGATATTCGCAGAATCGGTGCTCTGAGTGGTCATGTTAACGTGGTAAATCAAAGTGGAAGGCCTGCTCTCAACTGAAGTCAACTTTACCTTATCAAAGATAGATCCGTAATGAGGTAAACAAAACTAACTTATCAAGAATCCCGCTTTAGAGGAAGATTCACCGAAGAAATGCCAAATATGTCCTTTTGATATGTTTTGTGGCTTGAAAACCCCTCAAGTAAGTCAAGAAACACACCAGTGAATGTCCTAAAAAACGCCGACTTTTTATGTTGATTAAAAACGTATACGTAAATTTGACGTCACTGTGTTTGTTTCTCTGTCCACCAAAAAGGAAAGCGTGATTGGATATATTCATGTTACACTCCAAGGTTTTCATAACAATCACGCACACCCCCTTGTGACCGTTTGGTTTCGTATAATTACTTCAACGGACTGATATTGGTAATTTTTAATGTGCCAAGCGCATGCTGTATGCCATTTATTAAAATTGCGAATATGATTTACTATTGCCTGGTGATGATGATGTAGTTGTTTGACTTCCACTGCGCCGAGGGTAGCATTAATTCTGTCAAAAAAAAAAGAATGACTGTAATAGTGGATGGATGAAGGAAAGGGAACTTAATTAATACAAACTATATCTCAAGTGTCACTAACTTGACTCTAACGTCGAATATAGCTTCAGTTAGCTTACGATTTCTCGTATAGCAGCTTACCCTGGTGTTGCTTTTCTTGTGTTGTTTGCATAACCTCAAACCCTGACTTCATTAAAAACTTAGATATGAAAGACGTACGTTATAGATATGGCATCACCATACCAAGCAGTTGTATGTCGCATGGCTTAATTTTTTAATTGTATAGCAGGGTGCTGAGGAACAGATTTAGACCCATTGTGATGCGAACATAGTAAACTCCATTTAGTTCTGTTATTCCCTGTTCATCAAAATGAAAACAAATTGAGACTCTGGAATCAAACATATAGGACACGTGTTGATATGCTATGATAAAAGAAGCGGTCCCTTCAGTTTTATCATATAACTTTTTTTATTCTATTCAACAAATCTAATAGTATTTTCTCATTAATGCAAGCCATTGTGAAAAATGCAAGTCACCTTTTGTTGGGACGTGTATTGTATTTAATTCAAGGTATATTGAGCCTATTGCTGTTGCTAAATAGGCCTACTTCATGAAATCCACCTTATCTAAACACGTTTTACCGCTTACAGACTTTTTTTCGCCACCAAAACCAAAATTGAATTGTCTCTGGTCAAACTGACAACTTAACAAGTGCAGAAGTTAATTCATTTTGTTATATGTAGCATATGGAATTAATTAAATGCTAACTAACTTCTGTAGGCAAAATTCCAAAAGTAATAATTATAATAAGCACCCCCCCCCCCCCCCATCTCCCACGCCGCGATTGCGTCAAACTAACCACCCGAACCACAGCCTTTGAACAGTGCACCTGCCTTGATTGCTCTTTCTTTCTCCGATTCCGACCATCTTCTTAAGATTTTAAACACATCAATGTTTGAAAAATTAAATTTGTGTTTCAAATGTATGTTTATTTACTGGATGTATAAATGGAATTTTAGTTTAGTTTTGAAATATCGATACAACACATTCCGCCTCGTAATCCACATTTCAACTTGTCTTGAGCCGGCAACAGAAGCGCCATCTCTAAACATGTTTATCTCATTTGCATGCCTAGCGACGTCGTCAACAGACACGCCAATCAGTGGGCGCGCTAGTATTTACTCCACTATTTAGCTAGTTGCCATGCAAGCAATATTATCAAGCCAGCTCAAGTGACTTGCATGCAGTTTTCTCGTGGAACTTAAGGGTGTAACTGGTGGATTTACACACCGTTTATAGCAATAAGCAGTAGCTAAACAATAACCAAATTTAGAAGGGATATTACCTCTTGACTGCAAATAACAGCACTGTTCCTCGAAAAATCGTTTTGCGGAGCACAGGGGAATTTGGAGAATTTGTTTCATCTCTGCAGGGGATCAGCTGATCCGAGTCACCATATAGACAAGCTGGCGAGTTACTCGTAAGTAAAGAATGTTATTTTGGTTTGTCTAGTTTTTTTCTGTGAAGGTTAAACGTGGATCCCATAAGATGAAATATGTAGCGTTTACGTGTCGTGTGCGCGTTAAAGATGTTTTATCAGATACAGTAAAAATGAAAATGGCATATTTTATTTTTAGTCAATACCAATGTCAGCCAAGCGTTGATTCATTGGGTTTTTATTTTTGCCTAGATATGCTGTCTACATTTAATATTTCTGATCGAAATAACTGATTCTACATGTATAACTTAACAGGAAATCATCCGTACATCATATCTTTTGTCGGGTTTTAAAAAGTTTTAATATAATCACCAAGGTGACTATTGTTTAATTGTTATAATAATTATATTGGTTGCTTAATTATAATATTTCAGTGGTACATTTGTTGGTGTAAATACAGTAACCGCCAAAACGAAGTTTCCACAGTCCAACGTATTCCAAGGGAAGGTTAGAATGCCTGTCCTAAGTAAAGACACCCTGGCCATGAAGTTCCGCCAGAACTGGCTGGCCAAGCACCCTATGGAGGCAGCCACTCCATCCAGTGGTGGCAATAGCAGCGGCAATAATGGCAATCTAGATGACAGTCTGACTAGTCTCAATTGGTTACAAAATCTAAATATCATGAACTTTGGTGCTGCACCCACGCCCCCAGCAAGTCCACAACCACAAGTGGAATGTGCCAATGATGGAAAAGTCGACCCTAATGCCATTCTCAACTATGCATCAACGCCAATAAAAGTTGAACCACCAAGGTCCTATGACCTCATGCCTGCCACGCCAGTTGCAGCAGAAAAGATAGACTATAAAACTAATCCATATGTCAAGCCACCTTATTCCTATGCTACCCTTATATGCATGGCCATGAAGGAGACCAAGAAAGCCAAAATGACCCTGTCAGCCATCTATAACTGGATCACAGATAATTTCATGTACTACAGAGTGGCAGATCCTAGCTGGCAGGTAAATATCCCAATATTTACATGTACATTTTCACATCAGATATGCTCTGTATACTGTGATGCATTAGTAAATTGATTTCATTTGCCTTCTAGTAAAATTTATCCAAAATTTTAATTGTAGAATACAATTGTCAAGCCATTTGATTGGTTAGGTCTTAAACTAAATACCTGTTAAGCCTGGGGGAGACTGCTTATAGACACATTAACACCTACATATATTGTATGAAAAGATATGGGTTGGCAGGGAAGTGATGTTGTGACATAATATTTGTCTTTTATCTACAATGCCATGATGGTTTTCTCTTGTTTCTATAAAACAAGTCAGAACAAGACTCACCCAGATGATATAACCAATATGTAGGCAGTCAATATATTAACTGCAAGAATTCAGCAACACATTAATTGTGTGATCAATATGACTGGCATCCCATTATCCAGAGAGCTTTAATTTACAATAATGGGCAACCTTGTAATACAACAGCCAATCATTGTTAAATATAAAAGAAGTAATTTCTTTTGTCTTTTGCATGATGCTATTGAATATTAATGCCAATGTCGCTAAGATTTCTTAGTAATCTCTCCATTGTATAGAACAAATTCTGTAGCTGCAAGTCAGCTTAGTATTTGATGTTAGTGATCAATATGCCTACCTTCCACAAAGACATGTTAATGATCTGCCAAGATCAATACAGAGGTTGTATGAATGAAGCTGATGTAGGTAGGAAATGAAAAGACTATGCAACAGCATGAGACATAAATGAAGTGCTTAATGCATACTTCATCTCATCTGTAAATGTGGAAAAACTGCATGAGGGCATGGCGATTTACGCCATAAAAGATTAAAATACATTGCTGCTAGCTGTTACATTGTAGTTAGCTCAGATTAAATGGAGCTAATTGTGTTGTCTTGAACACTCATTCCCATTCCCAAAACTTTTACTTTCTGCACTTGAACTTCGGTTAAAACAAATAATCACTTTTGGTAATGATTCTCTTTCTTTGTTATAGAACTCAATCCGCCACAACCTGTCCTTGAACAAGTGCTTTCAAAAAGTTCCAAGAAGAAAAGACGAGCCTGGTAAGGGAGGATTCTGGCGTATCAATCCAGATTACAATGACCAGCTGGTGAATGGGATTTATAAAAAGAGGAGGTGCAGCACGCGTGACAGCACCAGCAACAGTGCCATTTCTCCTGCCAAAAAGTCAAAGAAAGACAATGACAGCAAAGCAGAGGATGGCAAAGTGAAAGTGAAACAGGAGCCAGGCTACGATGGGAGAACAATTCACCTTGATGACGATCACCATGCTTTGAAGGGAGACTTCAGTTGGAACTCTATTTTGAACCAGGATATTGATATTAATGGTGTGAAGGTAAAAACTGAGGACATAATCAGTGACCGCACAGCTAGTCCATTAACTGCAATGAGTCCGCCACTCTCTGATGATGCATCAAACTCGGCATTTGATGAGATCTTTGGCACAGACCTCTCAGAACTGGGCACAGACCCTGCCCAAGACAATGATGATTCATCTGATGAGTCCAAACCTCTGGACCTCACGGTCCAAGGGGTCAAAATTGAGCCCCCAGAGTGGTGGAATGAGAGTTTTAACCTCTCTGGAAGCACGCGGGGACTTCTTTCCCCCATCAACATGGACTCGAATGCCAGTGGACTGCACACACCTATAGCTCCCAGTCCTGTGCCCTCAGTGATAGACCACTCCCATCCCTGGGAGGAGAGTGACAGACTAGACATTGATGCTGCTATTGCAGCACTCAGTTGTGAACACTTGTTTGATCTAGGCAGTATACCCAGCCCAATACTTTCATAGTGAAATATGTAGGAAAGGCATCTGCAAAGGCATGTGTGATCATTTCTAAAGTTGTCTATCAGTATAAAGCCAAATGTATTGTGCCAGTTCATAATATCCGTCCATTTATGTGAATTTTAAAAAATTTGTTTCACATTTATAGTGAAGAAATTTTCATGAAAGCATACTGTTGTGGTATGACCTTTAAAAGTTTTTATATTCTAGGTATATGTATAATATGCACAGATTGTTTTTGCAGTGAATAGGTGCAATTATTTGAAGGAAGGGGGTAGTTAGCAATGTTATTTGTTGAAAAAAAAAGATTTTGGAAAGCTTTGAAGCAGGTGAACTATATCCATTTAAAGGGCAACAGTTCATCCAGTAAGGCAAATTTTGCGTACATGTGGGTTTATTATTATTTTTTTAAGTCATCGACACACGACCAAAATTGCATGAATGGGTCTACTTTCATGTGGGGTGAAACATTCTTCCAGATTCATTCTATGCTGACCATTGATCCAGATTATGTTGAAACAAGCACATGCTTCATTGACCACATACAAAACAGCCGCTAGGTTGAAAGCCTGTCTTTTCAGTGCACTTATACAAAAGTTCTTTGTATCAATTAAAGAGCTTGATATTTACAAACATGCACTGGATCAATGGTACCCCAATACAGCAGGTTCATGCCTGGAACCCCAACAGGTTTAGGAGTGAAAGGTGGCTCAGATTTCATTTGGGAAACCCATGCACAGGTGCCTACATGTCTGGGCCCAACTCGCATATTTTCATGTATTCCCCCCTGACGCATTGGCTGGTCCAGTTTTTCATTATGCCATTTAATCATCAAAAATTAGAGGGTGGGGGTGGGGGGCTGGGGGTGGGGGGTGGGGTGGGGGGGGAGGTTGTTTCATTTATATTAAGGTGCAGTATTGAGTTCCTACCAGTACATAATGTTTGCTATCTTAGTAAAACATACCAGTAGGTAATAGTCCTGAGATTGAAGTTTTGATTTTTTTTCATCATGCTTATAGACTGGTTCTTTGCTACAGTCTGGTAATTTGTCTTTGGTTTTCTTGTTGAGAGTAATCCAGTCACCAAATGCAATATGCCAATTAATATGGCTGGTAATTAAGCTTACATTATTATCTAATGACTGAGGTTGAACCATCAGGAAATATGCTACAGTACTAGATGTTCTGTATATCAATTACATACAACCTTGTCATAAATAAATCATATTGATTATGTAAACCTATGTATGAGTCTTTCTTGATTTTCTTGTTTTTGCTTTATTCTGGACATGAAATATATGAAATTGTGATTCAAAAATGCTGCACATAGGGCCCATGTCGAAAATGTGATTCACAAATTATTTTTACTTGAAAGAATTTAAATACTTTAAACAGTTGTAATTTTGCATAATAACCATGTAAATTTTATATTAAAGGCTTGGATGCAAAATAACAAACAAAGAGCTCTGTGTTATTGTAAAGTGACTTGAATTGATGACCTAAACACCCTGTGCTGTAACATTCATTGTAATACATAATATCAGCTGTAAGTGTTCCTCTGAACTAAACAGTAAATGCTTAATATCCCACTCCCAAGCTTTGTGGAGTGTGGTTTGTGACGCAAATCTTTATCATACACTTAGTTCATGTATGTATTATGTTATTATACCACTCCTGGGGCAATAAGGTGTCTATGTACACCTGACCCCTATTATACCCCGAGGCTCAAGCCGCGTCCTCTCACGCCACCTGAACGACCTTCCTACTCAGCACAACACAAAGCTGTTTTGTAACAATCTTGAGCTATCAAGTAAACAACACCAATCCTGTGAAACATTTAGTTCTTCCTAAATTTTTCATTACTAAAAGGATCTAAAAAGGGGATAGGATTAACAGATTTTCTAGTGTTTGTATGTTTTTCACACCTTTACATGTCCGTTTCATATCTCAGGTCATGATTATGGTGATAAGCCTCTTGTCATACCTTCTTGAAATTCTTACTCATCCTTTAGAACACAGGTTAATTTCCCTAGCAACCGCCCTAGTAGCACATAAACAAAAATCAACAAATCCCTCTTCTTATCCTAATTTAACACGAATGGCTTTCAAAGCAAATTGTTAACTTTGAAAACTGACAAGGTAGTTTGGGTTAAGAAATATTTCATACAAATTTATAAAGATAGATATGTATAAATCCACTGGAGCTTTACATCAATTAACTGTAGTGTGATACCATATTCATGATACATCGAAAGGCTTTTAAATGATTTATGATATTACGATTATAAACGATTTCGAAGAATGCCCTGAAAATGCGAGTTTGTTCTTCATAAAGTGATTGGTGAATCGTGAATGCATTAACTCCATTCGAACAAAGGCAAGCACCGCGTCATCTAAATATAAGGGAAAAAAATGACGCTTTACCCCATCAGTCTCAAATTACCGACGGCATAGAAATAAAGGCCCCCAGCTGAGTTATTTTTTTCAATCTGTGTAAATCAGTCGTCCAAATCCAAGCCAGCTAACACTTCTCGATCCCAAGGCGGCCGAGAGATACAACAGCGATACAACTACATTTATCGATACCAAAGGCCATCCTGGCAGAGTCATGATGCCATAACGAAATATTACGGAATGATTAATGTGACCTGTCTGATATCCTGCATATCGTACTTGTGATGTCTGGCTTCAGTATTTTTTGTGTTTGCGTTGTAAGACAAACCGAGGAGACGTGATGTGGGCCACATCTTTCTGATTTACTGTTGTTATGATACTTATTTCGTTTTGTTTCTTCATTTTTTATTATTTGCATTCCTGTGACGATGAACTTGCGGGAGGCATATTGTACGACTTGTATGGCTTATACAACCTGTTATAATAATAAGTGATTTAAATGTTATACTCGCTTGGGATAATACCCTCCGACTGTTTCCGCTTTTAATTTGTGCAATTCATGTATGTGTTCAAACATGCGTGTACACCGGTTTATATAGGCCTATCGATCGGACTGACTTTTGCAGTCGAGGTTTCTTTTGTTGCGTTTTATCATTTTTTAAAGAAGCATGCTTCCTGTCTATATTGTGTTCAGTGACAACTAGTCCTGACATGTCGAAGCCCTCGTCCAAAAACCAAGCCGTATTTTACCCTGAAAATTTGGTTGAACAATGGCAAAGTAAACCGTGTATTTGCTGCCACTTCTAAGTGCGCGAGTCTTATTGATCTAACGCTTTTACAACGCCCATACAGTTTACACAGAAATGCTTGCTCTGAATGGTCGACGAAAATGTCCATAGAAAAGCAAATTAACGAGACCTAGCCATGATGTAGAGGAGAGTAAGATATACATATATAATCAACAGCCCTAGCTTCATCTTATATCAGGTGAAATATGAAAGATGTGTCAACAGTGAGTGAAATTACAATAGAATGAGTGTTGTGATTTGGCTTAAGGTGCACGACCAGTGGCCATTTTTGTAAGATAAGTATACACACCGATGAATGAAAATTTACCATAGTTTCCCAAGGATCCAGCTGCGTTCTTTTGCTAATCGTAAGAAGGCACTGACCACAAAGTTTTCACAGCAAACAACAGCAATACAATTCGTATCCATAAAACGTGCAGGGCTTTCACTTCATTTAAGCCAACCCTTTGGCACATTTTGATCATTGGAAAAAGAACAAATCTTAAAATCTTAAAGCAATATCTTATGCCGGGTAAAATGTGAATTACTTCATTATACATGATATTATATGAACTTTGCTCTTTCCATTCATTCAGAGCGCAGTAGTATTGAAAATGGAAAAAAGAAAAGGCGATTAGTTTTTTTTATTACTAATAACAGATGGTTTCATCTATTTTCAAGGCATTTTTTTCTGTCTGGGTTGTTTGTCAAATGTGCAATTTTCATATAAAAAAAATTAAAAAAAAAAAGGCACCCAGTTTTGTGCTTGTCAAATGTGCAATTTCCATGTGACAAAAATAAATAAATGAATAAAAAAAATAAATAAATAAAAATAAAATACGCACCCACTTTAGTGTGTTTCAAGATAAGATATGCGTGTTGTTATCACATTGAACCTTTCGTATATTCATTATACGGTTATTGCTTTCCGATATGGAAAATGCCCTGTTCATCTAGGTCCCGTAACTAAACCTAGTGCTTACAATTAATCTCTTTGTAGCGGTGGGCGTATAAGAATTATCCAGAGCTCACCGAGAGCTTTAGGAGACGAAGCATAAAAGCAAAGATATTCCCATTAATGAGGTATTGAGGTCAGCAGGTAAAACAAAATCAATATGTTCTGATCTCTATTGATCTCACAATCACCTAATTTAGAGAATGCAATTGATTTATAGATCGATCGGTGTTCTTCTTGGGTTGAGAGCCGAGTGGCAAAAGGAAATAAATAACAGGTAACAAACAACAACAAAGTGACGAGAAAAGCATGCAGTCGGATTTATTTCTGTTGGACATTGCAAAGGGTAATTTGTCTACAACTCCATACATACATTTCATTTCTTTTTTTAACCTCTCACTCTTATCTTTTATCTTCAATGTAGAAATACCGAGAGATTGCCGAGCTACCGTTATTATTTTATGACTGTATCCTAGCAAGCGTTCTTGGCTTTCGTTATTTTTAAACGAAATAGGTCTATATAAGCCAGGACTCAATGGATACTGAGTCCTAGGCTGTATTCCCAGAGCTTTTAGATCGATCTATCCCCGCGGGGAGTCTCACTAGATTACTGTCAGATAATCCGGCTTTAATGTCCGTCCCGCCTACTACAAGCTGTAAGGGGGTAATTAACTTTCGTGTCCGCCCGGCTGACAGCTATTTAGCGTGAACCCCCAGGGAGTTAGGTCGATCTAAAGTAGATCGACCTGATCTCTGGAAATGGGGCCCTAGATATAAGTAATACATAGTGTTTAATTTACATGACACATACTATATTTTTCCTAAACAAGCCGTCTCTTTTACCTTTTAAAGTAGTAGGACTTAGTTTCTGCATGGAACACTCCTTTAATTTCATGTCGTTATTCTTGTCACTAAAGAAATAAAAATTAAAGCTCTGTAGTTTAGATATTACGATATTTTTCTCATTCTGTAAATGAGTAGGTCGAGTTTCATAGTCGACGTTGGGACGCTTCTTCAATTTCTAAATTTCCATCGATGCTGACTGTCTGTGAAATTCATTTCAGACACCAAAATACACAGTTTACATTAAAAAAAACACTCTCATAAATTTTCCGGAAAATGTTGTTTGTCTAAATCTAAACCTGCGGTAAATCTCATCCGTGGTTCATTCCAGTTAACAGTCTATTCAGTTGTGTATTGTTGCTTGCATACAGATTGTGGAAAGTCAACAAGCGCCTCTAACACAGTGTGATCAGACAAAGTAGCAGATAATTATAAAGTGCGAGTCGGCGATCGAGCTTTACGCGAAACAGAGGAGACAACATTGGCGAGCTATATCTGTCTTAAAACTTGCGATCGGAAAATTATAGGGCACAACGTGCGCAATTCAGCGTATTCATTTGTTCGAGCTACTGTTTTCTGTTCGACCCGTGGAATGTTTTTCTTTTTTTTTATCTGTGTGTTTGTGCCATTAGTGCATTAAAAAGTCGAAAACTGTTTGAACTACCAATGCAAACGCTCATTGCGCTTAACTGATTATGTTTTATTTTGCAGTATAGGTCCCAAATGTGCCCTCAAGACCATGTACATACCACCAGCATACATGGGGAGAAAGGGGGGAGGCAAAGATTAAAGCAGACAAAATTAATGAGTTGGTTAACGAACGCTGAGTTGGTTAACTTCCCCGACTTTGAGGCAATCTTTTTTTTTCGATTGGAAAAAATGTATTGGGCATTGGCTTGGTACATTCGTAATTGGGAAAAGTTAACCCAGGTAAAACGCTGTTCAAAAATCTGTTCAAAAATGTAATGTTCAAACTGTTCAATTGACATCCTGCGCCCCCCCCCCCGTCCCAACCAAAGAGGGACAAATAAATGAAGTAAGATAAATAAGTGAAAAAAAAAATGATAATAGTAAATTTCGTCTACCGATCATGTTTGCAGACAGCTGCCGCTTTTTAAAAAATGTGTCTGGCAGTTTTCACTTGAATAAAACCTGTGACGCTTTGATATACTAGTACCAACATGCTGGTAAGTCCTTTTGCTACCCTCTGCCAGGGTCACAGATTGATTTTCATTAGATATTCACAGATATTTCTCTGGCTAATTCTATGGACTTTTCTATTCAGCGAGAAATTTTGTATCAGGGGAGGATCCAGGATTATTTGGGGGGGGGGGGGTCCATTTTTTTTTTTTTAAGAATGACAGGCCTGGGATGTGAAGTCGACCCTAATTTGCTCCCTTGGTGTAGGGTACAGTGTTTTGGAGGGCACAAGGTGCCATTTGGTGCAGTTTAGGACTATGATTCAGCTCTTCAAAATTCTAATATGTAATATCAAGAAGGGAATAAAGGTGTGGTTTTTCCCCAGGATTAGAAGGGGGGTTGGAACATTTATAAGCCCCTGACACCCCACCCCACCCCCAATCCGCCACTGTAGAATTGACGTCACAATCAAGACTCCTGGACTGGGTTCCCATACCTAGATCGATCTAACAGGGTCGATCCATCTCCATGGGGTTTCTTGCTAAATTGCTTCCAGCTTAAGCGGCTTAAGTGTCTGGCACGCCTACTGTTCAAAGCTGCTTAACGATAGTTGATTACCCCCTAACAGCTTCAGTAGGCGTGCCAGACATCTAGGCCGCTTTAGTTAATTGCAATTTAGCGAGAATAATACTTGTAGAGATAATAGCTTGAAAAATATGAAAGATTCCAACTTTTATTACTAAGAATTTTACCAAGTTTTATTACTAAAATAATAAGGTGTTACACTTCGTGGCTCGAGATGACACCTACTACTGGCCTGACATGACATGTCTCTAGACTTTAGATCGCTTAGTAATTAATAAAAGACCTATTAAACTTAAACACTTTAATTAATTATAGGGCTTGAGCCTGCTTAAAATGTATTTTTCAACATAAATGGTGTTCATACATCCACATAGTCAATCTGATTTGCGTTTTCTTTAAATTATGCACTTCTCGGTGATTTATTTAGAAGGTGTAAGCAGGTCACGTGATTTATCATGGCCGCGCCCTTTAAATTTGCTGCTAGTTTGTTTATCCATTGAAAAAGTAATATGTAAGGGCCATTTGCTTCTTTTTTGGAGTGTTCACATGATGAACATGGAGGAAAGAGACTCGGGACACGAAAGTTGTGTTTCCAGTTCTTCCGACGATTCTATGTCAGATGGAGATTATGTGGTAAGAGCTTTGGATAGGTTCCACACGTACATTTTGCTAGAGACTTTAAAAAATAATAATACACAGATAGCTTCATATCTGAGAATGAATATAGATTTTCAGATTTTCATCGGAAAAAAAATGGAAAAGAAAAAGACTTGTTTCATAAATTAATTATGGTCATATTTTTCTCAGGTTCAGCAGCCAGCAGCAGTCTCACCTGCCCTTTCTGAAGAACAGCCTAAGTTTGACTTTACCAGTTGGAGTCCAGATGCACCAGCAGGTTTGTGAGGAACTCCAACAATATGTGAAAACCCAAAACCTAATCTAAAACACTGTCACATCCAAACATCACACCAAAATACTTACCACACTAGACTGAATTTTGTTTCATTATTTGGTCCATAACTTTTTTCATTTGTAATCTTGCCTTAATTGTTAGTTCATTTGCCATGTTTTCATGTTCCAATGGTTATCCTAAGGTCTCCAGTGGTTGAGTTTACTCCCCATGGACGCAGACTATGGCTCTCAAAAAGAACATGTTGGTAGGATCAGGGTATCTGCCACACACAGGAAAGCAAGGATGAAGCGATTTGCTTCAGGGCAGACAGTTGCAAAAAATAAATTAGGTAGGGACATGTCTGAAAATGCTCTTTGTGTTATTGATGTTTTATCTAAATATTTTGTAGTTTATTGCACAGGCATTTAATGACTACACATATTTTTTCGAAATAAAAGCTAAACAATAAGTTTCTTGTTTGATGTACCAAATTTTTTCTCTTATTTACTAAGACTTAAATATGTATAGATAATAAATGAAAAGTATAACTAGGTTGACCAATTTTTTTTTTTAGATGAGAGAAGGCTTCGAAATGCAGTGAATGATAATGATTATTATGCAGGTATGAAATGTACACTGTTGTAGTAAACCTAAATATTTGTATGTTGCACTCTGATTTTTAAGTGTTTATAAATTTTGTATAAGACTTGTTCACCTGTACATATATTTGTTCACTGATTAAATTTGAATCCCTGGGTTTGTGATTAAAATGTGCATTAATTAGAAATCATGCCTAGTTTTCTCTTTGTAATATTAGCAAACATAAACTCTTATATTATTGTAGCATTTGCATTGTAGAAGTTTGAATATCGTGATATCTTGTGTCCATACTTTGATGTTTGAAGTGCTCTTTACTGTTCTAGCATTTCAGCTTCTAGATGGTGGTGTGGACCCATGCAATTCAGATGAAAAGAAAAGAAGTCCTCTGCACTTTGCTGCCTGCAAAGGAAATGAACGTATTGGTAAAGACTAAAATGCATTGTCTATTTATGAAGAAACAGACAGGATTTGATAAGATTTAAGTCGCTGAAAGTAGACATTTCAATTTTTATTCATTGTCCAATTTAAAAAAATTGGGCAAATACAGCTAAAGAATTTACAAGTTCTGTAGCTGGTTGATGTTCTAAAGTTGCCATGGTTTTTGCCTGCCTGTCTGAGCCCTAAGTTAAACATTTTTCATATAATAGCGTCAACTTTGAAATAGTATTAGTTTATGTCACTGTTGGTATATTTTCAAGAAATTCACCTCTTTTTGTATTTTTAGCAAGTTTGTTGTTAGATTATGGTGCTGATCCAAACCAAAGAGATGTACTTGGGAATACTGCTCTGCATTTAGGTAAGGAAGGTCTGCCAGCTGTATCCACCCCTCAATATAATATAAACATACATCATGATAATGTCAGATGGATTTGAGGTCAATGCTGTTACTCATATATCTAATTTGAAAGAAAGAATTGAGCTCTACACTGATAAGCAATATTGTCAACATGTCCAATGTGATCTTTCATGTGAATGGACCTTTCCATTTTTATGATATGTCAGTCTCATTGTCATTAAAATTGTATTTTAGCTGCATGCACAAACAACATCAAGATGGTGACTGTCCTGCTTTCTGCAGGTAGGTGGCATTGATATTAAAACAGCAAGCTTGAATTTGACCATTTTCTTAATATACCAGTATAACTGTAACATATATGTACTGTTTTGTAACCTCCGTATGGTTCTGTCTAGTGATTTGTGTAGAAGGCTCAGTTACCATATATTTCAATCTATTCCTTATTAACTGGAGCAGGGATGAGATTTTTCTATCTGCAGATTTCTGACTTTTTGGGAACCAAAAATATCATTGACTCCTAGATCCCATGCCATGTTTTCCAACCTTTTCACTAAATGGCAGTCTCATCCCTGCTCAAGGGAACTGGTTTTAAACTATTAGTTGAATAGTCATAGTCTTGTCAGGAGTTGGCAGCAGATTAGAGCAGTTATGCTCCTCTTGTCTTGTTTATTACAGGACAGTATGTACATGCATACATTCTTTCCTTTTAAGGCACTGATGTAGCAGCATTAGATAACTCAGGTAGGACTCCTCTTCACTTGGCTGTATCCAGACTGAGTCTTCTGCAGAGGACCACTTCTTACAGCAGCGAGCAACTCAAGTGTGAGGTCTTTGAGGTAAGGGCTTTTGTCAGTTGGAAGTGATTTAATTAAAAAACTACTTGATCTAATGAAAACGCAGATAAAAAGTTTTGTTTTATCTTATTTAAGTTGTAAATTTGAGGTGTTTGGCACCTAATAGTGTTAAGACTTGACACAATTTTTTTTAAAGTAGGAGTATTTAGTTTTATTTACATTTATTAATTTCTTTCACTGCATATGGAAAATAACTATTTTGTAGGTGATGAATATGATGAAGACCTACTTGAGTCTGAAAGGAAGTGATACACAACGAGTTCAAGAACTTGATGACTTGTGCAGTAGATTAGAACGGACTTCTACCAAAGAGGAAGTAGATGAAGTGAACAGTTTGCTAACAAATTTAACCAACTTAAGCATCCAAAAACAGGAGCAGCCTGGTTGACAGATGACAAGTGACATCTATCATGTTGTCATTTATGTATCAAGCAGGTGGTGTTTGAACGGTCGCCCCAATAGGACTCGAGCTACAAGCTTGACCTCTGATGTGTCACACATTTGTCTCTAGAGACCAATGGTACAGGTGACACATTGAGATTCAAAAGCAGGAACCTGGTTGGACAAGAGAGGAACAAGACGAAGATGTGCTTTATGGGCAAATCAAGGATTCCAATTTTCCCCCATTATAAATATGAAGGAAATGGAAATCTATCTTGATTAATTCTGGCATCTTTTGTCATATTATGTCCTCAATGTAGGTAATATGCAGTAAGAACAAAAAGACGGACCCCAATTCCCATTATATCTGCCCAAGAAACTGTGGTCTGATAGTCCCCATAAATGGAATCAGGCATTGATGCATAATGATGGTTCCAATAAGTTACATTGAGCCGTTTATAGTATGCCTATGTTTTCACCTTATTTAATATCTGTCACGCTTTAAAGGGACTGGTGTGTTAAAGTCATAATAACTCTTCGTTTTGGCCAAAAATTGGATTTTCCTGGAAAAAACGGCAATTTTCCCGTACTTACCAATGGCCAACGACCCCATTCCTGCATTCAAAGTTAATCCAGGGTTTTTTTCCTAAACGTACGTTTTTTTGTTAAAATCTCTTAAGAGATTTTAACTGACGGAGCTCTCTCTGACATTGCAAAGTCACTGGTGACCTACTTAAAACCGCGGGAAAAGCAGACAACAACAACACTATATAAGATTCATGAGATATATTCGTCTTTTTGTTAAAAATGCATTTATATCCACAATGTGTGCCATTCTGGGCTTTTCGTTATCCGACGCACTGTACAAAAACTCGCAACTTACGTCTGAGGGTTTCCCGCCATGTTATTTTGGTCTCGAATGAACGCGAGAATCCACGTGACACCATTACGTCATTAGCAACGAATGCACTTGTTGACCGGAAAAAAGGGATCGAAAGCCCTATTGACAAGCACAGATTTTAGTTTTCCTACAATAACGGCCGTTTTAGTGGTAAAATACAATAGAATATATTTCCATGCGTTGTTTACAATGTATTTCATGCGGATTTTTGAATCTCAAAGGAAGAGTTATTATTGCTTTAAGTATGTTGGTTGATAGTGTATGCATGGTTGAATTCAGAGAGCATTTAAAATGGGATTTTTAACTTGTTTGGAGAGTTACAGAATTAATTCTACAACATCAGTGACTTTGAATGCAATTTTGATACTGGTATTACTTAGAAATGCTTTTGCAGACTAGGTTAATAAAGAAATTAGTGCTGTACTCTTGCCAGTGGTGATAAAATGGGTTGTGTAAGTACAGGAAAGACTATTAAATTTGAATTAAAACATTTGACTGAATATTTACCAGTTAACAGTTGCGACATTAACCACTGGGCCTACGCCATGGCTAGTACAAATTTGTTTGGACCAGTAGAATTTTCAGAATGTGTGAATTTAGTGATCTGACATGACCATTAGATATGTTTTTATAACTTTTAAAAAGAGCTTTCAATTTGGTTTAATTTTTCCTGAGATCCTCAATTAAAAAAACATTTGACAAAATCAAGGTCTTTTTTATTACTAATATTAATGCAAAATATCTAGCCTTATTGAAATTTTAATTTGGACCAGTGAATTTGGATTTTGATCATTAGTTTATAGGAAAGGTGTTGGATTGCCCAGTTAGCTGAAAATTGTATGGCACAGACTGAGTTAAGACATAAACTTCAGTACATGCCATTTCAACATACAAAAATACACTTTTATGTACACGGTAATAACCCTACATGTTTAAATCTCCTAGCCTAGCTACATGTATATCTGTCCATGAAGCCAGAATGGGAACCAGAGCAAGGGGGTAAATGAAGACAATAGATATTTTTATCATGTCTGTCAACCTTATTGTAGTAATATCTAGTGATCAAAATTCTGTTTTGTTTTTGAATTTGTATGAATCTCTTTGATAATCAAAAGGAGGACAATGTAGAAAATGGTCCTAATCTTTCTCTTTTTTCAAAGATATACTACAGTGCTGTTAGAGTATCTGGATAATGAATGTTGTTATCCTTCAAATTTGCTTAATCACTGATAAGGCAGAAATTTGTGTTTTCCTTACAACACACTTTATTTGATTATCATTTGAAGTTTATTTTTGAAGAGGTGGTTTATGCGATTCTTAATATCCAGGTATTTGGTCTAAACAGACATACTCTGTGTTAAAATATTCCCACTTTTCAGAATTACTTCTCACAGTGCTCATGCTGGAGGTTGTAACCTTTTTAGTTACAATGCAGGTACATCATTGCTGTACGTTTGTCAGATTAAGTTGGTTTGTTAAGGAGACTTGTAGCAACTCTTCATACATGATGTGCAACAGGCTGAGAGTGAACATAAAATAATATTTCAAAAAGATAAAAAGCAATGAAATATGGGACAAAAATCAATTAATATATATTTTGTGCATTTTTACCTGACCTGCATTGCACATTTTGGGGCTTGGCCATTACTTTGACAGCGCTGCTTTATGGTACTTGTGGTTATGACTTATTCTGTTCAATGGGGAAATTTATCAATTTTTCAGATACCTAATTTTTTGGAATTATCAGAGTTTTTTTGTATCATTTATGGTCACCGTGCTTTTGCTGTATAGAATGAAACTTAATTTAGTTTTAAGGTAGCCTGTTTTGTTGCTACCTTTTAACAGGAATGTTTTATTATTTTAAGAATTAAAATTTTGACTTAAAAATAAAGTATCATTTGATGAAAATCACAACTTTTCACATTTTTGAACGGATTGAGGCATAACTGTAATCTTTAATTTATTTTTGCAAAAATAAATGCTTTTTCTGTAACTAGAATCACTACTTTTATTGATTTATTGTTCAACTTAAATCATGAGTCCTTAGGCTAGCTTACAACAATAAATCTTTGCCATGAGAGTTGAAGGTGAGTTGTCTTCAACATAAATGGGCAACTCCTCACCAACTCACATCATAAGCAAACATATGACTGCAGCAACAACTGAACTAGAAACTTGATAAGTCTGTGCACTTTGGTCCTGCAGAATATAGGTCAAAGAGTTTACAAGTTGCACAGTTGCAAGTTTGCTGCCCTGCAGGTGACATAATTTTGGCTATACTGACTGTCTGAATTTGAAGGTGGGTCAATGGAACACGAAGTATTTTTGAGAGATAACAGCTAATCAATTGATAAAGCTAACAATGAACTCTTGATGCTTTGGAAGATGTATGCAAAATCCTGTGTGACCAATTACAAAATGTGACTAGTACTTGTGGCATATATATATATATATGTGGTACGTGGAGTGAGCATTGAACCATGCCAATTGTCAAGTGAATTAAAAGAAAAGAAGAGCCTGATAACTTTTATCATGACACTGTCAATCCTTCTGTAGCCAACTTGTAACACTGTTTTGTATATTAACGTGTAAATTTCACAGCCCATGCACATGGCAGCCCAATTTAAATTTATGGTTGTGCTCATTTATGAACTTGTGAACCACATCACATGCAGCCCAGTAGCCAACTTAATTCATTTCAAGGGGGTTGGAGGTCTTTTTCTAAAAATGACCTTTAAACCTCCTTAATTACTAGTAATCCATTTTAAGAAATGGCATAGGACCTACTTTGTAGATAAAATTTTGACTTAGAGCTGACCTTTGTCAACCAAAAGAATGCCCTTGATGAACCTTAATTGGAACTCCCCCTGCCTATATGCCTATACTAGTACACAAAAATCATGCAGTTCATTAATTACAGAGCAAATTTGTGGGGAGTCTCAGACCATTTGTTTGTTTCCCCTTGAACAAATATATATATGTGTGTGTGTGTTCAGTATTGAGGTTATCATTTTAGCAGGATTGATCTATCTCAGTGTCTATCACGCCCCCTCATAACTTAAAATGCTTGGATAAAGTCTGGAAAATTTTGTGGTTGAAGATTTTGTTCATGTTGGTTTGCAAGGATGCTTACCAGCTAGACTGTTAAGTTGATTACATCTAAGATCTAACAAACGGTATATTAGATCTTAGATAACATTGACTGCACTTTAACGAGAATCCCCAATGACTTGGTTAATTCATCCTTCTAGAAGGATAACTTCTATTCTGAACATTATAGCCTAACAGTCTATGGGCAAAATTGATGTCAAGAGGAACTCTAAGAACTTGAATATAATGTAGAGAAGAAAATCACCAAAACAATTGATTTTGCTAGGAGCCAAATGTTTAAATAAACAATATCATGTGATTAATAAGATGAATACATGTCTGAATTAAAAAAGGGCATCTTTCCACAGTTAATTGTCATATTTCAGATTTCACTGAAATTTTGTGTCTTTTTTGAATGTCTAGGACTTGGACAAATAGGTCATCAATCGAAACATGTGGATTGCCTCTCTCCCTGAGATCCGTGGTGAATTAATTCAACGCGTCCAAGAGATTCTAGGACATGGTGACAAAAATGAAGCCACTCTGGTGGTGTTAGGAATTTCTACAACAGCTGTGGTGGCACTGACAGCATATTACCTCATAACCAGACCAAAATCACTGGTACCTGCTTGGGCAGACCTCAGTGTTCAGTCAGTAGCTTTAGAGGTAAAGTCTTTATAACCAATTATGTTTTCCTTAGAAAATAAGACACCCGTGTACTTATAACTTTTTTCTATNGCCTTGTTCTAAAAATGACCTTTAAACCTCCTTAATTACTAGTAATCCATTTTAAGAAATGGCATAGGACCCACTTTGTAGATGAAATTTTGACTTAGAGCTGACCTTTGTCAACCAAAAGAATGCCCCTGATGAACCTTAATTGGAACTCCCCCTGCCTATATGCCTATACTACTACTAGTACACAAAAATCATGCAGTTCATTAATTACAGAGCAAATTTGTGGGGAGTCTCAGACCATTTGTTTGTTTCACCTTGAACAAATATATATATATATATATATATATATATATATATATATATATATATATATATATATATATATATATATATATATATATGTGTGTGTGTGTGTGTTCAGTATTGAGGTTATCATTTTAGCAGGATTGATCTATCTCAGTGTCTATCACGCCCCTCATAACTTAAAATACTTGGATAAAGTCTGGATAGCTTTGTGGTTGAAGATTTTGTTCATGTTGGTTTGTTAGGATGCTTACCAGACTGTTAAGTAGATTACATCTAAGATCTAATTAAACAGTATATTAGATCTTGGATTACATTAACGAGAATCCCCAATGAGTTGGTTAATTCATCCTTCTAGTAGGATAACTTCTATTCTGAACATTATAGCCTAACAGTCTATGGGCAAAATTGATGTCAAGAGGAACTCTAAGAACTTGAATATAATGTAGAGAAGAAAATCACCAAAACAATTGATTTTGCTAGGAGCCAAAGGTTTAAATAAACAATATCATGTGATTAATAAGATGAATACATGGCTGAATTAAAAAAGGGCATCTTTCCACAGTTAATTGTCATATTTCAGATTTCACTGAAATTTTGTGTCTTTTTTGAATGTCTAGGACTTGGACAAATAGGTCATCAATCAAACATGTGGATTGCCTCTCTCCCTGAGATCCGTGGTGAATTAATTCAACGCGTCCAAGAGATTCTAGGACATGGTGACAAAAATGAAGCCACTCTGGTGGTGTTAGGAATTTCTACAACAGCTGTGGTGGCACTGACAGCATATTACCTCATAACCAGACCAAAATCACTGGTACCTGCTTGGGCAGACCTCAGTGTTCAGTCAGTAGCTTTAGAGGTAAAGTCTTTATAACCAATTATGTTTTCCTTAGAAAATAAGACACCCATGTACTTATAACTTTTTTCTATGAATTCCTTTAATTTTTGAAAATCAATATTAACCCTTGGTTGCCATATAAACTTATTAGATTGAAATTGTATAGACATTATAGATGGAGTGTTATCTTAATCAGTGTAAATGTGAGTCCAGACAGGGAGAGCTCGTTCCCCCAAACTAACCAAAATTTACTTACAACACATGTAACTAGGGAGGAAAAAAACAAAAATGGTCTGCATCTTCATTTTTAACACCTGCAACTTGCTTTGCTGATCACCATGTAAAATAAGGGGGCCAAATGCTTTGTAATGTCATAATATAATGTTAATGTTAGTAATGTTAAATATTATGGTCAAATTTGATTGGTGCATTCAGGAAAGGGAAAAGGCGTATAGCCTAGATGAGTTAATGTAATTATTAACTCCCAGGCTAACCCACTTACTGTAGTTGATGTTATCATATTTAAGTAATTGATAAAGTACAAGTGTTTATGAATGAGTGCTTTATCTTACCTAAACCACGAAAAAGCAGAAAACAAAAGGCAGTACCATGCTCTGTTCCATGTAATTGTCACATTATTTGTTGTTTTGTTAGGCTACAGGGATAAAAAAATGGCTTGGCCAAATGTTCTCTACTTGAGCCGTGGTTCAAGTCAGATAAATTCCATCAATTTATTGTTCATTTCATGCTTTATTTTGTTTATCTAATACTTGGTTACTTATTGCAGTTTTAGTAAAATGAAGGATTGTATTCAGCTGCATGTATTTCATTTTATCTAATTTATCACTGTGAATTGCACTCAGGTTGGCTCTATCAAGTCATTCATTGGCACTGTCAACTGCCCTTGTTGTCATCGTTGTTGTTGTGACCTATACTGCCTCAGGAATTTAAGTCAAATGATTTAACACGTGACCCATTTTATTTTTGGGGTGCGTATTCTTCATGGACAAAATTAAATGAATGTATAACGTTTTGTCAAACAGGTTTATTTTCTGAGTTATGGAAAAGTTTGGCTCTGTTGAAACCAAAGAGGTATGTTTTTAGGATTAACTGATTTGTAGTGATTACTGTAGGGTTATTGTTTATTTTTTTTAGAAATGATAGTATGTTTAAGGCATTTGAGAACTCTTTTGTATGAATTAAGTGTTGCAATCTTTTTTTATCTGTTTAGTCATGAAAAAGAGCTGTTAATGGTGAGGCTTTTGGTGTAATTTTTGTAAATTAATAAAATTACTATTTAAGCAGTATTTGTAATAAAGATAATTTTGATGGGGTCTTTGGTTGAAAACTAAATATTTATCTACTAAAAGGAATATCAGTTAATTCATAATTTACTGTGGTAACTGTTGTTAGGATAACGAATTCCACTTAGTCAAGTGATTTGCATCCTTATTTTTCCACAAAGGTCAATCTTGGACAAATAATCCTCCAAAGCTCAGCTAAGATTATTAAATGGATTAATTCATGAAATATCTGCAAACTGCATGCAATTGTTAATTTCCTTTTCCATATAGGATGGTGTCAGGGGCTCCCCACTAGCAGAAAATGGGAAGTATATATATTATTTCTTTGAAGATGCAAAAACTCTTCACGAAGGATTTAAAAGAGGGATGAGAGTATCAGGTAAGTAAACAAAGTCACAGTAAACATTTGCACACGTACAACTAGATCAAATGTAATATGTGTCATATACATTGATATATGGTCCCATACCTGTCAGTCAAGGTGCTTCTGGTATTTTATACCTTAGGGGAGGGGAAGATTTAAAGAGATACTGGCTTTGGAACTGCATGTGTTGGTATGCTTAAATGTGTATTTGTTTATGGATTTCATTGTATGGATGAGTGAATGGATACCTGTGCATATGACTGGATGGGCATCAGTAGCCAGGGGGGTTCGGGGGGTTCTAAAGAACCCCCCTTTTGCTGGGAAAAGGTCCCTTCTGGTTAAAATTTTATCTAGGTAAATGAAAGTTTCATGGCAAAAGGTCCACTTTTTCAGAAAAAGAACCCCCCTTTTGAAATTGCTGGTTACGGGCCTGGGCATCCACATGTTTATGATTGTTAGTTTGTTAAAGGCATGGTATATCTGTGTATATCTCTAGTCTGTTTGTATTCCAGAGGATGGACCTTGTCTTGGCACCAGGACTGGCCCTAACAAGACTTATGAGTGGATGAGTTATGGTGAAGTATACGAGAGAGCAAAGAACTTTGGATGTGGACTGATCACCAAGGGGATGAAACCATGCACAGATAGCTTTCTAGGAATATTCTCACATAATATGCCTGAAGTGAGTTTCAGATCTCATAAAGAATAATTGAATAATCTACCGAACGGGTAGATAAGCAGATTTACAGTTTGTGGGTCCTACTGCAGTACTAGTGGCTGCTAATTTTATGTTGGGATTCTTTATTTGTGGCTCAAGTTGTTAATTTGGACATTTGTGCTCACATATTATATATATCTAGTCTTGAGTTTGCAAATGCCTAATCCATTTATGAGTTTGATCAAAACAAAACACTTCTGTGTTGGTACATATATCACTTACTAGAAATTTTATCCAATCAGTGTATTCCGGTGTACACAATCACTGATAACAATAAACACTTCAAAACAAGTAGGACCCATTGCAGATAATGCACCATTTGAAGTTATTACAATGATGTTAGAGATATGTGGATGTATTGTCTGATAAGAGAAAATTATCATCCTCTATCTCTATGTATTTCTTCATATTAAATACCAATGTTAACATATTAAATTTAAGATAAGATACCATGTGGTCTTGTTTTATTTTGCTTCTGGATTTTTCTTGTTAATCTCCTTGCCAATATATCATTATACTACCAGCTAATGTAGCTGGATTGGGTACCACATAACCACTCTGATGCATGCACCATCATTTGTATTCGTATATTATATTATATTACATTATATTATATTGGTTAGTCAGATTTGGGGTCTTCAGTAAAAAAAACTTTCAGCCTTTAAATCATTCTTTTCTGTCATTCTAAAAGTTTACACAAAAATAAATGAAAATAAATTAACTTGTCAGGAAATATCTGTTGGCAGTAAGTGCTCATGTAGAAAGAGGCCTCAACCTCTGATAGTCTCAGAGAAAGTAATCATATATTAATAGAATTTATACGATGAGTATTTCCATTAGTTTGGTGTTGTAAGCAATGTTTTTTTTTATTTTGGATTACAGTGGGTGATAGCAGAGCAGGCATGTAACATGTTCTCAATGGTGGTTGTCCCACTGTATGATACACTTGGACCAGAAGCATGCACATTTATAATCAATCAAAGTAAGGCTCTGTCAAATATTTTATACCAACATTTTTGTATCCTAAATACAATGTACAGATATAAATTCCCAGCTATGCAAAACCCCTGTCCATTTTAGTGTAAGCATGCATCTGCTAGTCCCTTTCTAATACCTTCTTGTTATTATCCATAATCAGTGTAGGGTTGATGTTACTTCTGTGACATACATATATGTACTCTGTCACAAATATTAAGTGTTGAAAATCCATAATCAAATTTTGTTTAACCAGTTTGTTGGCCCTCCAAAACTTCTTGTTTTTGGCAAGGAATGATTGCCTTTTTGATGCTGTTTACTAAATTTGAAACAGGGATAAAGTTTTGAACAATGTTAAGTTACGGTTTGAGAAACAGGCCACCATTACAAGTTGGCAATATCTGTTAGTGGCCAGAGTGTGTACCTGTATTTTGGTTTGTTTGTTCTAGCTCAGATGCCCACAGTTGTGTGTGACAACTCTGAGAGAACCAAAGCACTTCTGGATCAGATTGGAAACACGCCTTCTCTGAAGTGTATTGTCTGTGTCAACTTCAGTGACATTTCACAGGAAATTAAGGACAGTGCTGCTAAAAGCAATATAGAATTGGTTTCATTTACAAGTGTGGAGGTATTGTATTTCATTTTCTCCTTCAGATAATTAAAAGGTTAGTTTTGTGTGAGATGCATACATTAAAAATTCCATTGGTAAAATGAAAAAAAATCCTAGTGTGCAGGTAAAGTATCTTACTTTTTTCCTCAAATGATTTGAAGATTACTTTTGCCTAGGACTTTCTATTTTCGCAAACTTTAATGGGATAAAAAACTGAGCATACTAAAGATAAAAATTAAGATATAAGGACTGACAGAAAAAAGAAATACAAATGCTGTGAGGGTTTCAGTGTATAATAACTCCTGTTTTTAAATCAAATAACTCCTGTTTTTAAATCAAATTCTTAATCTATTTTTAAACTTGACCCTTCCTTTATTTTACAGACCCTAGGTTCTAACAATAAACAAGAAGAAGTGGTAAGATGTATTTTATTTGTATATTTCATTTGTAAGTTAAGTTTTCTGGCTTTCTGCCTTTTGTTTTATGCTTTTAAAACTTATGCATTTATGTAAATTACATTATCTTTTAATTGGAAAAGACCAAGGGTGAGCCTTTAATGTAAAACTGTTTGTAAAATGAAATGTCTTAAAATGTTTTGTAGTGAAAAATTCAGTTACTGCAAAGATTTAAGAGAAATTCAATGTTTTCATTTTAGCCCCCCAGGCCAGCAGACCTTGCCACAATCTGTTATACCAGTGGAACCACAGGTAAATATTGAACTCACAGATCAGGGGGAACTGTGAGTGAAATGAATACTTATGTTTCTTTGTTAGAATCTTAATTGCTTTTGCAAATTATATTGTGGGTATTCTTTGTGTCTGTGAATTGGTGATGCAGGTGTATCTGTAGATTTTGTATTACTGGCAATATAAATTTTCATGTTATGACATCCATAGCAGTCAGTGTTACAAATTCAGTTATACTTTTTCCAGGCAACCCAAAGGGGGTCATGCTTAGTCATGAGAACTTGATGTCCAATGTTGCAGCTGTGCTGAAAACGGTAAGTTATCTTACATTACATCATCTCCAATGTCCTCACAAATAACATATTTTCCGTTGTTATGGAACTGTATATAGAATGTGAAATGGTTAAAATTATTTGAGAGACAACTTGATTCCTAGCTCTCTAATTTGTAGTTACAATGTTTTGATATTCCCTTTGCTCACCTAACACACTGCCACACTTTCAAGTTTTGAGAACTACCTATATACTGTGAATTGAATAAATGTGTATTGTCCATTCCAGGTTGACATAAATGGTGGCCCCAGTGATATTCACATATCTTACCTTCCACTAGCACACATGTTTGAGAGGGGTGTGCAGGTTTGTGGATATTATTTTAAAGAAAAATTTATATATCCAGAACAATTTATTACTTTGCAATTATAGATTTATTCACAACATTTAAGCTTTCAACAGGGTTCAGATATGATTGTGTTAAATAGAGATCATAATGTAGTGTCATAATGGTGCATGGCTCTACAAAAGCACCTTTGAGAGCTTTCTTTGTATGTATAATATTGGTAGTATCTTATTGTTTATTTTTCTTGTTTGAAGATGAGGGAATTCTGCATCATAGATTAAGTAATTCTTAAATAAATCAAAATTTGTGTTGATTTCCACCCCAGGCACTGGCCTTCCAACTGGGTGCAAGGGTTGGTTTCTTCCAAGGAGACGTGAAGCAACTCATGGATGACATGCAGGAACTAAAACCCACATTCTTTCCTGTAGTACCAAGGTTACTCAATAGATTGTATGACAGGGTTAGTAGAAATCTGGGCACAGTTGTCCATTTAATTAAAGCATAGGGCCTGGATAATTAAGTGAAATGAAAAACCAACTTAAGGCAGTGCTGGATATTATGCCATTGAATGTGGTTTCACCAAGAACAAAACAGCTGTGCTCTCTATCTTGGTATAATTGTGTACTAGGTTTTAAGAATGCTCTTCTGTAGAAGTGAAGGTGAATATCATGTTTCAACATTTATTGTGAGGCCTCATCACATCATAACCTAGACAATGAATAGATACATTGACATCATATCAAACAATCATATTGTTAAAAACTGGACTTAAAATGCCTAAAGCAAGATATTCAGTATACTTAAAATGATTTTCTATTCCCAACCTAAGTTGTTTCTGATATGACATGCATAATATTATAAAGTCAGTTTGATTGTTTTTTAGTGTGAAATACCACATTAAGACGGAGGACTTTTTTTTTAGGTGATGGCAGGAGCCAGCACTAGTAGAATCAAGCGGACACTTTTGAACTTAGCAATAAGAAGCAAAACTGCAGAACTGAAAAGGTAAGCAGAGTGTTTGGTCCAAACTGCAAAGAAATAAAAACATTAGTTTTGGTAGCAATGTGATACTGAAACCAACTGACTGTCAATGGATATTTATTTAGTACTTAGATATACTGACTTGTATCATGTTTGACTTATACCGAGTCAGTATATACTTCTCCTTATACTTCTCCATATTTTGTCATTTTAGGGGAATTATTAGGAAGAACAGCTGGTGGGATATACTTGTGTTCAGAAAGATTCAGAATCTGATGGGAGGACAAGTCAGGGTAGTCATCACTGGCTCAGCACCTCTGGCAGACAATGTGCTGGCCTTTTCTAGATGTGCATTTGGATGCCCAGTAAGTGTGGTGTTTTGAATGCAGATGTACAGAAGAAATATGAAAACAATATTATTATTATCTATGTATTTATTTTTTTGCATTAAAATGATTCTAATTACATTGTAGCCCCTCTATAGATGAGTATTATATTGTACTGAACTTGTCCATGAACATGATATTATTTTTTAAAAATGAGCAAATTAACTAACTGCTCTCTAAAGGACATACCTGTAATTTGTGGATGAAAAAGATTGAGAGTATCCGTTGTTTTTTATCATGTACTAGGATGAAGAAACATTATAATCCTTAAGGTCAATGATGTTATTTTATTCTAGGTAATGGAAGGCTATGGTCAGACAGTCTGATGATTCATAGTATGCATTTCTTTGTTGTCATTTTTTTGGGGCAGAGAAACATTAGAACACAAAAGGTTTAACAATGTAATTTCATTCTAGGTAATTGAAGGCTATGGCCAGACAGAGTCTTCTGCTGGGATGTCCTGCACACTACCTGGAGATTTTGTAGGAGGTATAATAATTTAAGACTGATGGGCATAATAAAATATCTTTGGTGTTAATTTATACAATTTAGGTGTATTGATTTTAAAACTTCCTATAAGTATCATTTAATTGAAATAGGAAATATGAAACAGGGTTCATCTCTATATGAAATCTGCTCTATGTTTTTATATTATTTAGTTTTAGGATTACAAGTATTAAGTGCTTGCAACTTAAAGATTACAAAAGCACTGCTCTGAATCACAAAAACTGAACCTGGTGCATCATTTCACGATTATTATTATTATTATTATTATTATTATTATTATTATTATTATTATTATTATTATTATAGTTGTTGTTTTATCATTTTAATCCAGCATATTAAAAATTTAGAATTCACTATTAGTTTTTCACTCTTATTGCCCTTGTCTCCAGGCCAGGTGGGTCCTCCTATACCATGTAACGATATCAAGCTTGTAGATGTTCCAGAAATGGAGTATTATGCCAGAGATGGAAAGGGAGAGGCAAGTAGCTTAAACAGTCAATTTAAACATGATAGTTATATTGTAAGGTATCATTCATTCTAATTTTTGAAAAAGAAATTTATAAGAAATTGACTATGTAGATCATGACTGTGATGTGAAATCATGACAGTGGGTATTATAATGTGGGATTTGTGTGTTTGGGTTTATCATTTTTTCTTACTGAAAGGAAAAACATATTTGTTGCATTTTTAATGACTATTATAAAATTAATCTTTTAAGATTTTATCACCCATATTTCTATATGTCACAGGTGTGCTGCCGGGGTGCAAATGTGATGATGGGATATTTCAAAGACCCAGAGAAAACCAAAGAAGCTATAGATGAAGATGGCTGGCTACATACAGGGGACATTGGGGAATGGACACAGGTCAGAGATGTAAAAAAGTCTATTGCCTGGTATACCTATCAGGAAAAACAAGAAAAAGTATCATCCCAACCTTTATCCTGTGTCTAGAGTGGACCTTCACCGTTAGTCCTATATCATTTTGCAGGGATAAATATGTCTTTTATTGGTGGTTTATTGACAAATCTTACTTTGTATACAGTTCAGAAACTGGTGAAATATTCATCTTGTGCTGAGTCCATTTGTCAGGTTGCTATATGCTGATGCTGAGAAGTTGTCCAGGTAAAATTACAAATTGCCAAAAAACTTTTCTCTCTTGATTTTAGAATTGGTCATTAAAGATCATAGACAGAAAAAAGCACATCTTTAAGCTGGCTCAGGGAGAATACATTGCACCAGAGAAGATTGAGAATATTTATGTCCGCAGCCCTCTGGTGGCTCAAATGTTTGTTGATGGAAACAGTCTTCAGGTCTGTTATACCTTGGACATAATAATGAATTGTAATTTTGTCCATGTTATACTTGTTAATTCATAGAAACATTTTAAAGCACTGACAGAACCTTTCAGATTTAATCATTTTAATATTTGAATTAATGCAGGTTGTCTATACATAAGTCAGCTTCAGCTGGCTTGTTAAACATTTATTTGAACAAAATTTCATGTATACTGACTACTGGCTCTCTCAGAATCCACAACAGTGAATATTTAAGACTGTAATGATTGGTCTTGTGATTTACATTTCAGTCTTGTTTGGTTGGGATAGCTGTCCCAGATGTGGAAGTATTAGAAACTTGGACCAAGGAGCAGGGTATCCCAGGGAGCACAATGACTGAATGGTGCAGTAATAAGGTGAATAAAAAGTTCTAACTCTCATGCTCAAATAAAGGGTAAATATACCAGTATTTGAAGGAATCTTTTAAAATTTTCACAATTAGGTTTGCAATTATGAGAAAATATTTGAATACAACCTTGATTTTTCTACAGACCTTGAAAGAAGCCATTTTGAAAGACATTCAGCAATGTGGAAAAGACTCGGGACTGAAATCATTTGAACAGGTAAAAGTGACCAATTTATACCATTTTTAGCATTATTGGAGTGTTAACAAATTTTTTGTCTTGATTAATTTTTTTATGTTCAAAAATAATGTCTAACATGTTGAAATTGAAGATTGTATTTACAGAAACCTGTGAAACTAAATTGTATCGAAAATTGTTTCATTTAACTTTTTCTGTCACAGGTCAAGGATATCTACTTGTTCCCTGAGCTGTTTTCACTAGAGAATGGAATGTTGACCCCAACCTTCAAAGCCAAGCGTGCATTCCTTCGCAAGCACTTTGCTCAACAGATAGCAGATATGTACAAAAACCTAAGTTAAATCTAGTCATTTAAGATTGTTTTTTGCACAATGGATAAATTCATTAATCAAGCACATTGATAAAGTTGATGTATTAAACTGAAAATACATATGACTTTGTGTTTTCCATATGCAAACAAGTTATTTTTATAAACATACAGAAACGTCACGGGGAACTAGTAAACTGACCAAGTAGCTTTTCTGCACTGGTAAAGATGTCTCAAATATTTATACACTCATATGGTTAAAAATCAGTTGATTTGGTTTTTAAAGAAAATTACATATTCTCTAATCACTTTAGTTTTACTTAAACCATGTTGTGTTCTTAAAAGTCACTCTTCTTAAGACAAAAATTGTAATATACCTCAGATAGGCAGAAATGATATTATATTGGGTTAAATCTGCACTGGGGGTATAAGTATTTGATATTAGGAGGGTGTATGCAATCATCATAGCAACAGGTATATACTCAAACAAAAGAGTTTTCTGCCATCTATTGAAAAATAATCTTGACTGTACTATCCACATGAGGCATTGTTAGGTTATAAAACTATAACTCAATAAAAGGGGTAAATAATCTGGTCTGATGTGTTATCTATGTAGGCCTATACACAACACTGCATTTTCTGTGCCTTTGAAGCATGTTTTGTCTGAAACATTCACTCAATATTTGTGTTAATTGTGTAGGACACAAATTTTATCATTTGTGTGTCCAGAAATAGGATCTGGCAAATTGGGTCTATCAGTGAAACGGGTTTTGGTAATGTAGGGAAGGTGAATGAATTTTATTTTTGAAATTTTTCACAATTTTACTGTTATTAAGGACATTCCATGAGTGTTAGACCTTTAAATAGCAAAGAGAATTATTTCCAGGAAATTTGTATTTTTCCCCTCCTCACCAAGGTGTACCATATCCAGACCATTGACAAAATAATGATCTATAAACCAAACTATGAATTCTAAGTTTCTGATTTCGAGTGACTCTCATAACTGGTGAATTTCACTCATAACAGTAAAAATAGAAATGTAGAATTCAAAAGCAGTTTCATAGATCATAATTTTGTCAGTGGTTTGGATATGGTGTACATTGGTGAAGAGGGGAAAATATTGAAATTTCGAAGAAAATTAATTCCTTGGTCTTGGAGAGGATAAATCTTGGAAGTTGGGTAGTAAGCTGATGTGGTGGAGTTTTCCTGAAAAATAACTTTTTTTGCTATCGAAGGGTCTAATGTGCATTGTATGCCTTCAATTGTAGCCTAGTTTTCCAGTGATGCAAAGAATTAATTATAAAAATAAAATTTCTAAATCATGGTTCACTTTTCCAGAATACAGTTGTCAATGCAGTTTAAGTCCTGGTGTAAACTTGGTGGTTGGGATTGCAGTGTATAACTTGAAAGTTAAATTTGATCATGGCTTTGGATGTTTTACCACTTTTGACTGTTGAATAAAGAATGTTTATTTAAGATGAAAATATTGTTCAACACTTATTTATCCAATGCACTTACTGTACATAGCAGGCATGATTTGAGTGCTGACAATAGAAATATTGACATCTTTTTGTTATTTACTTTTTATGATGAAATTGTGCCACATCTATGTTCAAGAAAAAAAGATGACTCATTATGCTTCTGCATTAATCTTAGAAAGCCGAATTCTAAGACAATCAAAGATTCATATCCCAAGAATTGATGAAACACTAGATCTCTTCCATGCAGTTTTGTGGTTCGGTCAGTGTGCAAGATCTGAAATCTGCAAATTGGCAAGTAGAAATATAGGAATTTGACTAACCAAAAACAGCATCTACGGTTGGTCCATGAGTTTTTTTATGAATGTTTGCACATGCCTTATGGACATTGCAATGCTCCTTAACACTTCAAAGGCTGCTTGAAAGTGTAGTGGATTGTTTAATTTATTGAGATGATGTCATTGTTTTCACCAGAAAAATGTTACCGAATTGAAAGATGTGCTGGCACGATTGGGAGTCAAGCCTTATAAATGCTGTCTATTTTAGCATTAGGTTCAATATCATGGCCACATTGTTTCCAAAACAGGCATTCAGACAGATGCATCAAAGATTGAAGTTGTGAATTCATGGCCATGACAAACATTTGTGCAAGATGCTCTCTCTTTCATAGGATTTGTCAGATAATGCTGCTTTCATTGAAAATTTCAATAGAATAGCTCGCCCATTGCATGAATTTGAAAAATCAAGTCAAAAAAGTCTAGAAAGTCTCAACAGAATTTTAATTGGTTGCCTGACCACTAAAAACTAATAGATGCTAAACCACTCATCTTAGCATTTGCAGATTTCTCTAAAACGTTTGCATTGCCAGTTGATGCCAGCAGAATTGGTCTGGGACCAGTACTACAACAGAAGCAGGAGGGTCAAGATAGGGCAATTGCATATGCATGCAGATCGAGGGCTTCAACAAGCAGAAAATAATTATTCAATTCACAAATTAGGATTTTTAGCTTATAAATGGGCAGTTACAGAGAATTAAATCCTGATTACTTATATGGAAATTCTTTTACAATTACAACAATCTTTTACAACAACCCATTAACATATATATATTGACATCTTCAAAGTTGGATTCAGTAGGTCAACATTGGGTTGCAGAGCTGTCAAATTATAATTTCAATATTGTTTATGTTTCAGGCAACTCCAATGTTGAATCAGATTCTCTATATCGCATTAGGTGACAGCAGAAAATTGCATCTGATAGTTGCAATGCTATTTACCTCCGCCAAGGAGGTTATGTTTTCACCCCTGTTTGTTTGTTTGTTTGTTTGTCTGTTTGTCTGTTTGTCTGTCATCAACAAAACTCAAAAAGTTATGGACCAATTTTTCAGGAACTGTCAGAAGTGGGCCAAGGAACAGATGATTAGTTTTTGGTGGTGATCCAGATTAATGATCAATCAATAGTCAATAATTTCTGGTTTGGTCCTAGCTTTGTAACATAATTTCTGATTATGAAGAACAACATGACACAGGGTATATTTCAAAATAACAGATGTGGAGGTGATTTTATACTCTATCTTTAATATGAAGAGACAGTGTATACAATTGAAAACTGAGACATTATCAATATCCAGTAAGTCATACTTAAATTATGGAATAAACACAAAGCAATACAACCAAGTTAATTTTGAAATTCTTCCTCAGTAGGCCCTGTAACTCACTATAGTTTCCTTATGGAACATGCTACTTTCATGTACTGCTTGAGAGACTCTTGGGCATAATGACGAAAGGACGTGAAATGCGGCATCTTCCATTGAAGCTATGTGCATTCAGGTAAACATTCGCCCATTGTCTCAGATAAGCTGTTTTGATAGCTCCACAGGAGCCTGAACAGCTTAATTATTATCAAGGAAGGGCGCGCTATGCCTCAGTGAATTTATTTTGTTCTATTGCATGGATAAAGCAATTTCTCGTGGTCCCTCGTGGTTGCTATGATACAGCATTGCTGCCATCTTGCAGTTTTGAGCACATAGGCTTGCGTCAACATGTGGAAATTTGTTTCGGGTTTTCATGATCTTTTTCCTGTTACCTCATTAAAACGGGTTCTGGCGTTTGTCTTTACTTGTTAGCATTTCAAAGATTGTATTGATCTATGTTGAACTGATATACTGTATACCTGGTTTTAAAGCAATATATCGGCCGATTCATGTGTGGTGTCATTTTCCAATGAGAGCTGATATTGAGAGTAAAGAAATTATCAATTAGCATCCACAAATTCGAGCAGACAATAGCCGGTTAAATGATCATATATATACGTACAGTTCACAGTAGTGTTGATGTCAACTTTGATAAAAGGATATTGAAAGCATCCCGCGCGCATTTTTGTGTGTCACGAATGCATTTGTTCTGCCATATTGCAACGAGAACCGATATTGAGGGTAAAAAAATACTAATTAGCATCCCCATATTTGAAAAGACATAAGCTGGTAAAATGAATATGTATATATAGTTCACAAAAGTGTTGATGTCAACTTTGATAAAGGAATAGTGAAAGGCATTATGGGTGCGTTTTTGTGTGTCACAAATGCATGTGTAGTGCCATATATTGCAACGAGAGTAAGAAAATTAATTATCATCCCAAAAATCGTGCATATTTTAGCAAATTTCGACTATAGATATATTTTCCTATCGGATCATAGCTAAAAACAAGTATGCTTCAATGCAATTATACAATTTTGAATGCTCATTTTACGGCAACAAACAAGATTGCCTTTACCACATAGGGCATTTTGAATTCCTCCATGAACAAACATATCAAATTCTCATATAGCTTCCAAATTGATAGAACAAATTGTACTTATACTTTAAGTCTATAAGTTTATTGTCTCATCCACCCGAATGTTTGCCTCACATTACTCTTTGTATTATGCAATTGTTGGTGACATGTTTTGTCAGGCTAAATATACTCTCTCCAGTAATACTGTCCTACATTCCAGGCTGATGTCTCTTCCAACCTGTTTGATGTTAAAGCTGAGATGAATGGTCAAATTTAAATGCTTCACTGCTCATGTGTAATAAACCTGCCCTTCAGAGGTATCAAAATTTAGGTCAACTGAGGGCTGTGGCTTGTGGGACAGCAGTTGTGTTGGTCTTGTGTAGGTTTCATTCCATCACTGCAGTATTTAGGAAGTGGTTTCTTGGTAAAATGGGAGCACAACAATCTCAAAGTTCAGAGCAGAAGTATAGAGTACATGTAGATGGAGAGGAGGGCACTGAGTTCTCTCCCACTAATCAGTCTGTCCAGCTTGAGGTAAGACCTGTTCTGTAATATACAATATATACATGCATATTGTGACCACATAGTAGCCTGACACCTGAAAGATTCACTGTGAGTGTAAATGCCAGTCTCTTTTTTATCTATATGTCACTCTCCTTATACCAAATTATTGAATTCTGACCATTATACATACCCCTCATCCAGTAGCATTAAACTGTACAGTACTTACCATAAATAACTTTGCATGGACAAATTTCCACAATGTAAGTTTTAAGGTCAGAATTTAGAATTTAATTATTGATAAGTATGACATTTTAGCTAAAAAGATCAACATTTCATATCTGACAGTACATCTGTTTCCCTTAATAATTTATTCAGCTTCTTGATTCAGGATGGAATCCGTGGTTCTTATTTGGCAGAGCCTGGGAAATACACAGAATACTTGTATGAAGATGCGAAGACCCTAAATGAGGGCTTTTTGAGGGGAATGAAAGTGTCAGGTAATCCATTTTTTTCATGTTTGGCTTATTGAAACTATATATACTTTCAGGAACTTTACACTGAATTTATATACTATAGCTCTAATTTTTCTTCACTTTTTACCATTGGTGACTTGTGTTGACTTAATGTCTCAAAGTAAGGTAAATAATTTGAATTTTCAAACACCATATACTTATTCTTATCTTGGTCTTCCAAGATTTATCATTTTTAATCATGCATAGAAATAACATTTGATTTTATAAAAGTCTTACTGTTGTGCTTTTGCAAACTTTGTATGCATCACTAATAAAACATTGCTTTTTGGAATTAACTAATTTTGTTCAAAACTTTATAAGCAATCTGTTTTACTGCCTTTGAAGGTACTAGTAACATTTTGAAATGACTCAATTTCCTATTTGTGCAACCACAACATTCTTATGCTAATTGAAATGTATTCTGATTTTCAATTAGAGGGATAATAACTATTCACTGAACTTTCCTGGAGTAAACAACAATTTTCCCATACTTACCAATGGTTAATGAATCCATTTTTACATTCAAAGTTAGTCCCTGTTTTTTTTTTTGTTTTTTTTTAAGTTTGTTTTTTTGTTATAATCTCTTAAGAGACTATAACAGAGTATATAGCCATCAATGGAGGTCACATGGTCTAAAGACAAGCTCAGATATCAGAATAATAGCTGTAACTGCTGTTTTTTTGGTACAACAGAATATATTATACCGGTATTTCTGTGAGTTGTTCACAATTTTTTTTATTGTGAAATATATATCTTGTACTAAGAGTTATTATTCCTTTAAAGGAATAACAACTCTTCATATTAGGTCTATATTTCACTATAAATACATCTAATTATCTAATTATTCAGATAATCTTTCTTTCTCTCTTTCATGTGTTGAATTTAGATTTACAATTGCCTTTAGTTAGTAATTTGGTCTGGATAAAGGAAATCAAAGGTGATCATGAAAGTCCCTTTGAAAAATTGCTCCTGTCATTAAAAACTTTTGTCTTTTATAACCTTAAAACTAGCACTGTGGCATTCTGATCTTTATAATATTTAATTATCCTTGCAGTGCACTTTGATATCTGTATGAAGGTCAATGACAATGCATACATACATATTTAAAGATGCTTATCAAGAAATAGGCCTTGTCATTCTTTGGTCAAATTTTTGCCATGTAACCCGACCCAGTGCTGCCATATAGTTTTAAATAGCTTAACTTTACCACTACCACCACCACATGTTATATCTGATATTTGCATGGGTATTTTCTACTTATCTTGCCTTACATACTGGAGGGAGAATATGTAGGTCAAACTTAGACTGGAAATTGGAAGAAGGCCCAATTTAAATCCTTTTCTGAGAGATTTATTATTATTATTATTATTATTATTATTATTATTATTAATTTGTGTTGTGTGAGAAAGTAGCACTATTTAATTTTAGGTGTTACAGCTAGGCATTTTCCCCCACTTCATGTGCAAAGCTAACAGGATGCTATCATGCAGGCACTCCAAAAGGGACGCTTCAAGGGATTGTTATGACCACAACCTTTTATATATATTTTTCCCAATCTGTTTATTTTCTAGAGAATGGACCTTGTCTTGGCACCAGAACTGGCCCCAACAAGACTTATGAGTGGATGAGCTATGGTGAAGTATATGAGAGAGCAAAGAACTTTGGGTGTGGACTGATCACCAAGGGAATGAAACCATGCACAGAAAGCTTTCTAGGAATATACTCACAGAACATTCCAGAGGTAGACAACTTTTGTGTTACAGAGCAAGAAACATTGCAATTACATTAATTAATGTCAAACTAAAGTTTACTGAATGGTATTATATAACTCTTGCTTATTTAGAGCTTGAATGTTTTCATCGTTGACATGCCCCACTGTTGATGATGGACACGGTTTTTAAACAGCACACTGGAAAATTACATTACTTCAATTAATGCTTAAGAAATTTGATTGGCTAGCTTATGAAGATGTCCCCAGCAAAACAACCAAAAACATGACAATAGCCAGGGACATATCTTGGAACATTGGCTCATTGATATCTCAACATTTTAGTCTTCATTAAAGGACAAGAGCTGGTCTTATTGCCGTAAGTGTCAGCAATGCATCAAGTTTGAATTGTCTGTAATTCAATATTATTGTTGATGTTCCAGTGGGTGATTGCAGAGCAGGCATGTAACATGTTCTCAATGGTGACTGTTCCACTGTACGATACACTTGGAATGGAGGCATGCATTTTTATCATTAACCAAAGTAAGAAATTGTCATAGTTTAACATTAATTTTTCATTGGGATTCAACAAAATAAGAAATGTAAATAAAGACTGGTCCTTAAATCATCTGGACCAATCTGACCTTTATGAGGTCTATGGAAACTGATGAAGCTTACTTTAAGGTTATATAACATGTCAGCCAAAACCAGGCTAAAATGAATTCATATAAAACTACTGATATTATCATATTATATTGTGGACATTATTTGCCTACAGAAAAAGTATAGTAATTAACAATTTTCTGATGATGTCATATTTGGGGATGATTTAGGGGTGAAAGTGTTCTTTTTTGGGGGATGCTCTCTACTGCATGTACCTATTTCAGTAAAAATACCAACATCTACATGTAACAGGAGCTGTGCATTAGTACTATCAGATGGCTATTCCAATTTTCTGATAATGACTCAATTTTATTGAATCTTTGTAAACAAGACTGAATAACATCCACTTTAAACATGTTGTCAAAAATGTATGACACTTGATTGTTTCTCAGACCTTTATCAACAACAACACCAATTTTGGCTTTTTATGTACAGACACAGATGTGTCTGTNCCTGCGCTTTTTATTTTCTGGTTTTTGTCTGTACATTTGACAGCTTTGCTGCCTTGTTTTATAAAGTTTTCCTCTGAAACGAACGCTATCTACACCCAATTAAGATACTTGAGTTATAGTCCAAAAATGCTTCCATGTACTTTTACAGGTGTCCTTGGCACCTAAACTAACACAGTCATACCTGTTATCATCATGTTGATCAGCATTTATGCCTTGGTATATGTTGATGTGACAGATTGATAAAGAAGAACATATAAGAAAAATAATCAAATTAGGTGATATAAAATTACATTTTAGATTTTAGGCTATATGATCTTAACTGTAATTGTTCTAGAATAACGGGTCCGGAGTTATTTGACACCACAGGTTGCATACTGTACCATGTGAATATCTAAATCAGTGCTATTTGTTCATGCACAATGTGATGTCTCTTTAATTTTTGTCTCATTTTAATTCCAGCTGAGATGACTACTGTTGTATGTGATAAAGTGGAGAAAGTGACCTCTCTGCTGGAACATGCTGAACAAATACCAACATTACGCCACATTGTCTATGTTTCTGATGTGACAGAAGATTTGACAGCACAAGCAGCTAAATACAGCATAGAGCTGATTGCTTTTAAAGAACTAGAGGTATAATTTATTTTATGAATAATCAGATTTCTATGTAAAATCTGTCTTGAGTCAATGATGCATAATCCTCAATAAATTCTGTTTTGAGTAAGTGTATTGTTCTGTTATTTTATTATGAATAGATACTGAATTTTTTCAATTCACTCTTAATTTTTGCTAATTGACATGATTTGTGTGTTTTTTCAGGTTCTTGGGCTAAATAATTTACAAGATCCTGTGGTAAGAATAATAGCATCTTAACTTAGATCGCATTCACAACGAGTTGAGCCAGGCTTTACAAATCATGGAACTAAATATGGCGGACGTACATGAAAGAAAAACCGCCTAATCTTTTAATAGTCTCTCCTGCTTTCACACGCCTCCCCACACGTCGTCCCTGCGGGGTACAGTCATTAAATCTCGGCTCCGTTTGCCATGCGGAAGCTACCTGAGAAATATTAAGTGCGCATGCTCATTGGTCTTGGGTCAGCTGATCAGCTGGGTAGGCCTTTCTCCATGAATATCTCTGGTGACATTATCTCCATAGATAGCAGATTCATTGCTGCTCTACGGGCCAATTAATTTCTTTTTCGTCTCTGTTTTGAAAGATAATAGAACAGAAGAGCTTTTTTCCTTCGATCGCCTCCAGCCGCCATGCTTTCTTCACCTCGAGTTTAATTGATGAGCATGCGCACTTAATATTTCTCAGGTAGCTTCCGCATGGTGAACGGAGCCGAGATTTAATGACTGTACCCCGCAGGGATGATGTATGGGGAGGCATGTGAGAGGCGGAGAGACTATTAAAAGATAAGGCGGTTTTTCTTTCATGTATGTCCGCCATATTTAGTTCCAGGATTTGTAAAGCCTGGCTCAACTTGTTGTGAATGCGATCTTATTAATGCTGCAGTTGACTACAGTTGAAAGTTGTTTTGAGAGAGTCAATAATTAATTCAGTAAAAGAAGCAACTTCCTAAAAATACACAATCATTATGTTAAATATATATACTGAAACAAAATAGAAATGCATAAAGAAAAAAAAAGGTTTATTCTTATGTAATTTTCTATAATGTATGATCAACAAAAACAGCATATATTCCTTAACAACTAAGCTTTAAAATTGTGGGCTTTACAGTCAATTTGAAATCAATAATCCCAGAGCAATGGCATCAATAGCACAGAGGGGGGTCAATGGTCTGAGTTTACAAAGGTCAGTAAACCAAGTGTGCCCTACCGGGTGGAAATGCCCAAACTGGGTGTATACTCACTGGGAATGACCAAATGAACCTGAACCAGTTGATTCAAACAAAGTAAACCAATCCAATCACAAAAAAATAATAAGACATAAATTTGAGCACATTTCTTGAAAGTTGGTATATTTTCATTCAAAATTTGGATTCATGCATTTATATTTTGGTTCAGTATACATTTAATAACAAAATAGATATAAACTGCATATTTGCATTTATGATTTTGTAGCCTCCAAGCCCATCTGATCTAGCAACAATCTGTTTCACAAGTGGCACAACAGGTTTGATATATTTTGCATTGCATGAACATATGGCAAGTGTGTGCATGTGAGTGTGTGCAATTATGATCTTTGGCAGAGATGTTTTCGAAAATTTTTAGTATGAAATTCTCTTTCCCTCTTTTACTTTCTCTAATATTTTCACTGCAATAAATACTTTATATTTATTTCTAAGATCTCATGTTTTCAGGAACCCCCAAAGGCGTCATGTTGAGTCATGGAAATATTATTGCAAATGTTGCAGCTGTGTGTAAGGCGGTGAGTTTAATTGGTGTAAATATATTGTAAATATAACTGACCAGCACATTCTTTAAAAAAAGTCCACCCTCCCCCATCTCAGCTAAATGTCTGAATATAAAAAAATACTGTTTTTCACTTTTCTCCATTTTTCTAGCTCCATTTCAATTAAAACTTGCATGTTTTGCCTTTTTTCTTTTGAAGTCAAGTTTGAATATGTATTAATGTATTCATATTTATTATATAGGCTGAGTTGGTTGCCAGTCCAGCAGATAGTCATATTTCTTATCTTCCTCTGGCCCACATGTTTGAAAGAAACATGCAGGTAAATTATATTACCTTTGTTGAAGTATAGTTTAATTCCCTATGTTAATAAAGGACCGGAAAATTTGTTAAGCAAAGAGAAATAACCTTGATGTAGAATCAAGTTGTTTAAAATAGATCAGTATCAGAACTTAATTAAAACTGGTCTCCCTTCTAGGCTCTATCTTTTCAATCAGGAGTGCGGGTAGGTTTTTACCAGGGTGATGTGAAGTTGCTTATGGATGACATGCAAGCTCTCCAACCCACATTATTTCCAGTTGTTCCTCGTTTGCTGAACAGGCTGTATGACAAGGTATATCTTACTAGTAATTTTTACCTTTACACAAAAAACAAAACAAAAAAATTTATGAGTAATATTGGATTTTGCTATCAAAAAAAAGGTAAATTTTGTGTCTATGAATCTTATTTAGTGAGCAGAAAAGCAGCCTTAAGGATATTGTCACCCTTCACCCAAAACTCCTTATTTACTGCCTTACATACATTCTTTTGGGTAATAAATAAATCTTCAGTCTTTGGTGACTAAACATTTACACATATGTAATCTTACAGGCGACATCATAATTGTGATTTGGGGGTAAAAACTGAAAAATCGGTTCCTCAAATTTTTCTTTTACCTCAGCACCCATGACCACCATTTTAATGCTGATTTAACATAGATGAAATTGTCTGTAAAGCTCAGCAATGACTTTACTTTCTACAGCGATTGAGGTCATTCTATGTTAACCAAGAACTGCTGGCAAAATTATAGCGGGCACTGATTGAGAGTGTACTAACACAATCTTTCACCATCTGGTACGGTAGTGCTACAGCAGAGGACAAGAATCGCTTCAATCGTGTAGTAAAAACTGCCAGGCACATTGTAGGTAGGGACTTGCCATCAATTGAATGTTTGTATACGAGATGGGTGCTCAAGGAATTGAAGTCAATCATGGGTAACCCTGGTCACCCAGGGAATAGCCTACTTATGCAAAAGTTATCGAGCCGACTACGGTCATTAAAAGCAACCTCCACGCACACTAAAATAGTTTTTATCCATTAGCAGTACATATTTTTAATGAACAAAATGTATTTTAATTATTCCCATTGTATTACATTTTATCAACAGATCATACCAATTTTCATTTTATACTTGTATAAATATGACAATAAATTATTATTATTATTATTATTATTATTTAATGAAACCATTTAGTGTGCCAAAACCCTCCCAGCAATTTTTCTTGAAAGTCTTAGTTCAGATTTTATTGATAAGCAAAATAATACCTTTGTTTAATGAAAATCTGTAATTAGAGGGGTATAACTCCATAACAAAAACATTTATACCAAAATGACAGCATGGGATTGTAGCCTATACACTACTGGTCAACTCTCAATTTTCGTAATTAAATCTCGGAATGAAGTTATGTCCCACACCTATTGCTATCTCACCTTAAAATAGAATAGTGTTAAATTGACGTTTAAAGCTTTGAATTGCCTATGCTTTTACATTGCAATGAAAAAATGTAAATGCTGATATTTTATATTTTTGAGGGGTTTTTTTCATTGTTTTAAATCAGCATAAAGATAGATGCATTATTGAATAATTAGATGTAGAAAAAAACTCATTTTCGGTACCTGGATGAAAATAAAGGGTAACAATATCCTTAAGTATCTAAGAATCTGCATCAATTGCGAAATTATATTAAGATATCTCAAATCAAACCATACTTTGCCTAGTGGGCCCATCCTTAAACATTGAGGTTTTGCCTGAAATCAAAGTTGGCCTTGGATTTTTTCTCAAGAAATAGATGAAGGATTATGTTTTCAAAGATCAAAATTTCAACTTTCACAATTAGATTTTCTGTGATAAGACATTAAGGGTGGATTGTTGTACTTTAGGTCTAGTTATAGTAGAGTGACTTCTCGATCCTTTATCAGATTTTAGCTGGAGCATCAGAAAGCTGGATTAAACAATACTTGGTGTCTAAGGCTTTGGAAAGTAAGAGCGCAGAAGTAAAAAGGTAAATATCAGGTACCAAAACAATCGCACCAGGTAACAACATCTCAACCCACCAAGGTAGAAAAATTTGTTTCGTATCTCTGTAAGTTGAAAGTTGCACCAATTACATGTAATATATTAGTGCATTCAGAATAAGTTGATCCCCAGATTAACAGAACTCCGACTAAATAGATTATATATGGCCCAGTCACTTAAAAGCCATGCTGCTAATTCCCTGATGGTCTCCCCGCCTCCACACGTGCCATATTAAATGGATTGAATATTGGCTCCAAGGTTGAATTGCTAGGTCCCTGCAAGGATGGCAGGTGTAGAGACGGGGAGACCATCAGGAAATGAGGGGCACTGCTTTTAAGTGGAGCCGGACATATTTAGTTGGTGGATCAGTTAATTCACGGATCATTTGTTTTAAATGCACTGTATGATTGACTAGGATCATTTACCTGCTACTGGTTCAAATAAAAACTGTGATGGCTGATGGCAAGGAACAAACAGACACCACCATATAATCAACTGTCACTGTTCTTTGTCTTTGTTATCATGATTGTTATCAATGAAAAATAATTGGAACATATATTTTCATAATCTGGTTTATATTTAGTACTACCTGTATGACATTTTTCGTCCTCAGTTTATATACTTATCAAATCCTTATCTATTTTTTCACATTTCAGGGGCATTATTAGAAAGGATAGCATATGGGATACACTAGTTTTCAGAAAGGTTCAAGATTTGCTGGGTGGTAATGTCCGTTTTGTAGTAACTGGGTCAGCTCCGCTTGCACAGAATGTTATCAACTTTGCTCGATGTGCTTTTGGATGTCCAGTGAGTTCAGCTTGAGTTCATTGTGTAACTTCCTTGGAGTTAGCCGTTATCACTGTAATATTTTAATTATATATCGCAGTTGATTTTTTGTGCCTGTTGACTTCTCTCCTAGCAAACTTGAGAAATAAACATGTCATTTGGATTGGTTTTATTATATTATGGAAAGTGATAATTTTTACTTGAACCATACTGAGTACCCTTAAAACTGAAAACCATTTCCACGGCAATGAATATATTGTATTCTGCTTTGTATTGCCTCTATTTTAATGTTTCCTGTCAGTTATATGAGGCTTATGGTCAGACTGAAGCTACAGCTGGAGTTACAGTGACTATTCCAAGAGCTCCAGTTTTAGGCAAGTACATTTATTCCTTCTTTCTTATTATAATTGTTATGGAATTCTACTTGTACTCTCTCATATGGAAATCTGAGTAAATTGGAGATGTGTGAGAGTGAGACAGATGGCAGCTTACAAAAGATTGCTGAAATCAGTTGGGTAAGTGGTATTATAAAGTTCTTTGTAAAAAATTCTGGTTTGTTTGTGGTTTTTACAGATAAGGACAGTTGTATAATAAGGGCTATATGCCATTTTTCTGAAGATATAGGTATTGATCATCAATAATGTAAATTATGAGATGTAAATTAAAACTGTTATTGTATTTCTGAAAATACAGCACATAAAGTTTTCAATTGAAAACTGCAGAAAGTTGTAATGTTGAGCATTATGGTCAGCATCTGGTCATCTATCTCCAGGTATTAATGTGGGGCCACCAATTCCCTGTAACATTGTCAAGTTGATAGATGTGCCAGATATGGGATACTTTTCCAAAGATGGAAAAGGAGAGGTACTTGTAGACTTAATAACAGTATACATTTATTAAGCTTGCTGAAATAGTTTTTTATGTACAGACACAGATGTATCTGTACATATAGCCATCATCTTTATCTGTATGACAAAAGATAAAGATGATGGCTATATGTACAGATACATCCGTGTAAGTTGTTTTGTGTGTGTGTGTGTGTGTGTGTGTGTGTTGTCTTCAGATTCAATTCTTAGGCATGTTAACAGTCTCAATATTGAATATTTAGCTTTGTTAAGTGTTCATTTAACATTATCTGCATCTAAGCAATTATGTTAGTTAATTATTTATAATAAAATGATAGTAAATCTGTTACTGCATATTGTATTATATTGTCTGAGATGTTTAAAAGGATTTGTTAAACTGATAAAGATTTTAGTATTGTTTTCAGACAATTTCCATGGTATTCAAGTTTATTTGCCACATATTAAGGATTACCTGTTGACGATAAATACTTTAAATATAAGACTCCTCCTTATGATTCTGTATTTGTGCACAATCTGTTAGACATTAACATTCCTACTTAAGAAGGGTAATTACACTGTCAAACCAAATTTTTTAGATTAAGTATGTGTGTTTTCTCTTAATTGATCATTAAACTATTTTCATATTGTACAAAATCCCTTCATATTTCAGGTATGTGTGAAGGGATCTAACCTGATGATGGGATATTTCAAGGAGCCAGAAAAGACCAAAGAAGCTATTGATGAAGATGGCTGGTTACATACAGGGGACATTGGGGAATGGACACTAGTAGGATGTTTTTTATGTGTCATATATTTATCACATTAGAGTATTATGGAAAATGCAAATGTTACATTTAACTTTTCTGTATAAAGAGCTGTGTACTTTACCATATATGTTCACATATATGTAGTATTTCTCAGTTATTATATAAGCATTGATTGAATACATTCAATGACTTGTTTTTAGAATAACACATTTAATGTAAATTTAATTTTTGATTGACATATTTTCTTTCTAGAATGGAGCTTTAAGGATCATAGACAGAAAGAAACACATCTTTAAGCTGGCTCAGGGAGAATACATTGCACCAGAGAAGATTGAGAATATTTATGTCCGCAGCCCTCTGGTGGCACAAATGTTTGTTGATGGAAACAGTCTTCAGGTGAGTATTTAGAGGTTTTACTCTGCCCTCTTCAGTGACTGTGTACAGATGTGAAATATAAAACCATATGAATTTACTTTGCAAGATTCAAGTTGAATGATTAGCCTTCCAGACTGTTGAATATATGCTCTGCTGTAAAATGTATTTTGTAAAAGTAATCAATATTTTTCCAGTCCTGTATAGTTGGCATAGCTGTTCCAGATCCAGAGGTCTTGCCTGCTTGGATCAAGAAACAAAATATCACAGGGTCCACAATGGAGGAATGGTGCAAGAATGATGTGAGCATTTATTGAAAAAGTTAATATTGATAAAGTCTGTTGCACATGGGTGCTTAATTTTGGCTTACTAAAATATTCTTATGTGGCAATTGCTTTAAGGAGAAAGCCATTGTGTGCAGATGATTGATTTTTGTCTTTTTAAGCACTTCATGGGTTATGTATGATATTTTTGCAGTGCATAGAGAAAGCTTTCCCATGTGTGCTAAGAGAAAACTTTTTCCAAGAAGAGCATAAATAACAATATGAAATGCATAGTCAGCAGCACTTCAAAGGGTAAAAATCATTTATGAGTCACACCACACTTCAGAGCTTTCTCCTTCATGAAAGTGCAATTCAACTGACTTTTTGGTGTGCAGCAGGCTTAAGTTTGTAAGCTCATGCATGAAGTCCATTGTGTAGAAAAGAATATATGGATGTATGGGTGCTCTTCTCTCTATGCCCCATCCTCCTTTAAGGACAGTTAAATATTATTGGCTGTCAAGTATTCCATATGAAACTAATGTTATCTATCCTACACAGCTAGTACCAGTATTATTATTCCCTGTAAAGAGATTATTTATTAGCATTCAAATGTAACACTTTTTAAAATAAAAATGCAATTTGACATTATATGATTACTGACATAATTGTTTTTAAGGTCCTGAAAGATGCCATTTTGAATGACATTTTGGAATGTGGAAAGAAGGCAGGTCTTCACTCCTTTGAACAGGTATTTATTTCCTCCCACAATTTTTATCTGCTCATAATATTGAACTGGGGCATTTTATCAAATTTCTTTTGCTCCATTTTGATATACTACACTACACATAATTGGCAAGGAATTCATGTTTTAATGTCAATATTAAGTTAACGGTAATGTCCTTTAAGTTAACGGTAACTGTTCATGAAATAGAACTTTTATTACTTGAAGTTTATCAAAACTAATTTGATTCCTTACAATTATGACAAATGACCATCACTTTGATGTACAGACATCAAAATGCCGGATTATATTGTTAAACATTGGTTGAGGGGGTTAAGTAAAATAACTAGTGCAATTATTTTCTCAGAATGACAGAAGTTCGTGTATTTGTTCATTTTGCTGAAGACTTTGTTGATTTATGATTTGAATTTTTTTTCAGGTGAAGGATATCTTCCTTTATCCTGAGTTGTTTTCAGTGGAGAATGATCTGCTAACACCCACATTCAAAGCCAAGAGGCCACTACTCCGCAAACATTTTGCTAAACAAATTGAAGAAATGTATGAAAAATTGTCTTAAGGTGTAATTGACATACAATTTAATTTTTGCTTTTCAAATGGGAATCATATGCGGTAGCCCAAACTCTCCTGACTTGGCATAAAATCAAGAGGGATTGCTTGGATATAGTCTCAGATACCGATATAGTCTTGTATGCAAATACACAGCACTGAAAGTCTCACTTATGGCTGTCTCTGATGATCCCCATTCTAACATACCTCTTCCATCCCTATTGCTCTTCAAAAACTTTGTACCATGGCCTGGAGTTTTAGATACTTAGATGAACTTGATAACTACATTGATTCAGAAGGGAAATTTCATCTACTTGGGCCTCACACCTGTTCATAAACTAAATGCACAAGAGCAGAAAGACTGCCCTCTTGTTTGCAGTGTGTTTTCAACTAGTCATCTATGTTTGCAAAGATCAACACTTGTGGTTAATTCATGTGGCCCAATTTCTGAAGATTTCAGTAAAAATCTATGCATTTTTGACTGACTGGTTGTTAGATTCATTTTTCAAATTCCTTGTAAACTAGCAGATATATGCAGTATACATGTAATGGTAACCTTTTGTGCGTTATCTTATATACTTTTGGATTGTGTACTTTATTACATAACAAGATAGATTATAGATTCATTTTTATGCCAAAGCATTATTTTATGTACAACATTATTAAGTTTTGATATAGTAATATTAGATCTATGTTTCTTAGAATTTATATGTAAAGTTTCAGAAACATTCCTTAAATCTGACTTGTCAGAACTTTTGATAGCCTTTTTTTGGTTATTGATAACACAACATTATATAGGGAAAGATGGTTATTTATTTAGTGCAGGGGTGTTTTAATGTACCATTAACAATTGCCATAGTAGTTGCGTTTTCATGAAATATTGTACCATGGTCAAATAAACGTTCATAATTATGCATATTAATGTAAAGCAGGTAATGCAATTAAATTTATCAAGATGTGGGAGATGCAGTTTCCTTTAACAAATTTACCTTATAATTAATGAAAATAATCATATGTAATTTGGAAGTAAAAGTTAGATAATGCATGTTCTATAAAAGAGTGCTTTAAGTAATTGAAACATTATAATAATATCTACTGAGTACATAAAAATATTGGTATCTAAGATATGAGATCGATACTTTAGGGCTACTTGAACTTGCTGGTTTATTCATTAAAATGTATGGGTGCTTAAAGGACAAAGTCGATCTTTGCATATCTAAGAGGGTCCCATTGGGTATTTTCATTACCCATGAAAGCTACTTTCTTTAGCATGATTTGTGAAACGCCCCATTCCCATGACTCTTGCATGCAGCTTTTTACTCTCCAACCTTTGTGAAACAAAGTCATTATACCCAGTGATCCATGATTTTCAGGATTTTTGAAACACATTATCAGTGAAATATGAATTAAGTATTATTTACTGTGATTTATGAATTGATGATCTTATTTCCTGGGAATTGTAATTTCTACTCCCCCCAAAGGGACCCTCGTCTAACAGTCCAGCTTGGTTTTGGAACATAATTTCTGACTGTGCCTTAGAGTATTCAAGTGTTAATAAAATACATCCAGTTAAAACTTTTCTGTACTGTACTACATAGTATTTAATTTTTCTTCCCTTTGCACCTCAAAGTTTAAAACTAACCTCTACCAGAGAGGCAGATATTATAGGCAGATTTTCCAGAAGTCACCCTGTAACTTTTGGCCAGATGGAAGCAATTAAATCTGCATGGGCAGATGGCATTATACCGTTCTGTAGGGAGCTACTACAGGATATTCCTCAGTTAACTTCAATCTGAAGTAACAAGCTATTCAGAAGGGGCTATTTTTATCTGTCATAAAAGAGCAAGTGATTAAAATTGGGGCAATTAACTGTTTTGATTGCTGTCAAGGGGACTTGGCTTGGGCCTGTTGTGGCAGTGCCTGAGCAGTTATGCAAACATTTAACAACCATGTAATCATCCTTGGGATTTCATTACAGGGTGACAGAGAACCAAATGACCATCTATTTATCTAAAGACATATATCTGTGACTATCTTGTGAAAAATCTATCTGTTGCCCTGGTAGAGGCTAGTTTAAAACCATACATATATGTAGTTTATATTTGATATTTTGAATAAAAGATAATATATCATTTTCTTTTATCATTACTTGTGTTTTCATAAAGAGTGTAAATTCTATCAACATTTTTGTGAATTCTATCAAATGTTGAAGTTATTATATAGTATACAAAATGCCATGCCTAGTCCACCACTAACACTTTTATTATGAGAGGACACTGGAACCCCTCCCCCCTCCCTCTATGCTCAGCATTCCTCCACCATTTGCAGATATTAAGTCGAGGAGACATTAATGGTTTCTACAATCCAATGTTCATTGAAACTCTGGGTGGCCATTGATTGCTTTCCATTTAGCTGCCTAAAACATCTGGTTGACCCTATTCTTTTAAAGCCCCCTATTTTAGACATGATTTGAAGTAAATGTGAAGGTGTTACAATTTTACTTGATTAATTTTATGCTAAGCCTACTAGAATGTGCCATATTTATAAGCAATAGCAAATAGACTTCTTATGCCATCTCTAGGGAATAAGGTTAAAATGTTAATTCATCTCATACCCGAGGTGTGCAAACCCCCTTGATATCTCTAAGTGCGAAAAAAAAGAAAGAAAGAAAGAAAAAGAAAATACATCATTGGCATTGAGAAGTATAGGGACTATTCAAAATCAATTTTTGCCCTAAATCAGCATCTGAATTTTTTAATGAAGACAATTTTAATTCTGTAAAATTAATGCTAGGAATCAAATTATTTTATCTACAAACAATTTGACTCTGTGTAACATAAATTATATATGTTATTTCCTTATGCAACATTTATTGGTGAAAGTATTCTGTTGAAATAAAATAATTGAGGTAATATTCTTTTTCATTATTAATGAAAAAGAATATAACCTCAATTATTTTAAAAATGAAACAATTAAGCTGATTGTAACATATGTAACGTTACGTTTTATGAACATATTTTGTGCATTAACGGTGATTAACTTATTTATTGTTACGTGTTATTATCATAAGTAGACCTATGATTATTATTAATCTGTTTATTATATTTTAAGGGTGGTAGGGTGTGACTGTTTTAAAATTACCAACTCTACTGCTCACTGTGAGCGCACCACAGAAAAAAACGCAATCAAGAAGTGACGACAGGATGTGCCACTGCATTGCGTCGTCTCAACCAGCGGCAGAGTCGCCATCTTGGAATTTGTGCCCCTCGCGTGGTCATTTGTCTGTTTTAATTTCGTATTTTATATCTATTTTACTTCGTATATAACCACATACAAACGATGGGAAGAAAGAAGAAGAAGCAGACGAAGCCATGGTGTTGGTATCCTTTTATGAAAAGTCACAATTAACTTGATAAAGGTTGAAAGTTTGTACGGGCATTGTCTTGGTTGCGACGAGGCACATTGTTTTCATTTATGATAACACAAATATATTGAAAGTGTGGGAAATGCAGCCAACAGAACGGTTGCTTTTTGTCACGGTGAGTACTTTTGGGTCAGAGTTTTGTATGTGGCCTTATAATTTACCACCGATCGACGTCATAAATATTCACTTCCGCACAGTCTCAAAAGGAGTTACATCCTGTTGTTGCGACAGTACGAGTGAAGCTTAATTATTATACGTTTAAAACCTCCCCCGTCTCTTTATATTTTCTGAAGAGATCATTTGATAATGCCCATACCAGCAAAATATTTTACTTGTTAATCATTGTAATATTTATCTGATAACTCTTACTCGCTGCCTCATCCTCAATTGGACTACTGCCTACAACTGGACATCAAAAATAATAGGACAAGTGACTTCACATTAAAAAGAAATAATTAACTTGAAGACTTAGATGTGGACACTGATGACAGTATTTACAGGATGTATTAAGTTGTTTTTTTATTGATAATACAACTAATTGCAGTCAATCTGTTCAACCATCAGTAACTTTCTGTTATTTACAAATGTACCTGGCCCCCATTTCACAAAGAATCCATAATTGACTAGCTCAAGCTGAGTAACCTAGCTAGGTTGACTGCGCTGCAGTCGACTTGTCACTGGAGTGTAGTGTATAGAATATTGCAGTGCATGTTTATGATCCTTAATACCCATCTCAGGTATTGTAATAGGGAGTTTGATGATGAGAAAATCCTGATACAGCACCAAAAAGCAAAGCACTTCAAATGTCATATATGTCACAAAAAGCTATATACAGGCCCTGGGCTATCTATACACTGTATGCAGGTAGGAACCTTTTCTTTTTTAAAACAAGTCGTGCTGTTTTAGTTTCAGCCAAGCAAATATATTTCATGAAATCATTGACAATATGTCAAATTGGAGAAAAATAGTCACAGCTGTTTCAACCCATAGGATTCTTAACCAAAGTAGAACATCTGAACATGTTTTTGAGAAGTTGCATACTATCTTGAACCATGTATCTTGTCCTAAAGCTGGTCATGCAAGGAAATTAAAATGTTCACCTCTGCAGTTATTTAATATTCAGCATTTCTCCTTTTTGCCTTCTAGGTACATAAGGAAAAAGTAGACAAGGTTCCTAATGCCCTACCTCATCGAAGCAATATAGACATAGAGATATATGGTATGGAAGGTATACCTCCACAAGACTTAGAGGAACATGAGAAGCAGAGAGCTGGGAAATCAGGTATCATCTCTAAAGATCTAATTTGCAAGATTAGTTCATGAAAATATATAATCATCTTAAATGTTTCAAATTGACCAAAGTAAAAATTAAGTAGAAAGTTATTTTGACCAAATTAAGAAATGTAAAGATATGTTAACTTGACTGTTTGATACTGCCTAAAGTTATTTTATCGCCTTTCAGACGAACCTCCAAGTAAGAGAGCACGTTCTGATGATGAAGATTCACAAGATGCCACCAGTAATAATCAAATGAACCCTAATGGACCTATGCCCCCTATGATGCCAGGTATGCCAGGCCCTGGCATGCCCCCCATGGGACCTATGGGAGGGCCAATGGGACCAGGGATGCCGCCCATGGGACCAATGGGCCCTGGGTTTATGCCAGGTTTTATGGGTCCTATGGGAGGACCTGGTATGCCTCCAATGCCTCCCATGGGTCCTATGGGGCCCATGATGGGTGGACCTCGAGGACCTATGCCTCCGATGCATGGCATGCCTCCACAACAGAGACCCCAGCAACCTCCCCCAACTTCTACATCAACCTTACAGAGTTTGCCTTCCAAGCCATTGTTTCCTGCTGCTGCAGCAGTTACACAGGTAAATCAAAGGGTAACCATAGTATCCAAATTCCAAGTGTCAGTTCAAATGTAGGCAATCTTAAACTGGAAACTATCAGCCAGTGTGTTTTATGAATTAGTGTTTGACATATTGTGTGCATTTCTGTAATCTGCATGTCTGATGACACAATGACACAAATTGGAATGGTTTCGGTTCTAAAGAAGTCCTTGTCTAAGTGGTGTAGATAGTCTCTCTCACATTGATAACACTGATTTAAATGGGTTCATTTTGTTGGTTGATAATATTTAGTTACCTGAAATCTTCTAAATTTTAAAATTCGGGTATCTGCACAATACTCCCCATTATATATGTTTACATGCAATTAATTTTGACTATGATGCTAAATACTTAAGGTGTTAAGTAGCTGACTGAACTGACACTATTACTGTCTCTCCTTGACAGGGGTAAGTGATTGAAATGGACTAATCAAAGACATCCTGTAATATTGGGTTATATGTAATAATGCAAAACTTTCAACTTCACTCATCTGCGCAACTGCATTAAATGAATAAAAGAATGTCAGATTCCATTTCTTGATAGCAGTCAGAGAGCTGATTATGATCATGCATTAAATGGCTACATATGACAAAATTTCAGTCACAGCCTAGACCGTCAGCACCTGTTGGCCCCGATTTCAAGCCTAAGATGTCAAACATGCCGACCTCCTCTCAGCAGTCTGGACCTGTGAAGCCCACGTTTCCAGCTTACTCCAGCTCTGCCACCCTGTCAGCACCCCCCACGGCACCCAGTGCCACAATCAGTGCAGCACCCACTGTCAAGAAACCAGAGTCGAGTTCAGGCATGACAACAAAGTTGGTCCACCCTGAGGAGGATATATCTCTGGTGAGGTGTAATATATATATATATATATATGTTTATTGAAACAAGCATTGCAGCAAGTGCATGTGTAAAAAGGATATTGAAGGACACCTCCTTATTGAGATTGGTGTTGTGTTATTTTGTATGTGCTGCAGAACTGCCATTAGTACATACCTGTCTGATAGTGCTGAGTGTTTGAATTGATTCACCTTTAGGCCAATAAAATCTCTCGGGCTACATAAAATAGAAGTTTTTTTAAGTTGGCCAACTTTTGCAAGATCATGGTGTCAGCAAAATGAAGTTACTGGTTTTGTTTTACATCAGTGGATAAGTGTACTTCAGTATAGTCCTTGCTAAAAAAGTTACATTAAAAAATTCACATAAATGTAAATGTGATAAGGGCATATCAGTACAGTTATCTTTTCTAAAGAAGCTACATTAAAAATACACATAAATGTAAATGTGAAGATTCATTACTGGAACTTCTTGTGTATTTTAGGAAGAAAAACGAGCTAGCTTACCAAGGTATCAGAATCGTCAAATGGCGCCTCAAACTACAATATCAGCACCACCCATGATGAACATGCCACGGATGCCACAAGGTAGAGCAAAGTGAAATGCAGTTTGAAGTATCCCAAGATATAACAGTGAACTGTTATACTGTGTATATGGACTGTTGTCATATTCCCTTATATGCCACAGAAAACAGATAAAGTGATCACATATCTTTTTTCTCCAAAAATGAGAAGACTAGAGAGCAATTAAGTTCAAATTATGTTATCCCATTTACATACAGAACAAGCAACATCAAAAAGCCATTGACATGAAAGGTAATCTTTATCATATTGTGGGATAGATAAATAGAATGAGGGTAGACAGTTATTTTTACCCAAATCTTTTTGTTCCAGGTGGTCAGATGCAGCCTCCTATGTCCCAGATGAACAACGGTGGGTCTAGACCTCCAGGTCCCCCAGGGCCTATGGGGTATGGCATGATGCGTCCCCCAATGATGGGAGCACAAGGGAGATATTGACAGCATGGAGCTAAGTGGGATACTGGGGAACTTTGAGTTACCTGTACTAGCATGTTCTACATCCACTGCTTTAGTGTTATTTCTTGTCTCCAATATGCTATTATCATTATGATTTTAAAAGTTTGTAACTGTGCTGTGTTTTTTGTACACACATGCCTGCTGCAACCTGAGCTACGGCGGTAAGTAGCTGGCTGGACTGACACTACTGTCTCTGCCTGACAGGGGTAAGTGATTGAAATGGACTAAGAAAAGACATTGTGTAATATTGGATTATATGTGATAACCGAAACCTTTCATCTTCACTCATCTGTGCAGCAGTAACGTCAGCAAAAGGTTTGTTAAAAGTTGGTTGATCTTGTATACTTTGAATGTAGAGAAAGAATATTATGTCAAAAAATACTTCACTAAAAGACATGCATCTGGAGTCACTTAATGTGACTGTATCAAATAAGTGATTAAAGTTGTATTACTTTCCTTTGTAACACCAAAATGAAATCTTGTATATATTGTAATTATGAGAAAGTTATCTGAAATTATATGAAATCTGTGCGCAGTTGTTCAAACATTGTCATTTTTGAGCTTATTTTCCAAAGCAAAACTTAATAAAGGGAATGTAATCTGGTTACTATATTTTAACATAAGTTATATCTTAATAAAATTTGTAGAAAGAGGGTTTTTGTTTTTGTCCAGTTATAAGGTTTGTATGATAACGCATGTTCTTAGTAATATACATAAACATGTAGTTTGAAATAGCAATCAATCTTGCTTACAATTAACATGGTGAAAAACTGCCAGTTCCATAACAAGGTACTGTGCCATGGATATCTTTGCTGTGAGATTCGTACTTATGTGTCACAACAAGTATCAGGAGGTGCTTGTTGTTGGGCTTAGGCCCCCAACTATGTTGGCGACATTTTAGTGCAAAATGACTATTTAAATAGTGATGTTGATATGCTCCACAATTATTGCTGGGCAGCAGCAGAAACTGGAGGCAAGTTTTTTTAATCTAAATCGACAAAAACATAAAAGTTCTCATAAAGGCAATCAGCAAATCTAACGTTTAATCCTTTGAAAACACAGGAGAAGCAGAGACGAGAGGCAAGTTTTGAAGTCACAACAGAAATGTTGTTGGGCCACAAGGTCCCCAACCTTTTTGGTTGGTGATGGATTTTTATCCCTTTTGATGTCCTGGAATCAAGCACCGTTACGATATTTAGTCACAACAGATTTAATTCTGTTGTTGGGCATCAGCCCCCAACACATGTTGGTGACAAAAAGAGAAAGAATTATGGCGCTTCACACACATTTTTGCTTGCTTATTTCAAAATTCACTAAGACAGTAAGTTTTCTGTGCTAATCCTAATTCACACAAGAAACATAAATAGACATGAGCTTGCAGTCAGTGCAAGCTTCTAGAACTGCTAGTAACACACTTCTCTCTCCTTTGTTGTACAGTGTTGAAGATGAGAGGGAGAGGTGAGCATCTGCTGCTGTGACACATGGGACACTGTGACAGGCAAGTGCCTTAGTCCGTCACAGCAAGACAGTCTTGCTGTTGGGCTAACAATGGCCCCCAACATATGTTGGTGACATCGTTTTAATTTGTAAATTAGTACATATTTATTCCACGTTTTCCTACTGTGTGTGCAAACAGCTTCTTTTAACAGATAGGTTTAATTCCATAATGAAATTACTGAGTTAGGTCACTCAAGGAAGGGAGGTGATGGGGTACAGGGTACATTTTTAGTCTTCTGGCTTCTCCAGAAACTTGTCAATTTTTCTTTAAAAAACTTTTCAATATGAAGTGGATTGTTTGATGACCTCTGATAAGCTTGGACCAATTTCGTGACTGATGTCACTCTAAGAGTTTTTTGGGAAGGGCAAGGCAAATGCTCCAATTTGGGATTACTGGAATTCTTTCCATTCCTGTTTTCTTGAAAACCCCTTCAACAGGTTCAAGCACTAGGGCATTTATTTTCTCACCTCAAAATTCCATTTTTAAATATGCCTTTCTTTGGGAAAGAAATTGCAAACAAGAACAACTGCTTGGCAGTTGTATTTTTCATGCAGTTTTATTTCAGTTGCACCAGCAAAGGATCATTTCAGTCAGTACGTGGAGATAAGAAGTTAATATGAAGGTGGAGTATTTTGAATTATTCTGAAAGGAACATTGAATGCTAAACTGCTTCACACACTTTTACCGTCCATATCATACTTCTCAGTTGTTGTGTAATGATGATTGCTAATTCTGTTGTGAATCAAATCAATTTTTAAAAAATACTTACTTGATATGTTAAATGTTTTGAGAGAACTGGAAGCATTTGCATGTAATCGTAATAAAGTTGATTTTGATAACCAATATCAGTTATAACTAAAAGTTGAGTTGGTTGCTGTAATTTTTTTGAGTCATTAAAAATATTGTTAAAAGTTTTTAAAAATTCTCAGTAAGAAACAAAATAGAAGAGGTACGCGTTGAGTGGTTTTTATTCTAGTCAAGAGTAGAATGTCTATTTCTAATTACTCGGTATATTTTTTCACATACAGTAGCTAGAAAGTAGAATGACATTGCAGTATTTAGGAAAGTGTCAGACAGCTCTTTCTATGTTTAAGATTAATTGTTTTAGAAATATGTCAATTGTAAAAATGGAGGATGTTTAATAATGATAGATGATGAGATGGCACTTGGGTTTTGTATCTGGATGTAGTCAGTGTAGTGGAGACTACAAAAAAGTTGTCTGAAAATAAACTATAAAGACATTTTTTTAGACAAGGCATTGCCCTGCACTGATTGGTCATATCTGGTTGTTGTCAGATATTTAGGCATTATCAGATGTCAAAGGACAGTTACCCGAACGCATGCAAGTCATTACTAAAGACGGACAAGAAATATTGAATCAGTTTGACTGTGGCCATGATAAACTATGAACTGTTAATTGGAGGAACATCTGAATTGATTAATTTTCAAAAAGAAGAGATGTCATTCCAAGGAATGTAATCTTTATTTGATTTACTCACATTTATAGAAAGGTTTATTTTAAAGAACAATGAAGAGTAATAAAGTCTATTCAAATTATATATTTTAAAAATTTTATTGTGTTATCTTCTGACATATGAAAGATGTGTAATAAGTTAAATCAAAAAATTTTCTTGCAAGATCTTTTACAGAACTTGTACCTACTTATGCTTATGTTGGTCACCCATAAAGTGGGCAAGCATTATATTATATAATTTGACATATTCAAGTATAATAAAAGTGTAAATATTGCTGACAAAATAAATAGTCCAAATAAAAAATTTAATTAGACATCCCTGCTGCTAATTTTCAGAAGAAAAGTCATAATACAATTTTCCTCAGCCAAGTAGTTCACTAGTTTAAATCAAATTGTTAGCATTGTAAAAAATATTCCTCAAGATCAATATGTGATATGTTATTATCGACAAAGTAACATGAATGCTGTGAAGCTGAACTGCAGGCGGAAGCGATATGAGTAAAGAAGCACATTAAGCTGGTATTTATGTCAAACTATTGCCACTAAACTCAATTAAATACCTCCAGAGTGTTTCAAATAATATAGGTGAAAGAAATTCCACAAATTTTTAGTTACATTCTTTTTCGAAAACGGATATTAATTTCTGTCCTTTAGGGACTGGAGGAAAAATTTACCACAATTTGAAGACCATGCAGGTTAAAAGCCTTTTTTCTACTGCCCAAGAGATTTTGTTTTTGGCATGTGGATTTTACTTATGCAAAGAATCTGGTACTGATATCTCTATGTTGGAGTGCAGATTCTCTCGTTTATGTATCTTTAAGAAATTATCTCCATTATTTCTTTGCCATTTTTGCTTTATGCAAATCACTAAAATGTCCAGACTGGAGAGAGGTCTCCTTAACAGCATATTTTGCTTCCTCCATTATCATCTGGCATTTCTCACTGATATCTTAAAAAGGAATGTGGAAAATATTGTTTTATGATGTCACCATGTCCAACATCATCAGTGCCGCCTCCCCTGCATCTGCAGGTACCTGAAGAATTAAAAGAAAGAAAAGGGTCATCTTGGGTTTTTGGACACTTAATCTTATAAAATCTGTAGAAAAAGAAACCTTTTCCATTATTAAGCTAGCAAAAATTGATGCCTTACATCCGTCTCTTCAGCACTTGCCATGTGAGCCAAACAACTTAATGACAATAAGGGAAATCCTAAAATGCGCTTTACAATTAACATTACTACAAGCCTGTGTAAATATCTTGCACATTAGACAAGAATTTGAGATGAGTGTGACCTTTCAATGAATGTTATATTGATGCCTTCTCCAGAAAATGGAAACCTTAAATTTACCATGTGTCCAGCATCAAGAATCCAATAGAAACCCAGATTCTTGTACTGCTTGACAAATGCAATGGGATTTTTCTTCAAGGGATCCAGCAGAGGTTTCCTTTTAGCTGTATTGAACTGATGTAAGTATGGCCAGGTAAGTTTTTGAACCCATGCCTCAGTGCCTAAATAAAGAAATTAATTTCAAAGCTTATTCCTGAACTTGGTACTTATCAAGTATTGAAAAAGATGAAGCAAGACATTTTTATTAGTTGCCTTAAAATTACTGGGGGTTTTCTTTGGAGATGCCCTGTTTTCATCACAGCGACTTTACATCCTTTGCTGGTAAAACCTTGTCTTCCTGTGGAAATGTGTGTAATGTTCATTTAGCTTCAGCCATGCAAAAGAAAAAACCTAAAAGTTGAATTTGTAGCATATTTGATTACCACATCATAACTGAGAGAAAGTGGACTTTGTTACTCGTATTCTTAATGCACCAAAGGCATGTTTCTTTTAATTTCTGTACTTTCATTATCTAAATCAAACTGCCTGGCACACCTGCCCTTACAAGCATGCAATATTTACCCAAAGTGTCAACTATTAGGTCCAACTGCCCAGTATAAATGTTTACTGAAAGATTTGACATTCTAAGAAGCTCATCAACTGGAATATAAAGAAAATAAAAGTTCACTTTCTATGCTAGAAATTTGTACAAAACTATATTTTGTGTCAATATAAGAATTATAAATCTGGTCTCTTAAAAAAACTTGGTAAAATATCCAAATTCCCTTTGTAGGTTAAAGCCTGTAGCCAGCATTATTAAGGGGAGGATACCTTTTTTAAGTGGACCTTTTATGTCCTTGCTTGACCCAACTTGAGGAATCTCACAGAATAAGATTTTGACTCAGAGTGGACCTTTCCAGCCAAAAGGGACGTTCTTTCAAATACATCTTCCTGCCTTTTTACAGACCAGAAGTTTTGATAACAATGTACAAAAAATTAGTCAATTTTCAGCAGCACACAAATATTCAAAATCAAACCTGATGCTCACCAACATTTACTACAGGTTTCATGAAGTCCTCTTTTAGGTGCTCAAACACCTTATCAGACTGACCTGAGAAGGAACATAAATAGAAAACTTTTGAATATCCTGAACAACATATTTTTTAATTCATGTTTATAGAGACAGTTTAGTAGAATTATTAAATTTATTTTTTCTTCAAAACCTTTTTTTTTTAAATCAACATAAAAAAGTACACCCAAAACTGCAACATCACAATAAAAAATACACAGAATTTACATATTTCATAATAAATGGAACATTTTCCCCAATTCTAATTGTGATTCAGTATAATTCAGCTCAATTTTACTAACCTCCCCAAGTAACATTACGTGGGATGATCCCCAATTTTTTTCTAATTGGTCCATTCATCAACTGATCCAGGGAATCACTGCTTAAATGTGCCAAGTTTCTATGGACAAGCCTTTCTAAAAGAAGGAAGTAAAACATCTGTAGATTTTTTCTAGTTAAAATTAAGAAGGGGATAAAATATGGAATATCAAAGGTTGCAAAATTAATTTTTTAGATGTGTACAATCATGATAAAGATATCTTATTACTCGTAGGATGGCTACAGACCTGTATAATTGTTTTCATCCACTAGAGCATAGAGTATCTGTTCTATCAGATCTCTTCTAAAATCCTATCGGCTCAGGTAGACCATAATTTTATATTTACCAAATATAGATTGCTCTTTGTACTTCTTGTAACTGTGTTTGGTATCTTCCTGGCTGTTCCACTGTAGGATGTTGTAGAAGTTCACTCCACCAGTAAGACTTTCCAATATTTCTTGTGTCTTCCCCCATTCATCAGTCGCTAACCCATACTTCCCATTGTCGTAAGCTTTTCTGGCCACCACAACACTACCATTAATAAGCTGTAGTCCATGTTCATCAATAAGAGACTGAAAGTGCAAAAACGCATTAAGATCATAACATAGATTGTGTTAATCTCTTGCACCAGACAAATTTTTAATTAATCTTCAAAAAATGAAAAAGGACAAGAATAATTTGCAGTCTCCTGGTAATATTTTACCTTTCACTGGTAACACCACTTCTAAAAGTTTATAGTTCTAAAAATACTCTTCCTATTTTACATAAGCATCTGTACTACCTTACCGTAGCCTTCAAGTAAGGTCCCCATGTAAATGTGGAGTCCCAGGGTGAGATCCAGGAGTCACCCAGAGCAAAACCCTTGAAATTGCAATCAATTTGCCTGGCTATAATGGCCTGAAATGATAATATGAGAACAAAGAATAAAAAAGTAAAGAAACCAATAAAACAAACTGTTCTCAAAAAATGGCCTTTCTGTAGTAACAGAACAGTTTTAGTATCCTTTAAAAATGTCAACATGGACTCTTACGCAGTAGTTTATGTTGTGCCAACTTTAAAATCTACTATTCTCAAATTCTATAATATGTAAAGCATTCCAAACTACCTTCTGCAGAGCCAAACTAAAGCCAGCTGTCATTTTGCCTCCATAGGATTCACAAAAGATAAAGAAGGGTATGGTCTAAAAATAAACAAACACCTGAAAATTAAACATAAGCATGGTTTCGACATTATCTTCCATTCCCTTTTCTGTAGTGTATGTGGTTTATTATTCATTTCATACTGTAGTATAAATATTCCTCTTGTTGGACATCTAGCTATAGTATAAACCTCTTTACATATCAAACTGAGCAGCTAGTGAAGCGCAATGGTGTCTATACTGTTACAGTTGCAACAGGCCAAAGTCTCTAAACTATGACAACCACAAATCTTGTGCGTAACACTGGTTTTCAGGCCAGGCTTCACATGTGCATGTAGATACCAGGTAATGATAGCTACCCTGAAGTCTGGTAATTCCTTCAAAAAGGCCATAAGCACTGTAAGTAGATCTGCAGCAATCATGTCATTGTTGGTAGTGTATGCCGAGTCATCAGTGACATAACTGAAGCCAGCTCCCACAGGATTGTCTATAAATAACAGGCTCACCTTGGACAGCTGCAAGCCAAATTAAAGTTACGTGACAGTGATACGGTTAACCAAAGATTTGAAATACAATTAAGTATATAATTTATATTAAACATACACAAACAAAGTTAATATCCTGAAGTTTATATTTGTTCTGTACTTTATTGTCTCATCCATTTCACTGTTTATTATAGATATTTCTTTGTGTGTGTGTGTGTGTGTGTGTGTGTTTGTGAGTGAAAGAGAGAGAAAGGGAGAGAGATTGAGTGTATATTTAATTTTAAATCATATCTTTTCAAATTGTAGTTTAGTGAACTTTTGCAATAAAAAAGTGAAGATCCTATATCAAAATTTTAAAAATGAAAACAATTTTTACGTATCCTATAAAATGAGGAAATTTTTGAAATTCAAATTCTGTAAATTCAAAACATTAACTGAACATTACATATTAGAAGACTAAATGTAAATACTCACAAACATTCTAGCATAATTTTAACATTATGTGTGAAATTCCATGTCTGAATTTACAAATTGAAATACATCTGAAATTTACCCAAGTTGTACGCCTGGGATTTTGATTGACATCTAAAGGCCCTATTTCTCCAAAATTGCCAAAACCTGTTGAAGAACCTCCAGGTCCACCCTTGAAAATATGAAAAAAAAAATCAGGTCAATTGAATGCCCAAGCATGCCAAATCACGTCATTAATTATTCAATTGATTGACAATCCTGTTTACTACAAAACTATATTAAATATTTTTCAAAATAATGGATAATATACCCGTGTTCTACGTGTACGTGTATGAAGCCATGGAAGAAATTACTATCATAAACCGAGGCCAGCAAATAAGTTAAAATTTATCTCTGTAAATAAAAATGTTAACTGAACATTTTGTATTAGAATACTACAATCCCAACAGAATAATGTTGGATTGTAATACATTCAGGGAACTAATTATATAATGAAGCAGTGCCTGTACTCTGAAGTGCAAGAATTAAAAGTGTCAGATGATATGTGGAGGAGAATGAATCAAATCTAAACTTGACAAAGAATGTTTATGATATAAGCCACATCATTAAAAATGCTTATAAAATAAACCCTATATAACAAAGAAATTTTTTAAGTGAGTAACCTATATAATAAACATTTTTTGTCGTTTTTACTCCTTCAATGTCATATACATGTAGCATCCACCCTTCACTATGCATGTACTTCACTATGGGAGACTACTTCACAGGCCCGTAGTCAGGGGGGTTCTGGGGGGTTCAAAAGAACCCCCCTTTTTGGCCAGGAAACAGTACCCTCTGGGTAAAATTTTATCTAGGTATGTGAAGGTTTCAAGGTAAAAAGTTCACTTTTTCAGAAAAAGAGCCCCCCTTTTAAAATTCCTGGCTATGGACCTGCTTCATTAGTTTCCTGAATGTATTGTTTTCCAAAGTTTTGTTGGGAACTTCGGAATATAATATTCCTCTCAAAGAGAGCATGGATATTCTTGGCAACTAATTTGCAGGTCTCAGTGTATGACAGTGATTGTTTCCCCAGCTTCATACTTGTAAATCAGAGATATATCATACATCTTTTTTAAAAATAATTTTAATATATTAATAATCTAGTTGTTTGAGGTTTGGATAATACTGATCGATTCTTCCTCAGTTATTTACATGTACATCATCTATAGTCTCCTTGTACTAATTTTTGCTTTATCCAATCAGTGGCCAGTTGGAAAAGAAAGAAAATTTTCATTTTCTGCATTAGCTAAATTCAATTTTATCTGAAACATAGGTTATATAAGTATATGTAACATGAGCTAAGATCGATATATTTCATTTAACATTACCTGTAGCCACAATACCAGAGGCTTGGACTGGTAGTTGGTGCTTGCTGTTGTGTAGTAAAGCCACCAAAACATGTGAGCATTCTGTCGCACTTGGACATAATTCCATCGTTGTTTAGCTTCCTGGTATGTGTGTTTCAGCTGTTTGTCTACATAAAAATTGAAATTGAAAAAAAAAAAAAGATCATTCATTCATTCATTCAAGGAAATTCAAATACATTTAAAGCTGTAATGGTATAGCAGTTCCTTTTGCTTCCCAAGCATAGAGAAAAAGGTGCATACGACCTTTCTGGTGTATTCTGAGGCAACATACGATCCCAGCATGATTGCACATCATGTCACGAGATCAGTCAGTACCAAAGTACAGATGGATAGGTAAAAAATATAATTGAAAAGCATGTCTTTTTCAAAATGCTTTAGGTTTTCCATAACTTTGATGGTCACAGAATAATGCTTTATGCTTTTTTCAGCACTCATGACATAACTCACAGCTCTGGGTTCCATGAATGACTCCTAGCACGATAAACAAGGAAATCAAATGGCTTCTGCTACCCGCCATGTTGGGATTATCACAATGTACGCTGACGCTAAACTTGAACATATATAATAAACACTATTTCACCGTTGTAATTTATGCATCCAAATGTAAAAAAGACACAAAATTTTGAGGTTAGTCACTACAACACTTATACAACAAACGCTCGCCCACAAAAAGACCACGTAAACATAATCTTCATTTCATGATTTTATCATAAGCGTCTACATGAAGACGTTACCCTTCCAGGAAGTGACCCTGCAGAATGTGGTCGAGTATATCATAAAATTATTGGTGGAGAGAAGTGCTGGGCGATGAGTAGATTCAGCAGAGACAGAAGTCGATCAGAAAAATACAGTGGTGCTGCATCCGATGTTAGCGAAAGGGTGATCCTCAAAGGAAAAGTACACGTTTTGAATATTGAGAAACATAGCAAGCAGGTGAGTCTGAACTTAGTTCACGTCAGCGTCAGCTTATTACTATATTGCTTTTCCAGCTGTATGTCTGCGTCTAGTAGTCAGGGAGAAGTAAAAGTGGTATAAAGTGTTCAGCAATAGTACTATCTAACCCTTTGTTTACCTATTGCTCCCCTTAAAGCCTGATTTTTAAAGTAAATTCATATATGTGTGTGCCTTTCATTTTTGTTTAGATAAACACATTTTGGAGGGAAGGCGGGGGAGAGGGGGGGGACAAAAGCTGGNGGAAGGGGGGGGGGGGGGGGGGGACAAAAGCTGGCCAGTGCTGTCTGTTGTTTGATCAGTTTGACAAGATCTTTTTTCAATGGGGGATATTCTTTAAACAGTTTTTAATTCACTTTAATTTTATATAAATAAATGATTAATTGTTTCGTGGTTCAGCACTATACAATTGCTTTAACAGAGCTATTATAATCAAGTTCAATAAAACAAGTCTTTGATTTTTATCTCTGTGGTCATTATATAGAACTAGGATCATATGAAAAGTAGAATTATTTATTTATTTATCTTCTAGTATTTATATGTTTTTGGCGATAAATAACCCTTGGTAATGTTTGTGTTAGCTTGTAAAATTGCATGCATTTTTCAATGATTAGTAACAGAGCTATTGTTAAATTAACTGAAGAGGCCAACATCATTTCAAGCAGCTAGCTTTGATTACCTTTTAAAACTATGCACAGTTTTTTAAGGTAATATGTGTTTATATGTTTGCAAAATCACAGTGTATCTAGTTTGGCTCCTACACATTCACAGACTGAGGTAAGAATTTAATTGTATAAGCGTATTCATGTATTGGTTATACCTGGATTACACAAGTATTAATTTCAAACCTATCTTTGTTACAAAGAAAGCCATATGTTGGAGGAAAACTAAAACATTGTTCATTTTATTGATTTTTCTTTTTACCTTTATCTGCACAGCAGCTGTTATGAGATCTGCTGTGTTAACAAGTCATGTAAAGCATTGTTAACATTAGTGCATATACACAGAATTTAAATTTAAAATTGATATGTATTTTTCCAACTGCTTTGCCTTGTTTTCATTGCTGTCAATTAACCTTTTAAAAGGAAATTTGAATGTGGTTTGACACCACAGAGAGGGATGTGTATTTTCAGAAAGAAATGAACGTAGTCTAAGAATCAATCTATGATTAAGCCATCAAATGAAACAGAAATTTCTATGTCAGTTTCATTTGAAGGCTCAATTACATGAAACTAAATTTTAGATTTGCTATTTGAATTTATATTTTCAACATGATTTTAGTAGTAATAAAGGAATATGATTTAAGAATAGTAATTTGAATTAAAATAGAAAAAATAAATAAATAGATTCTTGACCCAGGGTTATGTTTGAAGATATTTGATGTCATATGTTAACATCATCACATACAGGTTACTCACCATTGGCAATTTCAACATTATGGATTAATAGTTTTTTTAAAGACATTTTGTTTGGTAAGCAGGCATTTTCAACTATAGATCTGTAGTGTATTCACACTTAATAAGTTCTATATAATTCACTTTTACATGATGAACTTGCACAAGACTTTCCAGCCACACATAAACTATATGATGCACAAATTATACACATACAAGTTTTACCACATACCTTTGTCCAGTATGGATTTTCTTTGCATAAGTTAATGTAAAGGTTCTAAGAAAAATGGGATTATTGATTTAATTACCCCCATCTACACCTCAGTTGATGGAACACAGGTGAGGTAAACAATTAAAGCAGGTATTATAGTCACAGGTGGTATCCACCTGTCAGAAAGAACTGTTTTATATATAAAGTAAAGTGTGTGTGTGTTTTACTTCCCTAAGCAGTGAATTCTACACTTTGAACCTTTGTATATGTATGTAATAATGAGCTAATTTAGCCTCATAAAAGTCGAAGATTGCTTAGTTGTGGCTTATGATGATCAATTAGTATGTCACAAAAAAACAACAGCCAGGCTTTAAACAATATAAAAGCGCATAATTGCAACTAAGCCTAGGCAGTTTCAGTAGTATTGAAACAGTTGTCTCAACTTGTCTGTTTGCCTGTTGAGCCTAGAGCAAATTTACTTATGTGTGATTTGCATTATCATATACCTCCCAGTATGGCTGTTTCTTAATTAGAAGATCTGGCATGTCATCTAGGTAAAGAAAATGATAAATCACACGTAATTAAGACCTAGTGTTATACATGTGGTCAGGTATTTATTTCAGAACTATATTGCCATTTGTAATGTTTTTCTGTTGCTAGAAACTTGGTCATTGCTATCTGAAATCATTGGTCCATATTTACTTGAGACTTTATGTTTAATCAGCAGGATGGCCCTATCCATCTTTCATACTGTAAAATGTTAATATTATAGTAGCTAGCACTTTGTTGACAGTTGCAATCACTTATGGTTATTAGTTGATTTCTGGCTTGATTGCACTCAATTTGATAGCTCAAATGCAAACAGAGTTTCCATTACTTTCTAATCATGCTTTTAGAAATTCTATTAGTCATAGTTTTGATATCACTGACTGATTTCATAGTGGGCGAATAATGTCACCCATTGGCAATAATCTAAAGAGCAGTATGTTTCCAGAGCATTGTCTGATGATGTGATCAATAGTAATTGCATAGAGATAATAGAAAATGTTGTGCACTGGCCAACGTGCACTAACTCAATGGCAGTCAGTGGTGTTATGGTGACGAGATACAGTTTCCAGTTAATTAGTTTGGTTGACATATGGAACCAACAAAGACAAAAATTTTTTTGTTCTTTTCTTTTTTTCAAACAATGAGTAATACGTGCTAACAGCAGCGTCCACTACAGTGCCCATAGAATATTGCTAGACCACAAATTGCTGAAAATATTATCGTCCATGTAAAAGGATGACTACCTCTCTGCAAATGTGTCTGAACACAGATACAGTATCTCTCCTAAAAATTGTTCCCTGAAAATAAATCAGTCTTTAGACTGTTGCCGTCAGCTCAGATTACAGAAGGCCATTAATAAGTCACTCAGTGTTAGATAGATTAATGGTGGCTGGCCTAACTTACTGTTAATTCATCTCCCTTGATCCATATCTGATTGTATCAGTTCACTCTGAATCAATCTAGAATCATGTTTTAGTAAGTGGTTACCATATGGCACATGCAAAATTCTTGATCATGTAACAATGTTATATCATATCACATCACATCACATCATATTGTACAAAATCATATAATGTATGCACCAGTACAGGAGTACATTGAATCAAATGAAATAACAGTAATGCAATTATTTGTCATATGGCAAGAATGGAAAATTCTGTATTTATATTTACCTGGACATAATACTAGTAATTCATTTTCAAATGTAATCTTTTTGTTTGTTCATTTATTGATTGTTTCATTTAAATTTTTTCCATTTAAATTTTTTTTTTGTAATAGCTTGATTTATCATTGTTTTTTTTTTTTTTGTTGTTGTTGTTGTTGTTGTTGTTGTTGTTGAATGGTTAAACCCCCCCCAAACACTCACAATTGTACAGAAAGATTATATTAATGGGAGAGCATGGATGCAGTTCAATTAAGGTACTCGGGGACTAATGCATCTGAGGAATTTAATCAAAGCCATTAAGCCCGAAGCTGCAGTCTGGGGAATGTTTCATTATTTATTAATGCTGTGTGGAGTGCTGCTTCTACATTATTCAATAAAGCCTGATGTTCATGTAATGTATTGAATAGTAGGGGATTCTAGAAGCTTTCAGTTTGTTTTACTGAATGTAGGTCTTTGTCTTTGGAAAATCTGTTATATTCTGTGCAAATTCATATTATTTCATCACATAGTTGCAGCAGGCCCTGGTTCATTAGCAGTGTGCATGTGGGCTTAACTATGTTAAAATCCTCATAATTACTGTTTTTAGGTTGCCAACAGTGACTAGAATGATACATTTATTCTGGAAAAAAACTTTTTAGCTTTACCATTGGAAAGTGTATATTTCCCAGTTTTATTGATTGATTTTCATTTATCTTTTTAAATTGTCTTCAATGAAAATACACGCATATATATATATATAAGAAAGCATGTCCTTATTGGATAGGGTAACATAATTAGACATTATTGTAGTCCATCCTTTACTGTACCCCACCTTGGCACTTGTAATTCTACATGTTGAATCTGCTTTGCTCAGTTTTAAGTTATTTCATACCATGCTGGGAAACTGCTTTTAACTCATATCTAAAAACAGACTTGTTTCCTTCAGGCCAAACATGAAAGTTCAAACAAAAAGGAATACAATGTATTTCAACAAAATAAAACCTCTGATGTACTGAATGTACATTGTGTGTTTGAGTGTGCAGTGTTTAAAGTGGTTATTTATACAAATTCTATGACACTTCAGGTGGGGGGGAGGAGCTTAATCCATGTTTTTGAGGTTTTTGTGTTTAATTAAACAAAAATAGAATAAAATGTTGCATAAAATCTTCAAATTTTGAATCAAACAGTCCATATAATAGGGAGTAATTTGATATGAAAGAAACTATGATGGAAAAGAAGTCATTAAAGAGAATTTTGTGATATGTATTTGGTAATGCTTTCACCCAGCCTTATGTTTCCATTTACATCATTTTGGCAGCTGTCCTGGTGCTAGAGAAAATCCCAAAAGTGAAAAAGGTATTTTTCATTGTCACCTGTAGGACACTACACATATTCTCTATATTTAATTGGATTTTGGGCTTGGACTTTTGTGTTTTTTTTTTTTTAATAAATGAGAACTGATTTTTTAATTCCCCCTCTCCTCCCCTTAAACCAGTATTACATACATCCAATTGCTCCTATGCCCAAGTAATTTATTTTCACTAAATGAATCATACTTTCTGAACACTTACTATTTAATGCAGGCCCGTAGCCAGCAATTTCAAAAGGGGGGTTCTTTTTCTGAAAAAGTGGACCTTTTCCCATAAAAACTTCATGTACCTAGATCAAATTTTACCCAGAGTGGGCCTTTTCCCAGCAAAAGGGCTGGTTCTTTCAAACCCCCGAACCCCCCCTTTGCTACGGGCCTGTAATGCATTGATAAACATAACAATTCTATTCTGATTTCATTTTTTTTCTTTCAGAGATATGTGGTTTTTGGTGCTTACATGAGATCCAATGATGAAACGACTAAAGGTAAATACTCAGTGTAGATTTACCATTTCATTGTATATATTCCATAACTACAGATTTAACATTTTCAGTGTAAACTTCACAACTGTAGTGTAGATTTAGCATATAAGTATTACTTAGTATATCCTTGTTTCCCGGACCTAAAAGAAACTTCCCTGTGGTTTGTGATGAGGAAATACATATAATATAATAATATAATATGTTTTGAATCTGCATAAAGATTGAAATCTTTATTACAAGGTAATTGTGGGAGGAGGATTTTCTGAACCAAATATGAATTGCAGTATTTATAAGGTCAAACAGTGTGCAGTATATATTTTTCAAAGTATGACACAGTTTTAGCATGAATATTTTACAGATCTGAGATGGATAAAATTATGGCAGAAGAGTAACTTAGACATCCATTATGCTTCATGCAAAATTGATAACCAGATTTACCAATATGTTATTACTTGCTAGTGAAGTGTCCCCTTGGGATAAAGCTAATTTGCTTTATCTAAAGCGAAATTTGATGCCATCTTGCTTCTATAGCTAACTGCTTCCAACAAGGTTCAGCATCATAATCAACATTGGTGGTTGTCACAAAGAAATAGTTAGCAATAAATTCATTATTGTGAACTTAAGATACTATATTATGTTATGTCTGTTAAAAAGTTTTTATTATGATGGCTGCTAAGAGTGTGTGGTAAAGGTATATTTTGAAGAATATAGATTATGTTATGTCTGACTGATTCATTTCATAAAAGTGAGTTGTTCCTCCTAGCAGTTCACTTTATTCTGATGATAGGTGTCTCAAGTGAGAGAAAGGTTTGTTTTTTATTTATTTTTATCAAACTGTTAATTGCTTATAAATCCTTCTCAACATCTAGACCTCCACTAATTGTTTATTGACAGAAGTGACATGTAACAAATGGTTAAAAAATATTATCTAAAGACTTTATCTCTAATAAATAGGCCATACCTATGTTAACAAGATCAACCCTTCGTAAATATCTTGGTAAGCGTATTGGCCCTCTATAGTAACCAGCAACTGTTGTTGAAATGGTCATCAAAACTGCTAGTATTACTCTTCTGTTTGAGATTGGAGTAGAAAGAAAACAAATAGATTGATAATTTGGCCTTAAAAAGCTGTTCTTTATTAATAATGGGATATAAGGACATTTACATGATAAAAAATATAAATGGTAAAAATGATTAGGAAAAAAAAACAACTGTTGTTAGCTTTTATTTAACTGTCATACTGATATAGTGCTGCAGCATGATAATCTACCTATGTCTGCCGTGCAATGCCAAATCCCCATGATAAGACTGAATTATCTTGCCAAATCCAATTATAGGTATTTCTATCAACTGCAAATTGAATTATCTAGGATAGATGTTTTCATGCTGCTTAACCGTTTTGAAATAGAACATGTTAGCAGAAGTTTGATTTTTAAACCTGAAACCTTATACTTATATACAAAGTGCTAATATTTCTTGCGACATGCCTCATACTAATATAAATGTGCAAAGGATTATTTTTTCTTCTATGTCTCAGTGTACAGAAGGCCACTGCACTAGCTAACAGCTGACTAAGGCAAAATCTCCATTATCAGTGGTTCATTACCACAAAGTAAAAAGGAAATAGATAATCAGTGGTCAGGATGGTAGTTTGAAAGGACTATCACATCTGCTCAAATTCATGTTCTAATGAAAATAATGGAAACCATACAGCTATCTTGTTTTAGGAACAAAATTGAAAAGAAAACCCTCATATGCTCAATCTCAAGAAATTGAACACTTTCAAGGCACAACTTCTTTCATATTCTTAGATCTAAATTGTAGGAACCAATACTCTTTATCAGCAGGCCTTCGATGGTAATATTTCATTTATATAAATATGATTTATTTAACATGAATATGTCAGTATGGACATTAATTTTAAAATGTGTCCTAAGGAGCACTAACATTAAAAGTCAGTCATTTCCAGTTGAGCTGATATTTTTGTGATTCCTCTATGTTGATAAAATGAAGATTTTTCAAGAAAGCTATTTTGGACATACCCAGTATGATCTCTTTCCTGGATCTCTAAATGGTACTCAATTATTTAAAACCGTATCCCATTAAAAAATCTTTTGTTAGTGGAATGTTCATATGTGTGTGTGTGTGTGTGTGTGTGTGTGTGTGTGTGTGTGTGTGTACACCCTGCACCTTGAAAGTGGTATGATTGCAATATGAATATATAAATGTATTTTCCTCATATACTTTCAGAGCATTATTTTCTCAAGTTGTTCAAGGATGAAAAGGAAGTCATCTGTAAGGGAATTTATGAATTTACCGCTGACCAATTCTGTGGAACAGAGTTGGGGAGTTTAGAGACGCAAAAATCTTTTGTAACCGTCATGTTTTCTAAACACAAGGATGCCTACTTAGCTCTGTTTCTAGAGGATGATACTGTGATTTTTAAAGTTCGGGAGAGTGACCAACAAGCCAAGAAACTGCTGGATGACTGGAAAACAAGAATCGAAAATGAATTCAAATTAAGTGAGTTATTGCATTTTTTCCCACCTACCTGCATTTCTTATTTGTTTTACTTCATAATGGTAGATATTAGTATTAACACATAGCACACATTAAAATTGAATGGGATTTTGCTGTATTTGTTTTCCTTTCTGTGTTCTTCTGACCTTCATTGTCTGTATCAGTATATAATCTCACCAAACCTTTATAATGTGATATTGATTAAGAACAGGATGGTCCTTATGATTTGTTACTTTAATTAGTTGTCTTTTTTATCTGTTATAAGTTCATTGGTGTTTGTTGTATTGATTTTCATTTGTAAAATCATGAATTATTTTACAAATATTTTTTAAATTAATATTTTTCTTTTGATTAATTGCCATTTATCATGATAAATTACCAGCACACCTTTTAAAATAAGTATAATTTAAGAATACAGGAATGTGTGTAGCATGATTTTTAATAAAAAGAATGAGCTTTGTTTGATTAAAGGGATAATAACTCTTCATTTTGGCCAAAAAATGAATTTTCCTGGAGTAAACAACAATTTTCCCATAATTACCAATGGTTAATCCATTTTTACATTCAAAGTTAGTCCCTGGTTTTTTTCTCAAAAAGTTTGGTTTTTTGTTAAAATCTCTTAAGAGATTATAACAGAGTATAGCCATCAATGGGGTCATGTGGTCTAAAGACAAGCTCAGATATCAGAATAATAGCTATAACTGCCATTTTTGTGGTAAAACAGAATATATTATATTTCTATGAGTTACTCACAATGTTTTTATTGTGAAAGATAGATCTCATACGAAGAGTTATTATCCCTTTAAATTCAAATTATTAAAAGAAAAGTGCACAAGAATTTGTGTCAAAAATCAAAAATTTGTGACAGATACATTGTTTCTCTTGAATAATAAGGCCACATTCGTATCGTGTTGAGCCATGGCTCTACAAAGCCACGACCTAAATATGGCGGACGTTCATGAAAAGAAAAACGCCTAATCATGTCAGCCGCATTTGTTGTAAAAAAAAAGACGAAATACAACATCAGTTACAGGATGGCAACAGTAAGAGAAAAACTGAAAAATTCATATACAATCATGTTTATGGTGTCAGACAGCAGTCCCATGTAATATAATTTTGATTGCTTGGAAACAGTATATGTGACATTTCATTTCTAGCAAAAATATATAATTATGTATGTACATATATTTTTTTTAATTTTCAAGCACAGGGGTATCACCAAATAGGATGTGGTATGGCTTTGAGATGCACTAGTAATGAAAGCCAGTTTAATATGGGAAATTAAAAACCATGTATATCCCCAAAACAATCATTTAAGGTTATGTCATTGGTAAGATTCGGCCCATTTTCGATCAGAAATACCTACAGTAATTAATCTTTTTGTTTCAGAGGAGCACTGGATCATAACTGCTCTGGAGGGCAATGGTTTGCCACATGATAAGGTCACTCTACACATCACAGAGCGTTCCGTCAGCATAACTCTGATCAACCCGCCTCATTGTCTTCGTCGCTGGGACCTTAACAAATGTATTAATGTGAGCCACCATAAAGACATCCTAGAAATAGAAGTCAGTGACCCACTTGCAGAGAAGGATGTCAATAGACCAGGCAAGTTGTATTTTCTTATGTATTTTTATGTGATTGTTGATATAGTGAAGTGTTACAGATACCATTGTGAAAGTTTCTAAGGCACTTTTTTTATTTGCAGGTGTTTACAAATTTAGAACAAAAAGATCGCACCTGATTGCCCCTAAGATAGAATCCTCTAGAATTCTCTACACAAAGAGACTTCGCTCAAGGTCTGTACATGTATCAAGTAGAGCCCCGCCTTCTTTTCCCCAACACAAGGGTGCTAGCTCGCCATCAGCTTCCAGCCACTCTTCCTGTAGCCCTACTATTACACCTGAGAAGAAAAGACCTCTACCGCCAGTCCCACCTTTGGTAGAGGAAGAAGAAGCCGCCACTACCTATATACCTTTACCTTTACATGCAGTCCCCCCTGTTAGTGGTGGGGTAGCAAGATCAGCATCAGTGGGTGACCTGGTACAGGAACGTGGTCTTAGTGCAATGAAAAACAAAGCTGGATTGAATCGTTGTGGAAGTTTTAATGACTTGGCAGAATTGGCTACTATGTATAGAGCATTCCATTTGGGCAGTAGACATCCTTTAAAAAGTATGAACGACCTTGGTCAGTCACTGAAATCTGAAAGCTCAGTGACAACTATGGGAAGGAAAAGATTAATGGCAAAATTGTGGAGTATACTTCGTCACATCCAGGAAGAAGATATCTATTGGTGCATGAAGCACAGGTGAGATAGGACATGCTTTAGAGGTGATTAGTGAACACAAATGAACAATGTAATATATAAATATATATTTAGGTTTTTAATTAGCTTTGTTGCTTTAATGAAAAACCAGTAACAATGTGATGTACTGTTAACTACACTAAACCTATTATCCCCAGTATGGGGGTTTACTCTTGATATTTTCACCAAACAGCAGATATATGATTGAACCTTGTTTATGAATTAGTCTTTTAAATCCCTGTTGTTCATTTAACTTTTTTTAATGATTCTAGAAATATGCAGAGGCCATGCTATGATGCTGACTACCTGAATACAGATGTAAGTAAGATGTAAAGGCCTTTAATTGTACTGCCAGAGCTGTTGTGGCCAAAAACTACCACAGCTACAACCCCATCAGCCCCACTGTTACAGCCAAGATGGAATCTTCTTATAACTATACTGAACAAAAATATAAACACACGAAACTAAAAGGGTCAGATGAAATGGATAATCATGAAATATGCCCAAGTTTATGGTTTATTTGTGAATTGATGGATTTGTTTTGATCAAGTATAGTGGTCTGGTTTCACTTGGCCGCTCCCCGTGAGTATACTCAAAGGTTCAGTTTTTACACCCATAAGACTAATGGAGCATGACGGAGTGGAGGTCAATCTGCATGACCAATACACAGACACTCCTTACAGTCTAGGCAATAAAAGGGCACACCAAAATGTGCATTTCTGTCACTTGTCAACATGCCACAGATGTCTGAAATCATGAGGGATAGTGCCATCGGCATGCTCAATGCTGGCTTGTCGGTAACAGAAGTTGCAGCATGCCAGAATGTGCATCATTCCACTGTCAGCCATCTGAGAACACGCTTCAGAGACACCGTCAACCACTTGTTACCACACCCGATTTGTTGCCCATCGAACACATGTGGCATGTTCTGGATCAGCGTTTTTGCCATCATGGTCCAGCTCCCGAGAATATGTTTGCCAACTGCGAGTAGCACTTCAGGAGGAATGGGATAATGTCCCTCAGGCCACTATTGTCAACTTAGTGATGCCCATGTTCTGCTGGTGTAGTGCTTTGCACGAAGCTTATGGTGGCCTATTGTAGTGTCTGTGAACTCAGGATGTTGACCTTCATGGTGTATTTGATACCCTAACTCTTGGACTATGCATTTAAACTTCCCATAATGCTCTCAAAGTGATGTCTGTTTGTTGAGGAAAATATGCTGTTATTGTTGGCTAAATACTCTAGTTCTATACATGAAAATAAATCAAGATATTCTTTCGTGCGTTTATATTTTTGTTCAGTATACTTCTTCCAAATCAATTATCAGTGTTGTCAGTCCTCTTTAGGATGTCCATTACCCCCCCCCCCTCCTTTTTTTTTTTTCATCCGGTACTATTGAAAAGCTTGACATCAGGTGTATGGCTAAACCATAAAGTTAATGTATTTTCAACAGATAATTATTGAACTTTGCTTATCAACTCAAGCTGCATTTGATTTCTGGTAAAAGAATTAATGTAAATTTTGATGTAATATTGTCATACAAGGACATATATTCATTCAAGGACAGCGATTTGGAACATGATTTGGCTTAATGCCAAATTTCAATAATTTAATGATGTTTTTAAACTGCTATTTTTATTTCTTCACCTCAAACAAGTTGATATGATTTTCTCAACCTTTTTTTCTAAAATTTTTTTTTAAATTTCCATATAAATTTATATTTTGGTTTCTTACCTATCAGATAAGCTACACATTAATGTGTGCTCTCCGAGGCAGCAAACCAAGAAAGAACATCTTGGGTCTATCAAGAGCCACTAGGGACAGACTGGTCTGCAAGCTACATGTGAAGGAAGGCTGGGAGATCCTTGCTGAGCACATAGGTAGGTAAAGCAAGACCACACTATATTTGTGGGACATGCACCTGAACTGTTTGTTCTTTTAAGATTTATTGAACATCTCAATGCCTTAAAAAGTCTAAGACCGCATTCTCAATGAATTGAGCCAGGCTTTACAAATCCTGGGGACTAAATATGGTGGACGTACATGAAAGAAAAAACGCCTAATCGTTTAAGTCTCTCCACCTCTCACACGCCTCCCCATGTGTAGTCCCAATGGAGCAGAGATATAATGACTGTACCCCCGCAGGGATGACGCGTGGGGAGGCGTGTGAGAGGCGGAGAGACTTAAACGATTAGGCGGTTTTTCTTTCATGTACGTCCGCCATCTTTAGTCCCCAGGATTTGTAAAGCCTGGCTCAATTCGTTGTGAATGCGGTCTAAATTTCACGTGAGAACCTTGAGGTTCGGATCTGATGCATACCAGGTTCTTCATTTTCAAACTCATTACATAGGGGCACTTCCTAAAAAAGGGAAGCAACTGATCTGAAATTCAAGATACATACGTTGGAAGAGAAAGGTCAATTAAAAATCTTCTTAAGAATAATCTTGTTGATATTTTACTTTGTCCTTTTAACAGGAATGTCATATGAAGAGATGAATTTGGTAGAAGTTGTGTGCCGCTTCTACAATGTTGTAGTCGGAGATGTGATTCTTCAACACTGGCAACTCCTGTCAGACAAATCCAAAGACTTTGAACCAAGCTGTACCAAGAAAAATCTAGTCAAATTTGTCAAAGACAAAATGCCAGAGAGGCAAGACATACTGACAATCTTAGAAAATGACAAATCATTTCAGGAGACAGATTTCAGTTGACCTTGAAGGTTGACTTAGTAAGTTAGTAATATGACTGGTGCCCTATATGAGACCTGTTATCAGTTCAGCCGGCCTCAGACATCCCTGTATTAAGGTCTTTTGATTTTAGTATAACTGTTATTTGTCCATTTTATTGCCAAAAATGTTTTTTTTTCAAGTATTTAAGATAATAAATCTACAGCAAATGTAAATGTGTATGTACCAGCATATATGTTTTGTCTGTTTTTTAACTTCCAGATGCACATGGCAGTCTGTTATTTACTACTGGTATTCATTTAGATATATTCAGGTTGACATAGCATAATGAAAAAAAAATGTTTCGTACCAATATTGGTCCTGTGAAAATGGTGTCAAAACAATACTGAAAGTCAAATATTTTTGCATAACAGTCTGTGCTAACCCTTAGTGCTGATTTTCATACATCAGTGACTTAAAATGTCTAGAGCAGAAAGCCCAACTTTGGGCGGGGTGGATTGAGGGCAGAGGGACATTTGCCCCCTCTCTCTTTCATTCTCCCCTACCCCCTCCAGGTTTTTGGATTAATAGTGTCCTACTGTAGTCCTACAGTCCTACCTGCTGTTGGATTTCCAACAGCTGCCTCCCAAGCATCTGCTTTAAAGGGATAACTGTTCATTTTGGCCTAAAATTGAATTTTCCTGGGGTAAAGGACAATTTTCCCATACATACAAATGGTATATGAATCCGTTCCCACATTAGTCCTTGGTTTTTTTCTAAAAAGTTGTTTTTTGTAATAATCTCTTAAGAGATCTCAAGAGATTATTACAGAGTGTAGCCATCTATGGAGGTCACGTGATGTGATGTCAAGTACAAATTCCAAAATAATTGTGTTAACTGCCATTTTGGGGGTAAAATAGAATTTTATGTATTTTGAAGAATTAATACAATGTATTTATTGTGAAATAAGGATATCATACGAATGGTTGTTATCCCCTTAAGCTAATTTAAATTTGAAACAGAAAAGAAACCAGTAAAATATTTTGAATTAAATTGTTCATGATTCTACTTATATAATTTAATTTAAGCAGATTTTTTAACAAAGTTGCATGAGGACAAAAGCCAATTTTTAAGCAACTATAATACTGCCGTCCATTCTGGAAGTTGAATCTATACCGTTTTTTGTTCTGCTTTCTCATTTTTCTTCAAAGTGAATACTTTGCCATGTACATTTCTTTACAAAAGAGTTTTGTGCTTAATGTTCAGGTGTTTTACATGTTTGGTGCATAATGAGTTAATCTAATTGTTGCTTTTGATAAATTAATGTCTTTGAAAATCCCATTTATAAAAAGGCAGCTATCTGTGTAAAATTGGTAATTATTTTTCCATTTTTGACCTCTGTCACCGTCTTTGCATACATACGGGTTAAAAAGGGAGATCCCTGAAATCATTTTCTCAAATTCACAGCTGCAAGAGTAATCAAATAATATATGTCATTTATATGTCTTATGTTTTTTAAATTGTAGTAGTGATGTTTTATTATTTTGAAAGTCCCATAGTATTTGTGAGATCACTTGAGCACATGACTTCACAAAGTCCCACTTTTTTGTTAAAAGTAATAGAAGGTGCAGGGCTTTAAAAAAGTCACATTTGCATGTTAGTTATTTTCATGTTAAGAGTTGAATGACTGTTTAACCAGATAAGAAGAGTTATAGCAACTTTTCAAGTTTAATAGAGTAAGTATATATTTACTGATGTTTAAGGTATAGTAATCACTTTCTTTGGAACAAAATATTAGTGAAATAGCTATTACAAGAGTGAAATGAACTGTTTTACTAAAAATTTGTTCCAAAGAAAGTGATTACTATCACTAAAACATAATACAATTTCTTGGAACCATAAACAATCTTTCTGATTACTTAGTATGTAGTAATATGTGAGGAATTCAAATCTTGCCTTAGCCTCAAATACACGTATCAATTAAAGTGTGGATTTTCGAATATTTTATTGCATGTTTTGTGCTACTTTCATTCACGTTATCCTGTTCTCTGAACCATGTTATTTTACTTACTTTGTCCAGTGTTTCACATGAAACTGTATTTGAATAAATGTGCATATTAAATTATAAGTACTAACATTTTCTTTCATTAAATTGTTATGCCCTAAAAAAAAGTTTTAACATAAACACCGAAACAGTATATAAATTCTGGTTTAAAAAACAAGTACAATTTATTGTCTCAAACAATGTTAGCAAATTTTGACAAAATTATAGTTAAAATTGCTAACAGAATTGAAATTACAAATGCCTAAGGTGTCAATAGTGGAAAAAATGAATCTTCGTCATACAATAATTAAAAATGACTTCGGTCTTGATATCAGCCTTTTATCCACACCATGTGCAATTCCACTCTAAATTAATATCTTGTTGAAAGCTTTCAGAATTTTGTCACCTGTTTAATTAAAAACAAGGCAAGCAACAGGAGCTAGCACGAAGCAAATTGCCTTTTATTTCTGCGTTCACATGAGGAACTTGAAAAGAGCGAGGTGGATAGATTAACAATTTTTTTTCTCGTTATTGTTCTTATAACAATGAGTGCACCACAACATCATAGGTCTCCTTGTGATGCATCCTCCTACTCAATAAATTTATACTCAAGAATAATATCAGGGGCAGACCAGGCCAGTCTTCTACTAGGCTGTCAGAAATTTTCAAGTTTACATCTAATCTTTTCTAATTTCTTTTGTCAAAAGATGGTCCAAAAAGAGAGATTAATAAACCTGGGGTAATTTGGAAGACAGAAAACAGTGGCAGATCCAGGATTATTTGAAAGGGGGGGGGGTCCAGAACGACAGGCCTCGGATGAGAAGCCGACCGTCGCCCCCCTTGGTGTGAGGTTCAGGGCCTGCTCAAGGGCCCCAAATGTTTGTTGGTGTTTTGGAGAGCAAACAGTGCCCTTTGGTACGGTTTAGAACTATCATTTAGCTAGTAAAAATTCTAATTTCAAGAGGGGAATGTTGGTGTGATATATTTTTCAGAAACCAAAGGGGAGAGGGGCAGGAACCCCCTCACCCCCCTTTAAATTGGCCACTGAGAAAATATCTCTGGATCAGCCCCTAAATATCTCTTCCTCATATTTTCTTTGAAAGCACTTCCCTGTCTGTTACTGAATAAAAATGTCTCTATAAAGTTCAGTTACAATTTGCTAGCCAAGTAAAAACAGTTATCATTGTAGTAAATTGGTGCATGCAAACAAGCTAGGTTGACAGGTTTTATGCAGTTCCTCTTTCAGAGACTTTTTAAATCAGTTTCTTCAACTGCTTGGTGTGGTAGCTGTGCATAAACACAACTAATACAATAACAAGTGCTAAGTGTAAGTAGGACTTTTTGACTGCAATGTTAAGGATGTTGTCACCCTTCGCCCAAAACTCCTTATTTACTGCCTTACATGCATTCTTTTGGGTAATAAATAAATCTTCAGTGACTAAATTAATTAATATTTACATATATGTCATCTTACAGGTGACGTCATTATGCGATTTTGTGGTTAAAACAGAAAAAATCAGTTTCTCAAATTTCTCTTTTACCTGAGCACCCCGATCACCATTTTAACGCCGACTTCATGACATCATTTAGTGTTCCAATACCCTGCACGCGATTTTTCTTAAAAGTCTTAGTTCAGATTTTATCATTGATAAAGCAAAATAATCCCTTTGTTTGATGACATTCCGTTATTAGGGGCTCATGATTCCATAACAAAAACATTACAACCAAAATGACGATATGGGATTGTAGCCTATACAATCCTGGTCAACTCTGCAAATTTTTGTGATAAGATCTTGTTCAGGGATGAAGTTAGGCCCCATACGGATTGCTATCTCACCTCAAAGTATAAAGGTGTTAAATTGGCAATTCAAGTTTTGAGTTGAATATGCTTATACAGTACATTGTAACAAAAATATATAAAGGCCAATATTTAATGTTTTCGATGTTTTTTTTTATTGTTTTAAATCAGCACAAAGATAGATGCATATAAATAAATAATTAGATGCAGGAAAAAAAAACTAATTTTCGATATCTGGATGAAAATAAAGGGTTACAACAACCTTAAAAGTTTGAAAACTTTGTTTGCTGCATGAAGAAAGGCATTTTTGCAGTATTCCCCCACCCTACAGCTCTTCAATTTCTAATGGTTATCAAAATTATATTATGTGGTGACTTTGATCAATGTCCCTGCTATTCAAATAAATTAGTTTAGAAATTATAATTAACTAAACTGATATCTTTTTTCAGTAAATTTTTTAGTTCTTTGATCACTGAGATATTATAGCGAGTATGTGATTTCATCTTACTCTGTCCCTGCATGAAACGTTACAAGGTAGTTTTAAAACTTGTTTGTCAAATGCAGCGCATCGCCCCCTCAAATTCCTAGACTATACGATTCTCTATCAGTCAATGGACATCCCTTAACGTCATAATTGCTCATGAGTGCCGTGCATGGAACAAGGAAGTAGATTTTTATAAAGAGTCACAGTGTATTAGGTCATCTCTTTCTTCTTGTCTTGGGTACCTAATGCATTGCTCTGACCTCTATCGGATTATAAGATGAGAAACATGAAACTTGCACTAGACGCAAGGTCTCTCGATTAGGAATTGAAACTGAGGTGACTATGATAGTTGCACAGTGCCAAAAACAGAATGATAGATAAGCACAACTGTGACACGGATCGAAAATGCCTCGAGTAAAAGAGATTAAAACCGGAAAGTTGGATCACATGAAGAGACAGAACTACTTTAAACCGGTAAGACTTGCGGAAGTTCGAATTGAACTTTAACTCGAAGCAGATATCTGTATAAAAGAAATTCAGTTTGTTACAAAGTATAATTTAAATGAAATATACATTATGCGCAGGATGTTGTTACAGAGGGTCCCATTGAAAGCCACTTTTCTTAACCGAGATGCTTGAAACGAGCACATTATTACATATTGAAAACCATGAGGACTCAATATCTGTAGGCTACTTTTAGGTATGTCAGAAAAAATTCATACTGATCAGAAAAAATAATATTCATATCTTGTGAAAGGTAATGCAAAACAGATTGCAATTCTTTTGGAATTTTTAAAATATTCCTACAAGTAACAAAGATATTGAATTTTTTATTTAGTACTATATCACACCCTAAGTGTCCTCACTTTTCAGCCCAGGTGACCACTGACTGACATTATTGGACAGCACATCAAATTAACTATACTTCACATCGTTCAATTTTCATGTTTTTTTTCCCATTAGATTGCAAATTTCCTGTCCTTTTAAATGGTATAACTTACATGTGCTAAAAAAGAGATTTGAAAGGGATGTTATACGGGACCTGTCAGCAGGCCAGTCACAGCTTTGCCCTGCACTGCTGCTGGACAGTGTCTACAGTACTGTGGCACCCCTGGCAGATTGTGATATATACCTGTTTGTTCTTGTGGATGCTTGTAGACACTTGTGGACGCAACGTACCATATTCTCTCTGTTATCGTTTCATAGGTCTACATATTAGCTACGGCACTATACTTAAAATTCCTTCTTGTGCTATATATATGTGATTTCCCAACCATTTTATGCTTGTGGACATTTGTGGTCATTAATTAGACAGACCTCACCAGTAATATAAAGAAATTCAATTTGTCACTTGGCATTTTCAGCATGCTTACCTATGTATGAAAATGGGAGTCTGCTGTTTTTCCATTGGTGGATGTGGTCAGGGGGTTCCAAAACATTGGCCCTCAAATCCAGCTAACTGTACTTTGGAGGGGAATCCTTTAAAACCTATTGCTGGGGTAGCACTAACACTTACCAATTTAGCCAAATGCTAAAACTGACTTAAATTGGCTAAACAAAAAGGGGTTGATTTGACTAATTTAAGTCAAATTAAAACCATTTGGATAACAAATTGACAAAAGAGTGGTGATTTGGCTAAGCAAAAAAAAAAAAATTGTTGCCACTACCCCAGTATCGAGGGTCCTTATTGATTCTTAAGGTCAAGTTCAGATATCCAGTCCACTTGGATTATTTAATGTTTCTCTTTTTTTTTTTTTCAATTTTTACAAATTGGCACTTTCCTGATGTCTTAAAATTCCCACAGGTTAAAATCTCTGTGTCACTACATTTTGTGAATATCCACAAGGTGCGTGATTTAATGGTGGCGATTACACTGTTAGGTGTGTAATATTGCATCAAGATTCAAATTTTCCAAACAATATTTTATGAGCTATCTTTCATATCATAAGCAAAATTTTAAAAAACCTTGTAACTTTATATATATATATAGATTGCTAATAGGTGTGGGATGAAGCCCATTTCTTTTTGTAAAGTTCATGTTTTTTGCCTTAATGTAAAAAAAAAACCCTGAAATTTTAATATTAATATGTAGTTGGAAAACCCATTGACATTTTTTTTTCTAATTTTATATTTTTTGTTATCGATGTTATCTCATCAATTGCATGAACTGATATTAGATCATGACTTCTTCCAATTTGTATCATAATTAAATCACATTTTGTTTGTGTTACTGGGAGTAAACCTTTGCAGTCTTGTAGTTTATTTGTCTCTTATAAGCAATGAGCATTTCTTCTTGTGGTTTATTTTTTTTTTTTCAGAGACAAGTTCAGTTTTGTAAGGTGATTGAAGGACTAGATACAGGTATAGCAATTTCTTTTCCACATTTTGTATGAGGTCACTTAAAGTCTAAATAAATCTAAATACTTATATAGTTGAATGAAGCAGTATTTTTTTTTTTTTTTTTTTTTTTTTGACAGACAGTGTGTTTGGACTAGAGCAATCAACTGCATCTATTTCAATGAACTGTTGGCATTTCTGTCATAGAGCACTTTCCTGGAATTTTTACTTGTAACACAATCAGAGGAAAAGTTTAATTGTTATTTTTAAACAAATAGGAACAATCCATAGTATTAAGTAACAGGAGTCCTGCGAGAATTTGTGCATAGAATTGACATGGACACAATTTGCATCTGTGCCTCTGACAACCAGAGCACCACCCTGATGATACTGCTACTTTTGTTTTGCAGAGTACTACCTCATCAAACTCTTCAGACATGATGATAAGCTTCATCGCAGGGTGCCAAAAGGTTCTATTCAGTTCAACAAAGCTGATGTCTGTGCAGTTCACATGTGGGAGGCAAAGGAAGAGAAAAAGAAATTGCTTCGGTCTCAAGTTATTTTGAAAAATCATGTTATTTTGTTTTTACCTGAACCAGTCGTTTTTCTTGAGAAGAGTAGTGATGAGTCTCTTGAAGCACTAGAGTTGTTGGAGTGGTACAACTGCTTTGTGAAAGAATTCAAGCACAGTAAGTTTTGGTCACCAAAACCATCATTTTGTAAGATGACATTCATTTTACACTGGTTTCTTTACACTGATAAGTTCTTTGCTCTCCCATAGTTAATTTAGTTAATTATCCCTATAAACAAACAAACAAAAAAATATTGGTTTTTTGCATTCAGTTAATCATAGATTCTGTAGTGAGACTGACATCCACATTACAGGGCACCACTGGGAAGTAGAAGTGCCAGAGAAGGACTACTATAAACCTGGTCAGTATTGGTTACACCTTATGGAACAGTCATTGTGCTTAGTGTCCAGGTCCAACTTGTATGGTCCATGTGACCCAGTCTTTGCATGCTATGACCACTACTCTTTAGAGGATGTGGAGGTGTCATGGTCTCCTGGAATTCTAGACTTGAATGTCTATGATAGTGAGTACAAAGGTTCTAGCCATATTTTTATAATGGAATGTACATAACAATTTATTATAGTGGTTAAGTCCATAACAAAGATGTCTACAGGGGGTATATTCTTTTGAAAATACTACTGATTCTTTTTGACTGTAACTTGAAATTTGTTAGAAATATTTGGAAATTCAAGTTGCTTAATTAGCTGCTATTATCATTAGAGTTATGTCCTGCACAGTGTAAAGGTTATCCTGATATTTTTTAAAGTTGACCAACTTTACATCTTTTGATTTAATGAAAATTAAGATCTGAATCCTTAAACTTTTATTTACATGTTGCTTTTGGATCAAAAACTTATACTATATGTAGCCATATAATGAAAAAATATTTTTCTTGGTTTCTAAACAGTATGATAAAACAGAGATTTTATGACCCAAACAGGGACAAATATCTTTAAGTGAATATTTAATGTGACCTTGAATTAGACATTTGACCTGCTTTTCCACAAAAAAAAAAAAAAACACATTTGCTATTTCTCCACAACTAAAACAAAGACCCATTGCTACTCTAACTTAAATGAGCATAATCTACTTAAAATTGGTGTTGATTTTCATGTTACTTAAGCATCATGTAAGATTGCATCAAAATTGACAAAATAACCTATTTTGTGAATTATTTGCTTTCATGTCTGTATATTTTACAGTTTTGCTGCTTGTATATAATTGTAATGAGATGAAAATATGGCAGTTTGCATTACATTTATGATATTATTCCTGTTTCGTATTGACACCATAAATATTGTTGGAGCTGCTTGTGACTCAAATGGCTTCTTTTACTTTGTCAAATAGTACAAAAAAGGAGTTCTTTTTTAGAATTAATTTTCCAAAACCAAATTATGAACTTATGTTTAGAATTTCAGGTTACTGCCTTTATCAGTGATGTAAGCAAGAATATGAAGTAATGTCACTTATTATTAATTTACTATTTCGTATATATGACTAAATTAATAGGGGTGTACCAACTGCACCTTAATACCTGCAATACTTCTTGTGAGTGTTTTTTTTTTCTACAGAACAACAGATTAAACTCAAGACACCATTTGCAAAGGACATTTATAATGTTATTAGTGAGAAGACAGCAGAGTTATCAGCCCATAAGCAATCTGATGTTGTTAAGCCTGTTTCTCCGACAACACCTTTCCCCCCTCAGAGACCAGATGGCGCAGCGGTGTCAGTGAAAGTAGAGCCACCTGACTGCCCTCCCACCCCTCCCCTAAGGAAGGATGTAGAGTCTCCGCTTGTGAATCCAGATATAAATGCTTCCATTGTCCCACCAAGGCCACCCAGAAGTCCTTTACATACAAGAAAGGATGCAAATCTTGACAAAGATATGTCACTGGACAATTCAGAGGAGGATTTTAAAAACTTATCGACTGAAAATGTTCATCGTCCTTTGCAGATGTCTGCCAGCATTCCTTATTCTGTAGAAGCTATACGTCCCCCCTTACCTCCCTTGAGAAGTAACAGTGATCAAAGTGGCTTAGTGTCCAATTTCCAAACCATGCCACCACCTCTTCCGCCAAGGACACCCTGTAAAAAAAGCGACCAGCAGAAAAGTAAACCATCAGACCTTTCAAGTAGTTATCATGATGTTAAAGCAGGAAAAAAGTGGCAGAATGTAGTGGTCTCTACAGAAGAAGAGCAAGGGAAGACGAATGAAATGATTTTAAACATTCCAGTACAAAGTTTTGATCAAAATGTCACCATTCCTTGCAGTCCCAAGACGCCTAGCCCAACTCTGACTGTAAATCCTAAGGGCTCCAAAAAAGGATGATTATAAAAATGTGAGAAGACCTCTTCCTGCTCCTCGGACGAAAAATAATTCAACTGGAGGAACATCAGCATTAGACTCAACAGATCAAACTTTTATAAAATTTGAAGATTTACAATCATTCAACAATGGTACAGTTCAGTCATTGAATTTAGAAAGTGACCATGCAGATCAAATGCTTCAGTTCCATGATATCTCTGCTCATCAACCTTTGACAGACAGTGACTATGATACAGTGGCATGTGTGCAATCAAAAGCTTTATTTCCTTCAGGGCGAAGCCGTTCTTATTCACTTGAACGTTTATCAATCCACAGTGACTCGTCCGACTTGCCTGTTGAGACAATTTATGGAAGTGCGGAAGATTTGTATGACATTCATAAATTGGAAGAATTTAGAGAAAAAGTGTTGAGAGGGGATTTCAGTACACTGTACAGTGGAATCAATCGAGACCAACTTAGTAAAGGGCGTGGCAGTGGCAGAAAACACTGGATGAGAAGTGCACTTGTTCAAAGTGAATGCATGTATGTAAATGATGACCTTCAAAGTAAAGAGCCGGCCCCACAACTGCCACCACGAGATTACCCCCAAGCACGGTACATAAACAAATGAGATAACAGTTTTATATCCTCTTGCACTACTATCAAAAAAATTACTACTCTGATACAGCACTAATTTAATCGATTAAGTATTGTTCACATACAATGGGATAGAGAAAGATGAATGTCAATAAACTGGTTAAACTAACATAACTCTTCTCAGACAAGATAATTAAGATACTGGAAATTTTAAAACCCTCAGATACCATTTGCATGAATTTAAAAAAATTGTGTAAAATTATTTTAGGCCAGGCTATGCAACTTTGCCTAATTTGAGACGCAGAGAAGATAGGAATACAATTCTGGATATGGATTACTGGGCTTCAGAGGTATGAGATGTTTCTGTTTATTTTTGATACAGCAGAAAAAAATTTTTAATGTATTCAAGTGGACCGTTTTTTTTCCAATATACGATCTATTTAGAAAAAAAATTGATAAAATTAGTGTTGATTCACTGATTAAATTTTTTTGGATTCTTTTGTTGATAATTTTATTCAATCATTTATTTATTTGTTTTATTTATTAGTATATTTTTTAATTATATGTTGTAACAAGAATAGGATAACTGAGTGCTCAGGCAATTTGGCCCCCAAATGTCTTTTTTAACTCCAGAGCATATGGAATTTTAGTTTAGAAAACTGCAAGATAGTTATTTTTCTTTTTCTCAGAACTGTCTCCACGTTTTCATCAAATTTACCATTGCAGATGTTTTGAAAAAAATGTGAAGCAAATCAGAACTTCAAATCTTGAACTCTTGATTTTCCCTCAGTTTTTTAGTTTTGTTGAATTATTAAATTTGCAGATCAGTCAAACTCTCCAACTAATATTAGAAAAGACCAATCCTGTGCCAGATACCCTTCTGATATCTTCACTGGTAAAGGAAAGAATTTGCTTTAAACTTTCTTACATTCCTGCTTCAACTGACTGGCATAATTTTGCGGAGGAGATAGGTAGGTGTATAAGCTACGTACAGTGTGTTCTAGAAATATGTTATTAGCAAAAGATAGCATAACAATATGAATCAAGACTTATTCTGTTATGATGATTGGCATGTACATTGGGTACCTGCAGTTTTTTCTGCACTTAACATTTCTTCATTATAATCAGTCCTGTTTGATCGAAATACTACTTTATTGAATTTATATAACTAGTATTTAATATTTTTTTATTATTAAATATTGTTAAACGCTTTTCTGGTAGGTCTTCATGCAGATGACATTGGTATCATAGAGAACTTTGCCAGATTCCACAACGTTTGCCCAGCCAAGATAGTGCTAAACCACTGGCAGGTGCTAGAAAATAATGGTGTGATTGCCAGTGATTCCACAAGTATCAAACACTGTACCAAGCAGTCTCTGTTGGACATATTGGAAAAATTGGAGAGATTAGATTTAGTAGAACTTATTAAGAACCGGGATAGAAAACAGTAGGAAAATGGTCAGTCGTTTCTATATGCAAGGTGCATTTTTTTTTTTTTTTTTGCAAAACTGTGTAAATATAATTCAGTATTTTAGTCAAAGATTGTTCATGTTTCACAATGTTAAATTGTGTATGATATGCTCACTGCCGCACATTTTATAAGAGCTTAAACTTACCAATGTTTTAGCACCAATTACTGGAACTGAGGCAAAATTTTCTGAGAAAATAAAATTGTCTTATGATGATAACCAGAAGACTATTATGTACAAAATTATTGAAAAGTGAGAAACTTGCATCTTAATTGTGTATTTTTTTATGAATTTAATGTGAAATGCAGTTCTGTTTAAATATGTAAGTATATATGTGGTTTTATAGATATATATATTGGAAATTTTAACATTGGTGCTTGGGGAAGAAATTTTAAGTTCCTGCAACATTTCCTCCTAGCACCAGTTATAAGATGTGTGATTTAAAAGATTCAAATCAATAACTTAAAGTATAAATGGTTACAAGCAGCTCACCAGGAGACACCAATATCAATGTATTTTCTGATTTATAGACTTATCTTGTACTTTTAAGGTGTAGAAATAAATTGTATAATTCAGCTTGCACACTGACACAGTAGTATATATATACTACTTATTTAGTTAATGCTTTATGTGGTGAGATTTAATCTTTTTTCCTGAAACATCAGAGGGATTGATCAATGTGTTCTGTTAATTTACTGGCAGCTGGTCTGTTTATGCCTGTTTTGGTTTAGATTTTCAATTTCAAAAAGGCTCTCCATTTGCAGCTTTTAGCTGATGAGAATTCTACATTTTCAAAGTATGGAATACTTTGTTTTGTAAGCCTATTGCACACATTACATGATTGTTACAAAAGACTGACATGTTACATAGGCACTTTTATATGACACATATTGTGTATACTTTGTTGTAGACAATTGCAAGTTGGTGTTTGGTGTCAGGTGATATGTAGTAAAAAATATTTTAAATAAATTGTCATTTGCTTTGATGTAGTGCAATTCTCTTGTGGCAGATGGAATCTCACTGCAAAGGATAACACGTTTTTCTCTAATTGTCAGCTCAGCAAATATGATATGTGTCTTTATTATTATTGTTATTATTATTATTATTCAGGCCCATAGTCAGCAATTTCAAAAGGGGGTTCTTTTTCTGAAAAGTGGACCTTTTTCCATAAAAACTTCATGAACCTAGATCAAATTTTACCCAGAGTGGACCTTTTCCCACCAAAAGGGGCGGTTCTTTCAAACCCCCGAACCCCCCTAGCTACAGGCCTGTTATTATTATTAATATTATTATTATTAGTAGTAGTAGTATTTAAAGCTTTTAGCACAAAGATATCTGTAAAAACATTTTATCTTTGTCTGTCTTTTGTGTATGATGTGCCATATAGTACAAATTTTATGCTCAACTTTAGTTCATTGTAACAGCCATCAATGGACTTTCCAAATGTAAATGTAAATCATGGAATTTGTAGGGCAAACAGAAAGAGTTGGGTAATTTGAATTATTATAAATAATTTGCATAGAATGCAATCAAGTATTTGGGAAGTCAAGGTCTGATAGAACTCAATAATGACCTTTGTCATATCACCAAACGTAATATTGACCAGTGACATGTAGCTTTTTACCAATCGTGAGAGAAAAGACACGTCTCCAATAAAACGTTACTCATTTCAAAGTTCAATAACTATACTAGAAGCTTTTCAACAGAAATGTTGCACAGATTTTTGATACACATAATCGGACAACCATGAAATTTCTAGTATTATAGTGAAACAATTCTGATATTATCATCAAATCAAAAACACATTGACAAGCATGTCAATTTTTGACTTAAAATTTTCATTTTTTGGTGTGCCTAAACTAAGAAAGGTAGAATATGAAATTTTTAGCAATTCCTCAAAACATCATTTTCCTGATATATATATATATATATATATATATATATATATATATATATATATATATATATATATATATATATATTCAAAATTGTTGAAGTAATTGAACTTTAAAATTAGTCATTTTTTTAGCCAGCTGATATGTGTGTATGTATAGTCAGTCAGATAACAACAGTGTTGAATATGGTAGCAATGTTGCAATTAAGATAGTGACATTTAAATATTAAATTAATTTCATAATAAAACCATTGACCTTTGCTTTCAGTCAGTATGTTGTTTTGATAATTATTAATTAACCTGGGCCAAAGATGATGGTTATAAAAAAATAATGGGTTACTATACTATGGAGGGTATACTACGTCATTTTAATGCCTGAGCTTGCAAGAGTTTTAATAGAGTCATGACCAGTCATTAAGAAGTTATCAGAATGATGCATCTATGATAACTTATTTATTTCTTAGGGATCATTCCCAGACCCTGTTGTGCTAACTGTGGATCAATCTTTCTCCTAGGAGATTCTCGCTAAATTGCAATCAACTTAAGTGGCTTTGATGTCTGTCACGCCTACTGAAGCTAACAGGGGGTAATTGATTACTGTTAGCAGCTTCAGTAGGCATACCAGACATATAAGCCACTTAATTAAGCTGAAAGCAATTTAGAGAGAAACCCCTTGGAAGTGGATCGATCCTATAAGATTGATCTAGGTATAGGAATCCAGTCTTAAAGATCCATATGCATACATGTCAACTCCCCCAGATAATATGGACTCTCTCGGATACAGAACGAATCTCCCAGTCTCCCATATGGGTAACTTAATCTCCCATATAAAAGCGATAATTTGCATAGGTATTACACACAAAACTATTAAAAACTGATGTCTTAAGAATAGTTGTGTGATCTTTTGAAAACTTCAAAAGTGTTCACTTCCCCATCCCCCCCTCCCACAATGAGCACAACAGCAGTGACCACTCTGCAAATCCCCCACAACACCCCACCCCAAACCCATACTGAGCAAAATTTTAGAATCTCCAGATTTTACAATTTCAGAGGTTAGCATTTCTGCATACGGTGATTTGATATGCAAAGTGATATCCAATCATTAAAAGGTTCACACCTGACTATCATAACCTAGCTAATAATAAGGTCCCAGCACTTACGCCATAAGTTATGGTAAAATTGTGTTACATACACCATGTATACCTTATACATGTAGTATACCCCAGTAGATTGTGATGTGCATGCATTGTTTTTTTTTTTTTTTTCTTTTTTTTTTCTTTTTTTTTTTTTTTTTTTGAATTAACATGTATTACTTCATGAGAAGGCGTAATTACTGGCAGCGCCGAGAATTAATTACAGCTTTGGAAGTAACTGCTCGCGCTGCCCGTAATTACACCATGGGGTATTCAGGGCACAGACTGTGATCACAAGATACTGCAAATAGATTTTTAGATTTTTGGAAAATAGATTTTCCATGTGAATGCAGCCTAATATATTCTGTTGTACCACAAAAACGGCAGTTATAGCTATTATTCTGATATCTGAGCTTGTCTTTAGACCACGTGACCTCCATTGATGGCTATATACTCTGTTATAATCTCTTAAGTGATTATAACAAAAAAAAAAAAAACTTTTTAGAAAAAAAAGGGACTGACTTTGAATGTAAAAATGGATTCATTAACTATTGGTAACTAAGGGAAAATTGTTGTTTACTCAAGAAAAATTCATTTTTTTGGACAAAGCGAAGAGTTATTATGCCTTTAATTAATTCCCCTGGTAAAATGTGACAATTTTTAAATTGTTAAAAACCAATATTGATATAGATCTACCGTAAAAAAATAATTTTAATGGACTTGCTTGGGTTCTTTCCCTCTTTTTCCCTCTTTTTCCTGTCCCCTTCCCCTCGAACTAAGAAGTCCTCATGTTTGAACTGAATATACGGTAAAGAAAGAGAAAAAAAAGCCGTGTGCGAAAAATTGTCGAAATCACTAGTAACGCGCGTGTATATGGCATTATTATGGCATTAGACTCCATACGTCTTTCTACCAGTATTTCTATGGATGTGTTTTATATTTATAATAGTAGGTTATTATTTTAACATTTACTTCTAAAAATATCAAAACAATATCGAACATTTTCTGAATTTCTGAATCGTAAATGCCCAAACAGTAAAATGTTGAGTGAACTTTTGTATTGTAGATATTGAATGTCCGAAAATGGCGGGTCGAGCAAATTTTAAACAGGTTTGTACGCTCAGATTCCAAAGTCGAAAATCATATATCATAACCGTAGCCAGTCGTATGCGTGTCACCCAGAAACTTATCTGTATATAAACTCTAAGAGGTGACGGTATTCAGACAGAATGACATATCCCCTGAAGCTGTGTTTTGATTATTTTCTTGTAAAAATGAACGAATTTGGAGCGTGGCTTATTTGACGTGTGCCTGTTGGCGTCTCAACTTACTCAGTTATTACCAGTTGGCAGGACATTTATTATCAGTGTCTACATGCTTTTCAAATAAATTAGTTTGGCAATTGAAGACCTTCAGGACTCTGAGATAGAGAGATCAGAAGATTTTCAGATTTTTGTTTAAAAAACCTAGGAATTGGTCAAAATGGCGTTTTGAGACTTTTTACCTTGTCTTGTGTTACAAGCACTCTTACATGTACTAGTATTATAACACACTAGTAACTGCTGTAATAAAAGAATAGAAATTAAATTTGATAAATTGCCAAATGTACTTTATGTACGTTGACAACACGTGATATACAAATACTAGTACGGCCAATTTGGGGTAAACATTAAAAATGAAATGGAAGCAAACCAAGTCCATCAATCAGCACTTCCAAGGCTACATTGACCTAATCTGACCTCTCAAAATGAGTCAGATTTATCCATCAAAACCTGAAAAACGCAAGAACCACAGAACCTATTAATTACTCCTACCAATTGGTATTTCAACCAATATTTCAGGTAGTATCAGTAGCTCTGTTTTTGTGGTTATCTGCATTCTGATTCTTTCTCCAGAGTGGCACAGGTACAAGTACATGTAATGCCCACCTCCACATCAACCAGCTCCTTGTGTACAATCTGAATCCTCATGATCAGTGAATGCTGCCATTATTAGTACAGTTTCATCCATGCATTTGTTTCACATTATCATTATAATGACTTTTACTCCATCTCTAGCACACCCAAAAATTTTTAATTTAGGGGGAAAATAGATGAGCTAAAGACAGGAAACATGGAGCTAAGTTCCTTTAGCTAGTGCTGCTTTGATTTGGTGTTGTTTATATCACAGCTCATATTATTAGTAAGTGCTCTTTTATCTTCTTTCTTCATGTTCTTATTCTACAGGAAACTATTCTGAAGCTGTTACAGATGCAATTTAAAGATGAGAAAACAAGAGGTAAATTTAGATTTAATGATTAAGGCCACACCATAGCCATTTGAGCAGGAACTGTTTTAGGACTTGCCCAAGAATGAAGACTGTTTGATTGCAGTTTCACACCCTTTTACTTTTTAAGGCTATTTAGAACTATATTATCTCAATACCAAAGTGAAAAGATTTGGTAAAAAAAATTTTTTTATTATCATTAATAGAAAAAGTTATACTGATTTTGACAATTCAATAGAGGAATGGTGATAGGGACTTAAGGACAGTCATGCCAGAAATACATGTACATGTACAGTATATTTTTTAATTTAAGTCGGTTTCAAAATCCTACAAACCCTTCCATGGACAATTTTGAAGAAATGGCATTACTTTTTTTATAGATTGAATAAGGGCTGCCTAATTTTTTCTCTTGTTTCGTTACAGTTAGTGGTGATGCTCAGAAAGTGATGACAACTTTGATGCAGATCTATGTTTCAGGTAAGAAAGTATCAGTAGTGTACATGGTTTAATGGGAATATTTAATTTTTTTTCCCAATGAAAAAATATTTAGGTAGGCTTTGATTTGAGAACAAAATGTTTTGCTTATCATTTCAGAAGCTGCAGCAAGAGCAGCAAAGCAGGCAAAGGTGAGGTGCAACTAAAGTGGGGGTGAACATTGTAATGTCATAATTTAACTGAGAGCATCTCATGGGACATGTTATAGTAAACATTAATGAAACCTTCAATTTATAAGATAAGACTTAAATATCTGTACATTGAGTGAGTACATATGGAACATTGCTAAATGTCATTTAAGAAAATTTATAGAAGCAGTTTTATAATTCATTCCTAGCAGAGTTGCCAACATTTCAATCCCTAAAGTTATTATGTTCTTAATGATAGAAAAGCACCTAAAAACATTTTGGATCTCAGTAGTCAAAGCGTGTAGATAACATGTATGAAATTAGTTCTAGCAGCTCTATGACAGTGTCCCTTTAGCAAAAGCTAAAGCAAAAACGTTACCCAATGCATTGACATCAAAACAAAGTTTATTTTAAAAGCTGTTACATTTATTCTATAAAACACCCATTTTCACGCTTCTGTAATTATAGAATGAAGGAACAACAGTTGTCGGAGTGGACCATTTTGAGAAGATTTTACCACAATTGGTAAGATGAAGAAATGTGAAAACCTAAAACAAAACAGATTTTTTTTTATTATTAATCTTATGTAGTTATTTTGTTACTTTGTTAAGGGGTTTGCAAAATGTTTAAGAAATTGTTAACATAAATTATTTCATTTGAAAAGCATGATAAATTACGCATTACTAAGATGGTTTTTGAATTCCAGATGCTTGATTTTTGAATGAGAGCAAAGTGATGACAGCTGAGTATCTGGACAAGGCATCACCAGGCAGTGTAATCACTTTAAGGATTTTCTCCTGAAGCTGTGATTTGTTCGGAAATATTTCAGATTACGTGATCAAAAATTACGTCCATGCAGAGAACCCACCATGAATCATATTTCAAGGACTGGAGGATATTTCATACAAGGTGTTAAGCTGGGACATAATTAAACATGCCAGGGAGGCAGTCTTTTTAACAATTAAGTTGGAGACAGTTTTGGCACAGAAGACTGACTGGATAGTCGAGTAGCCAGAACGCTAACCCTGCAGTGTTTTTTCCTGTAAACTTTTTTAGCTGAAATGCATTCTTTAGGTCGAGAGAAGCAAAATTAGCTTGGTTGCTATTTCCGAGACCTTGAGCATTTTTCAATATGGCCGTCAATTTATGAGAAAAAATAGAAAAACGAGCAGAAGTCGCCGGGAAAACTTTATTGACAGCTTTTTTGAACGTGTATCCTATCAGGAGAGCACAACAGTACTAGTGAATACACTTAAGCCTGTTACATATAGCTAAAAAAGCCAAAATGGCCGTCAAAACATATGACAGAAAGTAAAAACAGCTGCAAAATAAGTTCGTTTTTTTGCAAATTAAGTCTTATTAAAAACATTTCCGCCTTTTCTATTTATGTCCATTATGATAATTTGTTAGTCATGATCCTAAACTCTCAGAAACTGCTTATTTGACATTAATCAGATGGTGGCAGACGGTGCCATCTCCTGACAGTCCATTTGCCACTCCGACGAGCCCCATAGTCAAAGCTTGCTATGTTATATTTTGCAAGCTTTTTTAAAAGAAATTGTTTCATCTGGGTTACAAAACTAAGAGAAGCTTATATTACGAGATATTTACAATTTTTTTCAAAATTCAAGATGGCCGTCAATTTGTTATGTGAATAGCGAGAGCCATACATTCAAATAAAAAATTAATGCTTCACTCCATTGTTCATCATTGCATATTTATATTTATATCTATGCAAAGTGCGATCATTTATTTCATTTTGTTATTTCAAGTAATTTTAATAAAAATGGCCTCCAAAATATAATGGAAGGGCAAAGAAACAACTGTAAAACTACAAAGCTTTTAACTAAAATAGACTTTAACTGGAACAAATATAAATACATATATAAAGTGAAAAACGATATACCTGCGTTCAAGACACAGCACACAATAAAACGTATTTTTAAGTTAGATTATTCTTATCCTTTTTTTTTGTAAACTTTTTAAATATTTTAACAGCTATGGGTAAAGGCATTTTTGTTGTTTAATAATGAATTTTATTATAAATAACCGAGATCCAAGCAGGGGTGTACAAACCCAGAGGTTAGGGCCCATGAGGTCAGATATTCTGGACAACGTGACATAGTAAAGGGATATGCGAGGGCTAGCCATCGACATCATGTATTCGAAATGTTGTTTTTGCCAATATATACTTACACATAATGGAAGCTTTGAGATAGTAATGTATGCATTTTTTTACTTGTCGGGTAGATGTATTTATTCATTGTGCATTTATTGATGACTTAGTGCTCGGGTAGTTAAGATAATGATGAGTTGTCATGTTGCCATGGTTCATTGCACATGGGTAAACTTTTTTTTTTGCAAAAATGGACCATATACACATTGAACAATACTCAGTAGGCATCTGCACATTTTGATGATTGGTTTTGGAGGCCTATAAAGGCCCAAAAAAGGCCACCCGGCCACCCATGTTGTTAGTCCAGTGAACGGAATTATGCCATGTCTATCATGTGAACAACGCACATCTCTTGGCACTGGGTGTGAGGGGAGTCTGATTTAAGCTATAATGTATGGGCTGTTCCCAACCAACAATCAGGAATCTGGTTAAATGCCACAACATGCCTGGCTCTGTTAGCGATATACCGCAGCCAGGGCGAGACAGTGTCAACTCCAGACCAGGATCGCTACAACAGGTTGCATCAGCTACGGGGCCAGTTTCGCCATGCCAGTCTTACAGCACAAGAGGCACCCGGTTGGAACAACAACCGGAGCAGCAGCCCCACTGTGCGTCGACACTTGCTGGCGGTCAACCGATGGTGGTCGTTGATGGCAACATACCAGTAACTGCTCGTCACAACATAGATCAGATCCTGCAACCTCACATAACCTCGTTCATGCAGCAGAAAACTGATATCACCTTTTCCCAACAGGACATGACCCGTTCACATTCGGCACAAATGATCCAAGTGTATCTGGAGTTCCAAAGGTGGATGACCTACCCCGGCCTGTCTATTTTCCGGATGTGAATCCGATTGAACACATCTGGTACTACATATATCTTGGCCGTCCGTTGGCCAAGGCAGCAGCTGATCGAGGCACTACGACAAGGCTGGAATAGGATTCCACACGACACCACCCCATCCACATTTATTGCCCGAGCATGCGCCAACAGATCGCCGCCTGCATCGAAGCAAGCGGAGATCATACCGGCTATTGACCGTTGTGACTTTGTGTTGGGCTGGTGCCATTTTTGTTTTGAAACTGATGATTTGTATGAAAATAATCCAGTTTAGAGCTTCAAAGTAACAATTATTTTGAAAAATATGGCCGAAAAGATTTTAATGGCTGTCAGTATACATGTATAACCACAAGATTTGTAAGATGTTTTGCTTATTGACTCTTTAAAATGTAAAGTGAAAAATTGCAGTAATAAGAAAAACTAGAAATGCTGCTATATACTGATGAAATATTCTTACACGTGCCAATCTCAATAAAAAGAATGGGAAGTTTTAAAGCTAAACTTTATGTACATATTGAAATAGTTATGATAAAGATATAAAATTAAAACATTAAGGTATGATCAATATAAAAACAAAAACGAAAAAAATAATAAGGTTAATATTTTGACAAAAGTTAAATTAAATTACACTCACCCCCTCCCACCCCCCGTCCCCACCAACGGACTTGGTTGGACTCCATGTAAATATAAGAGTCCCGATTGCAGATTAACATTTTGGACTCCCTGTGCCCAAATTCCTGCAGAACCCCTTGTTGCCCCTTGATAAATTTTCTGCATTAAAAATAGAACTTACGTAATGGTCAGTCCAACAATGATCCTCTTTCATAGCATCTTAGTATAACTGTACCGTACAAGTACACTTTGTCAATAAATAACAGGGTTGGATATATTTTATTATACGCCGAATTATCAGTTTAAAATGTAATTCAACAGCTTTTTTTAACCTTTTTTTTTGGGCATGTTTTAGCGGTCATTTGAAATGCGGAATACCATGCACTTTAAACCCGACTCTTTACTATGTTACATACAGGTAATTATTTATTTATAATATAATGAAATTATAATATTTTTTTATATTATTGACGGCCATCTTGAATTTTGAAAATTGATCAATGTTCCATATCTAGCCACTGCCAAGAAAGCCAAATTAAATTGGCTTTTATACTCCCAAAGTGTTAAATTCTTTTAAAAAATTCAGGGAATAACATTTTAAGTATTTGACTATGGGACCCGGAGAAGTAGCAAACAGACTCTTGGGGGGTTATTGAACTGTCAGATAAGCTTATTCCAAGAGTTTCGGGTCATGACTAACAAAATGTTATAATAAACATAAATATAAAAAGGGGATATGGTTTTAATAAAAATAAATATGCAAAAAACAAACTGATTCTGCAGCTTTTATCATTTTCTGCCTTATGTTTTGACGGCCATTTTGGTTTTTTGCTATATGTAACGGGCTTAAGCGTATTCACTAGTACTGTTGTGCTCTTCTGATAGGATACACGTTCAAAAAAGCTGTCAATAAAGTTTACCCGGCGACTTCTGGTCGTTTTTCTATTTTTCCTCATAAATTGACGGCCATATTGAAAAATGCTCAAGGTCTCGGAAATAGCAACCAAGCTAATTTTGCTTCTCTCGGCCTGAAGAATGCATTTCAGCAAAAAAAAGTTTACAGGAAAGAACATTGCAGGGTTCGACTATTGGGTCTATGGGAGTGGCGACTCGACTAGGACCATGGGTGGGGGAAAAACTGTTGAACATATTCGACATCTTTAAGATGCATTTTATCATGAAATGTTGGCCTTTTAGTCAGCAGAAAATATTTTTATTATATTGGTAGATGAATATTAAGAAGTAACATAAATATGTGACAATTTTAAATTTCATCAGTAGCTATGTCACATAATTTGTACCAGTACCTTATTAATTGTGTTAAGGTATGGATGAGAAGCATCCACACCATTGACCACATCAAAGTGCTGTTACAGTGTGGATTCAGGTTAGTTGCTTTCACAGGTTGGGGATTTTCTCATTTCACAGCACTCTCAAGATTCTTTCATTATTTATTGCACCACTGTCCCTAACCACGTAGAACAATGACTAAGCAAAATGTGGAACAGTGAGACAAACAACCTGCTGATTATTATCACACTCGTGTTGTTGGGGAAAGAGCCGTCACTGTCGCAGCTAACGCACTGTGGCCTTTGATTTTAGTCGAGCTGCAAGCTGGACGATCGGTGAACGGTGATATATTCCACCATTTAAAACTCAAACGTCTGTGTGAGTGAACCATTATATGTTACCAGTGAGTGAGCGTGAACGCATGTCATTATTTGGACTCGGTGAGGCACGAGCACGTTTTAACGTTGTGAATTCTATCCTTCCATTTGCATTCGTAGAACTGCAGCCGAACAAATGTCGCTTGCCTCATAAAATACACTAGCGATTTGTCTCTGTTAAACATGTTGTAAAGTGCCAATAAATGCTTCTTTATTTATTTGCCAGATTGTTTTCTTTTTATTAGTTATTATTGTTATTTTTTTTTTAATTTACCCCGCATGGTCTAATACATGTTATGTAAATTTAGTGTAGCTAAGCGGCCCTGTAAACCAAAACAAAGCAACGTGAGCCATGTAAATAGACCGACGTCTTCTCCTATGTTCAAAAGCAAGTATGGCAACCGCAGGAAAGGAAGTCGCGAGAGTCGCTCTGAGATGCCAGGCTGCAAAGGAAGAGAATAGACTAGGCAAGTATCGATATACGTTAATGATGTGTCCACAATGAATATAGCAGGATCATTTTTTTTTCTTCTTGCAATAAATATTTGTGATACATGTACGTATTATAAGCCCAGGTAGATGTGGCTTCCTACTGTACTACCTGTCCTACCTAGGTGTATTCACTTGCCATGAAAACCCTGAAAATGCAATTTAAAGCGATATCGGTGGATGCATGTCTATCCCTGCAAGGATAC